CGCACTGCCTGGTGTAAGCAGACACGGTAGACGAACACCGTCCATGGATTCCAGCCGTACTGCCCCTGCTCAAGTTCCAAATTTGAACTTGGCAATGCCGATGGCACCAAATAGCCAACAACATATGATTAGTGCATACCAAAATTTTTCCATGCAACCAAGTCAACAACAAAGATACGTACCTCCGATCAGCACCGACAAGGCATTACCGCCGGAGCCGCTAGCACCATCGCCGACTTCGCCCATGAATATCGACTTTCCACTCTTCAACACCGGAGATGGACTGCTACCGCCGCTCAACCTATCATCAGATGACTGGCCGAGTTTTACCAGCACATTGATTGAAGAAGAGGAGCCGCCGCATCCCTTGTCTTCCAATGACTTCCCTATGACATGGGATGATCTCGGACAGTTCCAATCGAATCCCCAACGGTGATCAAAGTTAGTTGTGAACAGGAGAGGCGTCAAAGCCGAGGAATTAATAGTGCCATGTATATTTTTATTATGCCCGGGTCATGAAGCTCGGCTGGAATGCATAATGTAATGATAGCGGACGATAAATAATTGCATTGTATCATGTTCGATGTTAAAATACAACGAAATATTACAAAATCGAGATTTAACGTCTCAGAGTCCAACAACTACCTAAAGCTAATTGAAGTTCCATGCTCGAGAAACCATATATGTAAAGAGGTACCTAGATGACGTTTTTAAGTCGTCAGGTAAGCAACGTTGAAATACCTACATAAGGTATGTACCTAATTCTAACTCTCCGATTCGCTGCCAGCACAACAACATACCGGTAATGCCTAGCCACTAGAAGAAGAGATCCCCATTGGATATTTCTTTGGCATCATCGGGATAATTATCATGTGAAGATCATATGTATGTCACGCTGTACCTATGGCTCTACATATGCCCGAAGAGAGTTTAAAGTGCATGGTTCAGGCTTTCGGTCCTAAAGTGCAGCCAATCAAGGACTTTTGCCCTGACTTAAAAGTTAAGTCTAAATAAGGTATTCTGGGTTTCCTAATGAGGCAATATTGATCATCTAACTCTTCGTTGCGAGTTGAGGACATTCTATTAAACATCATTTTTATATGCTTGTTCAATTTATCATTCAAATACATCCCGACAACACAGGAAACAACGGAAATGCATATAGGGACTATTAAAATACCTATAAAAATGTTGTCGCAAGTGAAAGATTAAAAAAAAGGACCCCCCCAAAAAACCTCATGAGATTCGCCATGGTGGGGAGGTCTAAGGTGTATATGCCCTAGATAAACTAACTGATAGCATCAAAAAGATAAAAAAAAGAACAGCAACACCATAAATCAAAAAGTTAAGCTAGCTCCACTCCGTTTCGATCGGAGGTCCTCCGGGTTATGAGCCCGGCGCGCTTCCGCTGCGCCATGAAGCTTTGTGTGAGTACTTGTATCTCACCGTTGGTTGCAGTTGCGATGTTTTGACCTATAAATTCATTGCCGATTTCACCTGTGAGTCACATCACATCGTCACAATCAATACTGGAAGATCCCCTATTGGACGGTGTTTTTTTATGTACTTTGTTCCTTGTAGCCGTAGGAATTTTTAAATGTTAAATGTTTTAATTGTTGGCCTTTGGGTTCATCTTTCGTGGCTATGTAATATGTGTGGTTTATCCAGGATGTGACATTCTTCAGGATATTCATGCTAGGGACAATACCACGCTTCTCGTAAAACAGTTAAAAATATCCTAGGAGATGGTCATTGTATTATTTCACGACGCAAAAGGTGGATTTGATAATGTAACTTGGTAATAAATTAGCACATGTATTTGAACGTTTATTTTTACCCTTTGTTATCTTTTAACGTACCTTTGACAATAGCCTGGCTATTTGTGGATGATAGCTATATAATTATATCAACGTTCTAATTGAAATAAGCAAGATAAAGGAACATATGTTTATGGGCTTTCTATTAAGGCTCTACTTTATACTTTAGTTGTCTATCCGTGCCTTGTTTATTATTTGATAATGCACTTCTTGGAGTTTCTCATTTAAACTCATACTAACTATCCTAAAATAGTAGACTATAAATATACCTGTCTATGTTCTAACTATCAGTTAGGATATATGTATAACTACTGCTAAACGTTTTAATTCCGAAAAATTCTTCCTTATCCTAAATTCCTATCTGATATCACAGTAGTAAGTTCTGGTAGCCGGATGAAATTGTATAGGTCGATTCACCAAGTTCTAGTATATTATTAATGTTATCATGTTAAGAACACTGTCAGATGAATGCTACCATAGATCTCTTTACCTAGTAGATACCTAACCTAGAGTTATCCTTCGGATAAGTTAGGGGGAACCAGCGAGCGTGATTTAATTATACTCCTGTAATAGTTTCACTTTTCTATTTATCCTCTTTATATTACTAGTAACTATGCTATTTCGGAATATTAAGATAAGTATCTTTAAGAGCAATTTTTTTTGAAACATTTTTAGAGTCTAGTATTACTACCTCTACTTTAACATAGTCAGCTACTGACGCTCTGACCCCTTTTACATGCATTGTCTTAATTAGATCATTCCTAGACTTAGAGCTTAGTATAGGGTTAATGATTCTTTTTTAATGGACCCCTGAAGCTGATTGAGGTTGTTATGCTAACTGCTTACCTAATTATGCTCTACTTAAGCCTTAAGTGTCACTTTACAGGAATACTCCTGTGCTTCTTACTTAGGTATAGACGGAATTTTATAATACTATCTAAATTTACTTCAATATGATGTAAACTCGTGAATCGAGCTAGGGTTATCGTCTGGGAAGTTTTCTTAGCGTAAAGAGACAAACCTGCACCTTTACAAGTCACACAAATACGCTGCTGACAAACCGCCAAGAGCAACCTTGCTGAGAAGCCGACGCCCGGAGGACATCAGTTAGCATGATGGCGAGTATCGGCCGCGACGTAATATAGGTGGAGAATTTGACGGAGGATGTGTCAAAGCGGCTGAGCGGCTAGACATCGCTAGCGGTATGTAGCCGCACAGGCTCTTGATGCTGAGACTGGGACAGGGCTGGGAAATAGTGGATTGGCAAATAGGAAATCTGGTGTAAGATAAAGAAAGGGGGAGATTGAGCACGGACTAGATGTTGGGTCGGGGGTATCGGGTTTGAAGATCATCTAGTACCTAGGGGCAATCACATCTTAAACAGGGGTTAATTGTTACTTGATTTTTATTAATTACTCCGACAATAAATTAAGAGGCGTAGCGATTAAAGCATTGTTTGCTTGCGTAACTCTGGCATCTTTAATGAGGTCGTTTAGGTTGTGTCAAAGAGATAGGTTGGTAGCTTCAAGTACCAAGCAGATTAGCTAGTTATAAAGTCGTATTTTGGATTATGACTTTCTGACTTGGGAGCTTGGGAGCTTGGGGGTCACTTTCACCCTGGACCTACTGGCGAATAAATTACTAAAAAGAGACTATAGTGAGATCTTAGAATGTGATAGATCATCTGGGGAGTTGATTACTGGTGCGGGTGTTACCTATCCATTAAACTCGAAATTCAGCCCGGAGCTCGGTTAGAAATGAGTGTACGTAAATAATATCTCGTAGCTACTAGCTTATGAAAGTAAAATCCTAGTACCTACCTTTACTCTCGCATAACCAACGTAATTAACATAGTAAACCGAACTATCTAAGTAGTTTGGTTGGAGACTGTGTATATACGCCATACACATGCATTATTAATAATGATGATAATTAGATCGGGACCGGAGAGAAGCAATCTTGGATAGAATAGATGCGATTTTTAAAAATCCCAGTGCTTGCAGATCGCGAAAATCATGGAGTTCGTAATGAAACCTTAAGGGACTAACTTAAGGCTGTAAGGGTCCGGAGGATTAAGTCCCTCTTATTATCAGGGCCGAGGTAGGATGCCGAGAGCAAACGACGGCGGGAACTATGCGTTAGTCTGGCGGCTAGAAAAGGATATCCGGACAGCTCACGACGATCTATGATGAATTATTGTAATATGATTGGTCCCCAACAAATTGCTAATGCACACCGGGACGCCGGGTCCATCTATACCTAAGTTTAATTCTTCATGTATTAGCTCTGGTTTGCTTTTTTTTCGAATACGGATACCTAACTAGAAGAGATTTAACTACTAGTTAAAACTGAAGAAGAAAATATCGACAAGTCGATGCAAGGAGTTTACGTATAAACAAGGTATACAACCTAGGTCCTAGGCATTTTAAGATCCAAGCATCTGGCACATGGCTTAGAACTGGGGTCCCCTGGTATTTCATGTGCGTACTCGCTAAGCCGGAATTTTTCGCCGTCTTCTAGAAGAGTTCAATAATCGTTCGATATGGGGGATCTGGCCTGAGATATCTTTCCAGCCACGCATGAAAGTGCCGTCACATCATGCCATTTTACCTCAAAAGTATCTGCCGCTCGCGTGATTTTCAACCCTTGGAAAATGTTTGGTATTATATTGTATTATATGTATTATATTGTAGTTATTGTATTATCGCATAGAATCGGTAATGACCGCAAACACATAACTTCGTCATGCTATCCCATGTGCTATCCCATGCACTAGAAGCACGCACTAGAAATTTTTCAACATTCAGCCAGAGTTTAAACTTGACGCATGACTCCGCAAAAGCGGAACGAGATATAACGCCTTATGAGCACGAGGCGGTAAGCAAGGGTATTAAAGAGTTTAGGACCATGTATTTACCATGTATTTGCCATCTGCCATCTGCCATCTACAAGTTACGAAACTTTCATAGTTTTAAGAACCCGTGTTTGAAACCTTTGCCTCGAATAATTGGACCAGTAACCCAACCAATGCAAACCGCATTTGTTAATTATATTTCTCTCTAATCAAACTGCCGCCACTGTGTTACTCCAAACTTACCTACTTATAGAGTCTTACCTATTTCTTTATCACAAGTGAATCTTATTGTCTTCGAGGAAAACTTCAAAAGACAATAATTAGCCGCCATGGCTCTCAATTATAAAGAATCAAGATTAGTCAAGGATACACTACCATCCCTACGCCAACATGGTGAACATATTGCGACTGTCTTCTATAAGACGATGTTACGCGACCATCCCGAACTCCATAATTACTTCAACACGGTGAATATGCACACAGGAAAGCAGCCGCGCGCCCTGACGACACTTATTCTAGCATTCGCTTCCAACATTGTCAACATTAGCGAGTTAACACCGAAGCTAGAACGTGTGGCCCAAAAGCACGCCTCGCTGAACATCCAGCCCGAGCAATACGAGATTGTCGGCAAGTATCTACTGCGAGCGTTTTCAGCCGTCCTCGGCCCTGCCATGACCCCTGATGTGAAGCTGGCATGGACGAAAGCTTACTGGGTCATGGCGAAGATGCTAACGGGCCGAGAAGCTCACATCTACCGCGAGTTTGAGGACTGGCAGGGCTGGCGGAAGTTTATGATCTTCAACAAGAAGAACGAGACCGTAGAGGGAAACATCGTCTCCTTCATTTTGAAACCAGTCGATGGAAAGCCCTTACCGGCATTCATGCCGGGCCAGTACGTCACCTTGAGGATCACAGTCCCGGGCATGAAGTTTGCTCAGCTCAGGCAGTATTCGCTGAGCGATGCGCCTAGCCACGACCACTATCGGATTACCGTCAAGCGAGACCAGGGGTCAAATTGGGATTACGCCAAACCTGATGACATTATGACGATTTCCTCGGCTGCCAGCAGCGCGTCGGATAGCAGTATTGGAAGCGTGCAACCATGCAGACCTGGTGTCGTCTCCAACTCGCTCATTGACGAGTTCCACGAAGGAGACACCATTGAGTTGACGCACCCGTCGGGTTCTTTCTCCCTTAACACGAAAGTGGACACCTCGATGCCGCTTGTCCTCATCTCCGCCGGAGTCTGCGTAGCGCCGCTGCTGTCGATGCTGAACGCTGTTGTAGAACAGCGAATCAACAGGCCGGTATCCTGGATCCAGGCGTCGCGACACGACGCCCCTTTCCAAGCACATGTCGAAAACATGGCTAAGAGGCATCCGAATATGAGGACCAAGTTCTTCAAGTCGAGGCTGTCGGATAGCGATGTGCTGTCGTATACTTCGACCTTCGATAACGACTTCCTCTCCCTCACGGCCGAGGACTTGTATCTAAGAAATGGCTCGGCCGAGTACTACATATGCGGCCCCGAGAAATTCATGATGCAGGCGTCTGAGCACTTACACAAGTATGGTGTGAAACCAGAAATGGTGCAGTTCGAGATCTTCTCAGTAGGAACTTTTGAGATGAGAATGGAGGACTGATTGGAGTACGGGACTAGTCGATACGACAGAGGTCGTCTCGAATAGCCATCTACGGCGCCATTCATCACGGCGCTTCGTGGTTGATCTATCTACTCTAGGTTTTCTCTAAGAAGCCTACTGGGTATTAGCCACATACCATATCCTAACGCATAGTGCGTAGCCGAGCGAAACGAGTGAAGCTAGATTTTTATCTAGCTTATTGAGCTCCGAGGAGCCCTACTAGAGCCTGCTTTAATTGGTCATTGGTCCATGGTAGCCATGGAATAGGAGCCGCCCGACACAAAGCAAGAGGGAATAGCCGAGCCGATCCTTTCTTCTAGGAGGAGTAATACTAAGGGTTTGGCCGAAGTGATTTGGCGTATGGCGTTGAGTTTGCTACGTTAAGCAGCTAAAACCCCAATCACCCCACAGCTACGGAGAATTCCATCAAACAAAGATGTCATAGAAGATGTACAATAGGAAGCACGAGTCATGTCTTAGATTATTAGAGCTTATGTACCTTACGGTCCGATTGGGAATACAAATGATTTTAACTACCTAACTACCTGAATCCCCTTGATACCTCTATGAGAAACGAGTAACAGATCGGCTTAAGGTGCATAATTCTCAGTGACACCTATCGTGGTTTTTTATCATGTAAAAAGGAGTACCTAAATGTTCTTATGAAATTGAAAAGGGGTGGATTAAAAGTTGAATCTACATCCTTTGAAACCCAGTTGAAAACCCCTCTCATTATCCTGCTATAGCTTATCCTCATAAAACCTCCACCCCGACTTGAAATCCTTCTTAAGCTCCTTATCCAGAACCAATGCTCTAAGCATCTCAATAGGCATGACATTAGCGCGCAAGACCCGGTCGTGGAACTCCTTCTCGCGCATCTTCCCGTGCCCATCTCCTAGGGCCTCCTTTCGCAGACGCATCAGTTGCAGCGCTCCAAGCATATAGCCGGCTTGGTATAGAGGCGAATAGTCGCCGCCAAGACTACGTCGGACCTCGCCTTCAGCCGTTGCGCGCTCGTGACCTACCTTGTTGACGAGGAGATCAACACACTGCCGTGCGTCTAATTGGCCTAGGTGGAAACGTACAGAAAACAGAATCCGCGCGCACCTATGCATACGCCAGAACAGCGAGCCAATCTTATCTTCAGCGCTCACGAAGAAGTCGCCTCGTTCCCAGAGTACCATCTCCCAGTAGAGTGCCCACCCCTCGACGAAAAAGGGGGTGTCGAAAAGCGCGCGGCGGTAGTGATGGTGCCGTTCTCCCATGAAGATCTGCAAGTGATGACCTGGAATCATCTCGTGAAAGGCTGTCGCTCGCCCAAAGTGCCGGTTGTTACCGCGCAGCGACATGAGCTTGGCCTCGTGTGCCATATCCCGCGTAGGATAAGACATTTGCATAGTCGGGCCACCGAGGAAGAACGGCGACACCTTCTGCCGCTCTGCTTCAATCATAGTCATACGGATAGCCTCCTCGGCGATGCGCGGTACCGTTACAAGATCGTGTTTTTTGACATACGCGGCACCCTCGTTGATGAGCGACCGGATGAAAGCTGGGTATGCTCCCGGTGGTTCGTACAAGTTCTTGACGTGCTCGAGGGCGCTGCGCCAGTGCGTTCCAAAGTTGAGTTGCTGCGATGCCTTGATCATCTCCGCTTCGCACCATGCATATTCCTTCTCCGCGATACGTAAAAGTTCTTCGGGTGTGTATGGGATCATCTCAGCTTCGAGATCACTCAGCAGGCCGTCGCGTCCAATGGGTTCTCCAACGATGGTCTCTTCATCACCGGGTTTTACGCCTACCAGAACCTCGCGTAGGAGAGTTACAATTCCACCAAGAGCCACATCGAGGCGTTTATAAGGCTCCGTGACCCACCAGTCGAATAGGGGGTCGTAATCCTTGTAGAAAGAGTACGTCTCCGCGAGCTTTTTTCGTAGAGCTGCGACCCTGCGGACGGCACGATGTCCAGTAGCCTTCGAGTACTTGCCAGCATTGTGACTGACGTGATCTCGAGCCTCGAAGATAAGCTTCTCCGTCGCAGTAAGGCTATCAGCAAGAGCCTTTGGATCAATCGGCTCGACACGCCGGCGCTGTTCGCACCATGTCGTAATGGGAGTAGCAAACGGTTCAATGAAGGCTGTAAACTTGGCATCTCGAGCCTTATCGAGCTCAAGTGTGCGTCGTGCGCGCCGTAGGTAGTTCCGAAGTAGCAGATGGTCGACCCTATCATCCTGTGAAGAGTAGGAGTCGAAAGGCTGTCTTTCGAGGTCTGCAAGTTCATCTTGGTAGAATGTTTCCAGCCTTGCATTCCGTGATGCGGAGCCATCGATATCATAATAAGCTGTTAAGTCTCGTAGGTCGTTCCATACACGTACAACGCGATCCTGAATTGACTCGGGAGGTGGCTCTTTAGACGGTACTTCGACGGCAGTCCAGTCCTCCTCGCCATCTTCCTTCTCTATCAACTCTATTTCCTTGGTAAGATCGTCTACTACAGCATTTGACTCTAGTGGCGACGGTGGTTTGGAAGCCGTGTCGCTCTCGCCGTCTTGTCCATTTTGAGCAATCTTACGAATTAAATCATACATCTTCTTAGGGTCCCTGCTGTGTCCGAAATCCCATCCGGCATTGGAAAGTTTGCATTTCATATCTGCCGATAGCGAACGCTTCATCATAAGCAGGACAGTGAGACGGTTCTTCCGCCATCGCAAGTAGTCCGGGGTATCATTATCGCCAGCGGGTGCTAAAATACTCGCGGTGACGAAAGGAAGTAGATTTCTCGCGCGTAAGGCCTCGATCAATTCGGTATTCCATCTTGGATAATCTTCTAATTCGGAGAGTTTATGCCTTTGCTGAGGCGGAGCCGTTGGACTGTAATTGAGTGAAGCCATATTAAACTCTCAATATTATTAGATTTCTTACGTTTGACGATATTCCACTATTTTACATTATTTTTATTATGTCAGGTTAAGGTACGTTAGTTGTTGGTGAAACTGGGCAGTGAGCTAATCAAAAGGCTACCTTCATGTAGATAATTAAAAGATAACAACAACCTTGAGGTCATCTATTCCATGTAGATTAATTCTATACCTGAGCTTCGGCGGGGTCGGATGTAACCTCTAGACTGATAACAGATAAAACCTCGGAGACCTCCTCCCGATAAAGTGCTACCTATTATTCGTATAAGTCAATCCTTCGCATCTATTTTTAGTCTTGGCCCTATTCGTGTTAAATTGAACAGTTGATTGGTAAAGAGGCTAAGTTGAACCTTACCTAAGGTAAACCTTGTAAGCTAGAAATACAAGGATATGACACTTTTAAACCTCAATTAGTTATATCTTTAACTCTATAGTAATACAACGTGGGTATATTTAGGAGGTCCCTATCCGTGGTCCAAGACCAAAAGTATCCTACTTAAAAAGGAAGACCTATGAAATGACACCACTGGTTAAGCGCCTCATTCTCTGAAGCAGCCTTCTTCGCAGCCTCATCCGCGGTATTGTTCCAATCTCTTGGGATTCTCCAGAATTTGATAGAGAGACCTTCCTCCTTCCATCTCTCAAATTCACCCAGGAGCAATTCCCACATGTCTTTATTCTTGACTTCCGCACCTGTGTTCGTCTTCCAACCCTTTCTAGTCCATGTTTTCGCCCACTTTGTAGATCCTTCAACCACATATTCCGAGTCAGTAGCGATGACCATGGTAGTAAAGCCTTCACCAGGCCAGTATCGAAGGCGCAAAGCTGCAATAACAGCACGAAGCTCGGCCCTGTTGCTGCTTTGAATGCCCTCGTCACCAAAAGGTCCCTTTTGCTCTAACCTGCCAGATGCAATTAACGGCTTGCCCGTGAATCCCGGTCCATAGACGACCGCCCAGCCGGCTTTGGGGTTTGGCTGGCCATTATTCAAGCAGGCGCCGTCAGTGAAAATGAGAACAGTTTGGGGGTCATCACGGTGGATGTATCTAACAATGCATATCAGCGAGCTTGTACTTGATGACAGTCCATCCCAAGGCGGACATATTTTTCCATGCTTTTCCCTTACCTAATCTGTCTAAAATAAGTTGCCTGGCCGCGAAACAGCTCCAATGGCATGATGGAAGTCGTCGGTGGAGTGAACTTCTCAGGGATGACCTGGCCGGTGCCTCTTCTCATTTCCTCGCCAAAGAGACGTGGTGGATCAGCATCGCCATCCTCGTTAATCGGGGCGTCTTTCATAGGGCTGTCTTCATCTTCGTCTTCATCTTCATCGCCATCGTCATCGTCATCGTCATCATCATCGTAGTCTTCATCTTCATCCGAAGAACCGCTCATGAAGCTGTAATCTGTGCAGCATTTTCCACAAACGACAAGACCATGTGGACCACAAACGAGTCGGCCATTAGGCAACTCACAGGGGCCCTCCTCATCATCGCTACTGGATGGACCAAGTGGGTATAAACCCTGAGCGAGGTACCATCCGAGAGGCATTTTTGCTAAGTTACGGTGGATAAAAAGAGAGCGAAGAATTAAACGTTGCCAGGCACATACCTAACATATGTAGGAGATGGAAGCTTGAAGGTGCATGCAAACGCCAGGTGCAAACGCCAATAGTCATGCACGGACTGCCGGCTGGCAACATAAGTTAAGTCAGGTTATCCTTGAAAGAACTTGGATTTCCTAATGTAACGATATGGCCTTAGTTTGAAGTTAAACAACGTCAATGTACAGGTTTAGGGAGCCTTATATTGATTCCAAGTGATACTATAACTACCTTCTACCCAAGGTCCTCAAGCTTCCTTATATGGTATCTATCGTCAGTACCTAATGGGATCTTAGAAGGAGTGTTACCACGTGGCACCCCAGTCAGTCTAAATGTTGGTAACTGTTGGTCCGTGCACCAGCCATGCATCCTAATGGGTCTACTCTTCAGGCCACAAGAGGTGTGAGATGTACCTAAGTACATCTTAATACGTGACCTTCGGTTACGTATCATTTAAATATTTATCATAAATAAATATTTATAAAAAAAAATAATAATTATATTATTAGATTTTATTTAATTAATTATTTATTATTTAATAATTAAAAGTTTTATTTGTTTAGCGTTATTAAAGAAGAATTTTAAAAAATAAGAAAAATATTAAGCCTTTACTTTTTCTTTCTTTATTTATGATATATAATAAACGCCATAATAGATAAGATTATAATAAAATTATTAAATTTAAATTAATAGGAATATTAGGATATAGCGTTTAAAACCAAAATAATTAATGTTAATATTTGGTATAAAATGGACCTTTAAAAAGGTGATATTTGATAGAATTTTCGAAATTAATGGTTAATAAAATTAGTTAAATTTATTTTATTAGATTATAAAATATAAAAACCTTATTTAAAAAATTAAAAAAATAAAGAAGAAATAAATAATATTTAGTAAATAGCAAATGGGATAGGTTTAATTTAGGTTTAATAAAATATATTTAATTTGGATTTTAATATATATAAAGAAGATATAAAAAATTATAATATTAAATAAATAATTATTAAAAAAATAAAGATTTAAATGTAGTAAATAATTTCACCTTATTATTTTTAAGTTATCTATTATTTTATATTAATATTTATAAAATGATATATTTTATTAAAAAAATATATGGGTATAATAGATGCTTAATTTAAAGTATAGGTTAAAAAGGTATATAAAAACGTTATAGTAATCTTATAAAAACCTTTTAAAAATTAGAATGTTTGGATTTTAAAATAGGAAAAGATTATGGAAAAGGTCAAAAGTAAAGATTTATTTTTAGTAGAATATAGTATAAAATGGTTTAAAAATCTATTATTAGTATTAAAATATATTTTATTGGATTAAATAAATATTTTTTTAATCGCTAATATATAAAATATAAATAATAATATATTATTTTTTTAAGTAATTACGTTATTTTTATAAACGAAGGTTAAAATTATAAATATATAAGGAAGATTAATTGGAAAAGGAATATTTAAACTTATATTAAATAGTAAAGAAATTAATTAAAAAAAAAGATTTAAAAATTCTTTTAAGAATGGTAAAAAAAAAAGTAGAAAGGGTAATTTTTATAGTTTTAATAAAAGAAATAAAGATTTAAATCTATTAAGAATATCTAAAATAATAATAATATATAAAATATATTTTAAAATTTATTAATTTAATAAATATTAGTATGTATTTAAAGAAATTAAATTGTAATAGTTTAATTTAAAAGAAAATTAATATATGTAAAATTATAAAAATAATTTATAAATTAATCTTAGCCTTTAAAATAAAGTAAATAGAATAAAAAAAAAGTTTAAAAAAGAAATTAACGAAAAATAATTTTTTTAAAGTTAATTAAAACGTTAAATAGGTTTTATATTAAAGATATTTATAGTTTTTATAATAAATTTAATATTTTAAATTATATTTATAATTTTTTATTATTTTTTTATTTATTTTGCAATTTTTAATTCTGATAGTATTGTATATATTTTTAATAAGAAATTTTATTTTTATAATTTTAAAAAAATATAAAATAAAAATGGAGTAATAGTTAGAAATAATTTTATTTTTATTAAAAATTATAATAATATTAATATAAAGATTAAAAGATTAAAAGAAAATTATTTTTTTTAATTTTAAAATATAGTTTATTATAAAAGTTTTATTTATAATTTTATTTTTTTAAAAATATTATAACGCCAAGGCTACTAATAAAATAATAAAAATTAAAGAATTTTTATTTATAAGGTAAATAATTTTATTTTATATAAGGTAGTGGATAAATATAATTAGTTTATAGTAAAAGATATATTTTATAAAATAATAAAAGGTTTTTTTTATATATATATTTAATAAATTTCTTTTCGTATAAAATAGTTTACCAAATAAAATAATATATATAAATAGTATCTTAAAATAGAATATTTAGGTCCTTATACCTTAAAATATATGGTAAATTGTTTAAAAGGAGTTAAAATTATTGGTTTAATTATTGTATAATGTAACGTATATAATATATTTAAAATTAAATAATTTATTTAATATAAACCGAAACGGTTAGAAGAAATCTTTAATCTACGCCTTACCGTAGATTTTCATCTTTTAAAAAAAAAATATAAAAATTATAAAAATATTATATTAATAATTAATTAATAAATAAAATATATTTAAAATTATTATTTCTATAATTAATTTATATAATTTATTATTAGATATTTTAAATATTTATTAAGTATATTTAAAAGGTAATATAATTTAAAACCTAAAATAATAAAGTATAATAATAAGTTTATATTAAATAAACTATAGGTATAAAAATTTTTTTAATAAATATATATTAAGATAGAGTCTTTTATACCTTATATATAAAAATAAAACGGTATAATTAAATGTTTAGGGGGTATAATTAAGATTAAGGCATACGTTATAAAAAACAATATAAAATTGTTAATTTTTTTATGGCCAAAAATTTATAAGTTTGTTATTTATTTATATAATCGTATATTTAAATATATATATAATTAAAAATCATTATATAAAAGATTTTATATTTTTATTGTATAAAAAGATAATAGTTTTGTTTTTAATTGTAAACTTTAATTTATATATTTTTATGTTTTTAAATATAAGGTGTATGTAATAATTAAAGAAGTTTAATTAAAAAAAAAGAAATTTTAAAAATTAAATTTTAAAATTTAAATAGATTATTTAATAAATTATTTATCTATAAATATCTATCACATTTAGAATCCAAAAATTAATAAAATTATTTTTACGCGTAATATAATTTTTAATAAAAATAGTACTTTTATAGGGAATATAAATAATTTTTAAAATAATTTATTATAAATCTTAAATAAAGAATATAAAGTTTTTTTATAATAGATTTAAAAAAATAAATCTAATATAAAAAATATATATGGTTTATTTAATTTATAAAAAAAAGATAATAATTATAAGATTTACGTAAAAAATAAATATATTTTTAAAAATTATTTTTAAAAAAAAGAAAATAAAAATTTTTAAAAAATATAAAGTAATAAGATGGTTAAAAATAATAGTTATAATTAATAATTAAAAGTTAGGTTTAATTAATTATGGTATATTAAGGTATATTTTAAATTGTTATTAATTTTTAGACCGTTATTTTTTACAAATTTTTTATACGAAATTATTTAAAGTGTTATATATATTAAGGCGGTAAAATTAAGAGAAATAAATAATTTTTTAATTGTATAATCTAAAATTTAGTATATTATATTTAATGTTGGTTATTTAAAAAGATATATAGGCTAGGTTAAAAATAAACTTATAAATAAAGTAAAGTTTAAAAAATTATTAAAAAATTTGAAATTTATTTATAAAAAAGATTTTTTAGTTTTTTTTAAGTATTATAAAGATATAAAAGACTATTTAATGGTTGAGTTTTAAAATAAGGTAAAGAAAGATTATTTAAATAGTTATAAGGTTATTTAAATATAAATAAAGATATTTTCTTAAGACTTTAAATATAAAAGGAAAAAAATATTAAATTATATATAGATATATATATATAAGATTAATAAATATAGCTGGTTTATTAAATATAAAATAAAATTAGTAGTTAAAGATAATTAGTAGCAAAAAATAAATATTAAAGAAATATATATATTAATATTAGCTATTAGATTTTTCTAAATATTTATGGTTATAATAGTATATTTTAATTTAAAATTTAAATAATTTAATATTGTTAATATATTTATAAATGTAAAAATATAGGGAAATATATTTATAAAAATGTTATTAAGGTTTAAAAAGCTTAATATATTTTTAAAAGTGGAAAAAGCGATTTATAGTATAAAAAAATCTCCGAGTTTTTAGTATGATGAATTTATAAATATTTTAAAAAAGCTAGGTTTTATAGTAATATTTTATAAATTTTGTATTTATTATAAAAGTGGTATAATATTATTTTTTTATATAAATAATTTTATTTTAGTATATAGGAAGGATAATAAAGCTGTAGTAATATTTTTTATAATGTAATTTAAGAAATATTATAGTATAATAAGAGGGAAGGATTTTTAATAATATTTAAATATTGCTGTTTTTAGAAATTGCGTTAAGTGTATAATATGGTTTTTATAGTTAAATTATTTAGATAAGATTAGTAGATTATTGGGAAAAGATATTAAAATAGCTTTAAATTATTTTATAATTAAGGAAAAATTATTATTATTTAAGGAAATAGCAATTTTAGTATTTATTTATTTATATTAAAAAAAAGGTTGGTTTAATTTTATATATAATAATAGTGATAAAAATAGATATAACTTTTATATATTTTTAATTAATATAATTTTTGTTAAATTTAAGATTAAAGTATTATAAAATAGTAAATTATATTATTAAATATTTTTATTATATAAAAATATTAGGATTATAGATAGGAAAAAAAGATTTTTTTAAAGTAGTAAGTAATGTATTTTTTACGGATAATATATTAAACCGTAAAAGTTTGTAAATATATATAATGAAATTATTTAGTGGCGTTATTGGTTGGTAAATTAATAAATAAAATACGGTAATTACGTTAATAATAGAAGTTAAGTTGTTAATATTATTATAAATAGTAAAAGAAGTTATGTTTATATTAAAATTAATTAAAAAATTGGGAATATTTTTAGATAATTTAATTATTATTATTAATTGTAATAATTATTAGATAATATAGTTAATTTAAAAAAATATTAATAAATTATAGATTAAGTTAAGATATATAAATATTTATAATTATTGGTTACGCTAAAAAATATAGAAAGATATAATTTAAATAAAATATATGCTATTAAAAGATATAATAGTAGATGGTTTAATAAAGGTATTTATAAATGTATTTTTTAATATATTTAAAAATTAAGTAAAATTGGTAAATATTAAGGATAGGTTAAATAGGAAAGTTTTAAAAGATTTAATATAAGATATTAAATAAGATTTTTAGGATATAGATTAACTTGCCGGTTGCGTTTAAAGGGGTATGTAAGATGTACCTAAGTATATTTTAATACGTAACCTTTAGTTACGTGTTATCTAAATATTTATTATAAATGAGTATTTATAAAAAAAAATAATAATTATATTATTAGATTTTATTTAATCAATCATCTATTATCCAATAAGAGGCCTGGCTTATAACTTTGTATGTTTTGGGTTGATTACTTGAATTGAGTAGCTCTAAATCCTTACATATTGGGCATTCGGAATCACCTTCTAAGAATAATCTTTTATTACTCTATATTACACAAAAAAAAAGGGAAGTATTTTTATAACCAAAGAGCAATTCCCTTGTATCATAAATAGCACAACCTCAGAAACTACTTTACTCAGGGATTAGCTCAGGTACCTCCTATTCACCATTCTTTCCTTTGATTGGTCTATCTTGCAAACCTGCTGGTATTTGGACTAAAGCTCACGAACGAACTGAACGCCTCTTAGTAACTGCATTGAAGCTCCGTGGGGAACAAGAAGATCATTTGGAAACGTTGCGACGGGGTTCGGGTCCAGTCTCCCTGTCGCTGGGTTTCGCCGGAATGCGACAAGTCCCGACTCGCCAGCCTCGTTAGCCACGAATGCAAACCCTTGGTCGTCATCTCCGCTTAGACTAACCATGCGCGGCTGTATGCCGCGCGTGGGTATGCTGTGGACATAAGTAAGCCCTACCTGACCTCCCTCTTCGCTGAGTATAAATTGCGTGATGTGGCCTGTATCCTCTCCTGGGAATCGATTCCAGAGGTAAACATCACGCTGGTTCTTGGCGACTTCGAGTCCTGTGAACATCGACATGATTAACTCACCTGAGTCCCATCTTCTGCCGGCGTGTCCCCAGTGGACAGTAGTGAACCGGATTATTTCATCGGTGTAATCCATTCGCATTAACGCGATCGCAGTAGAGAGGCCCCCTGCCACCACCAAGTAGTGCGTTCCTCTATGTGTTATACAAGCGATGCACTGCGGTGAGATTGTGTTGGGCACGGCGGTAATGCTCGTGATCTCGTACTTGTCATCCAGGGTGTCCATGACATGTAACGAATTAGTACCAGGATTCGGTATAATAAAAAAACGACCAGTTGGATCGAGGATGGCTTGACGTGGCCCTGGCTTACGTTGAAGTGGCCACTGGTAGCCATTTTCAGTTCTAGTCCGGATACTCTTTTTTAAAACAGGGAGATGATCCTTTTCTGAGATGTCCCAGACATCGATTTTGCCGGATGTGTAGCAAGACTCAACAATACGAGTCTTGTCGGCGTTGAACGCCATGTGAACGCCCCCAAGTGAGCCTTGGGCATTGCCAACGAACGAAAGCTTTTCAAAGCCTATATCGTCAGGTGTAATGGGAGCGTTAGGCGTCAGCTTAAACATGCTAGTCTCCGTATTTCCCTCGTTTACGACGTAAAGCAAGTTAGGCTCTTTGAACAATGCTGAGCTAGGCAACCATCTCGGGATTATGACTCTGGAAGCTATAGAAAACTGGGTGCCGTTGAAATCAACAAGTATGATCTGATTTAGATTGCCGACAATTAGCTTTCCCAGCGGCGGCGGCGGGTAACCTTGGTAAGCCATGATTCTCGATTTAGAATTTGTGTTTGCTTTCGAAGTAATCAGGTCGATGATATAAAATGTAGAACACAATAAGCGATAGGTATATGGCTTTCTAACTAGTACTCATCGATGATAAGATTGGGGATGGAGATGAATATATAGGCGTTCAATTCAAGTAGATACAGCCGAACTGTTAAGTAACAGCAGAAGTATATTTGTTGTAGTGGAACAATATTACTTGGGAGTAAGCTAATGTTCAAAAAGTAGTTGATTGTTCCTCAATGATATAGTTTGTTCATAAACAGTATTTCAACACTAAGTAATTAGGTACTTAGGTAGGCATCTCCTACAAATGTTTTAGTCCTTCAGTTGCATAGGGTTCTTTTTATAGATTTGCTCTCTAGTAGAAGTCTTTATCACGTCGTCGAAAACATGATAAGGTTTAATATTAATTTTGCTACAGTCCTACCAACCCCCCCCCCCCCTCAAACGTCTTCTAGTAAGTATTTGACTACCAATTTATCTTCTTTTAGGAATGTTAAGCGTCAGGCTATAAAAGCTTAAGGGCCCTTAAATTATTCCCTTTATATCATGAAATAGGGATTATAATTGCAGGGAGTATCGAGTAACTTTAAAATAAGTGTAAGAAGAGACGAAGACGTTCAAACTTAAGATATTAGTAGGAGGAACACCTATAACTTTGTCACTATAGTATCAGAAAAGATATTTTTATGCTTTGTTATCTTAGAGGAACAATTTCCAATACATGATAAGGAAAGAACATGCTGTTATGGAATCCAAGTTTAGCTGATATAGGAGACCCCTTTTTCAACCAGAACAAAGGGAAAACAAAGAAATTAAGTACAGTGCAGTAAACCTATATGTTCTACGAGAATAGGTATCTAATCATCTACAACAGCCAGTGACGAAATGCTGATATTACAAACGCCTGATAAGTAGAACTTATCTTATTCGCTTATATGACAGCCTGCCTGACTGAAACTCGGGAGGGAGAGCCAATCAAATGCAATACTTCACCCTCGAGGGTACCCTCCTTGTACCTAGAGTAGCCACGGGCTGTGTGCTTATGACATTCCGTAAGACCTCACTCACATCTAGTTGTTTGTGCCGCTTCGCCATCAGCCTCGTGCTTACCTAGGTACTTTTAGACTTCACACAATACTCGGCTAGCTACCTTGGACATCTCTTGAAATATTACTTCAGCTATCAACTTCGTACTAGATGGCTTTTACATTTCAGTCCAGTTCACAAGTTACTACCAGTGGTTCAAGAAGTCGTCCAGCTTCCTCAACAGCGTTGAATCTCTTCGCCGCCATGCATGTAGATGGTCTAGAAATTTACAGTGCTTCTCAATTAGGGCTACTAGGTTCCAAAATACAAATATCAGGGGTTGGTGGTAGTGCTGCCGTAGAAGTTGGGCGCCTGGCAGATAAACAGCTCGTGGTAGTAAAACGCAGTCGTGTGCGCCCCGAACTTCATTCAACTTCTCTATCATCGACTGCCTTTGACAGACATTTCGATCAGCTTCTGATCGAGCTACGAATCCTTGGAAATAGTAAGATACGAAAGAGCCCCAATGTTGTTGACGTTCTCGGTATTTGTATGGACGAATTCAATGGCGCGCCCGCACTTGATCTGGTCTTCGAATACTCGACACTTGGTTCTCTGAAGTCATTTCTCATATCTAACAGGTCAAACGTATCAATCTCTCAACGTATAGATTTAATTATGCAGATTGCGCGGGGCCTTATGGTGTTCCACGGCTTAAATGTTAGCCATGGCGATGTCAAATCACAGAATATTCTCATCTTTCCCATAGAAAATGCTACAGACAAATGGCTTGCCAAGATTTCAGATTGCGGAGAGTCGTTGATCGCTCCTCAAGAAGATCATCTTGCCAGGCTAGAACCTCGAATAGGTACCCATTTACTGAACACCCCGGAGATTAGAAAGGTGGGTTGTCTCAAGGATGGATTGATCACGATTGAAGGCGCCATACTCACCGACATATTTTCCTTCGGGCTCCTTGCTTGGGAAGTTTGTAGGGGAGGCGAGTCTTTCTTCGATCCTGCTTGGGTTAGGCCAGATACGACGAATATGGATATTGACTCGATGCAGGAGTTCCTCAATAACCTACCCTATAATCGGCTTCAAACTTATAGTCTAGAATATCTTGACAGCCTCAATCTTGATGAAGTTTTCCACAGCCCTATCTACGAAATACTACGAGGGGCAATACAGGACGATGCAAAACGTAAAAACCAATGTCTAAATTGCTTGAGATCCTTCAAGAACCAGATAGTTCAGAGTGAGTGAAATGTCTAGCTAAAAGCTTACTCTCTACTAAACCCAAATTACAGAAATATTCTTGGGATGCCTAACAGTCCTTCCTCCGAAAGCCTCGATGGCATCCTGGGAGACCTGTTCGGCGACTCACTATCAGCCTAGACTACGAATCACTCATTATATGATGTACGTGTATTGAAACAGTCCTGATTATCAGCGTTAAGTCGTTATTACAGTTACTCTGGTACAAGAGAATCCGAGGTGTAGATGTCATCGAAACCCTACCACAAGTTCTTCGTCGGTCCATTGTTTCAGAATTAAAAGCCTTGGCTACAAGTGAGGAATTGCCCCAGCATCTCAGGGCCCACGCTGCTATGCCTGTATTAAAATGTTACACCGTGGGCTTTTCTGGACAGCATAACTCTGAAGAAGTCCTAACCTGGCTTAATATTGCGTCTTCTCTGGGCGAAAGAAAAGCCAGCATGTGGTATCACCGCGTTTGCGAAACTTTTGGTGTGAATCATCTTACTAAGGGGGGTTATAATGTCGAGTTTACCTCCTTATCAAAAAAGAAATAAAAATAAAAAATACGTATCTCAGTAATCCGGTACCTCCGCCTAATTTCCTAACATTGCCTCCTGGCCTCCAGCTAATCAAAACACGAAGCCACGTACTTCTAAATGCCTACCTAGGTAGTATATAGCTTAGGTGTTATTACGATGCGCGGAGAACTTCAAACAGCACCCACAAATTATTCTTAGGCGCCCTCAGTATGAAACTATGAACTTGTTGTCGCCAAACTATCACCACTCCATTGTATATAGACAATGGAGCAAAAGGCGGGCCTGTCACTTTAATTAGGTATAAACAGTATGTTGGCAGATGAACATAAAGGATTGTATGGTTTGATACGAGGGATGCCAATTTTCTTTATGCAAGAATGGCCCATAGGTAAGCCCAGTCTACCACCCTATAAATAAAGCCTGAAGAAGCTAGCATGCGCCTAGTATTGTTACTCATGCCAACCAATTCTATTCCGAGTTGAATATTTGAACAATATTTATTGTCATTGAGCCGCCACTACAAGCGTGCAACGACATTTTTATCAGCTTGAAAGACATAGAATTGAGCCAAGAACCTACCATCTACGTTTAAATACAAAGTAGCCTTCCATAACTCAAATTTAGCAACTCTAAGAACAGAGAAGATAATCGCCATGTCGACAAGCGAGGAATGGCCTCGTGCCCGAGCTCGTACTTTCGGTGTCGAGTTGGAGTTTATAGTTGTATGGATATGGGATGATGAGCTGGACCCTCATCCAGATTTAGCAAGCGATTTACCCCCTATTCTTAAGCTCCCAAGTCATCTTCGTGAGTCTGGCGTTTCTAAAATATCAATAGATAACGCGGTTTATGATCGGATTTACGATGTTCTAGCTGACCATGGCCTACCGACTCATCGATCAGCAGCCCACCGTGCTGAAGACGAATTTCGTGTCTGGAGGCTTAAGCTGGATACTAGTATTAATCTCGAGGGGGATGTTAAATGGACTGGTATCGAAATGACATCTCCCGCAGAGAGCGCTTTGCCTGTGGCATTCAGCGCAATCCGTTATGCCGTGGATCTAATTAGGTCCACGTACCGAACGGCTGTTAATGGTAGCTGCGGGTTTCACGTTCACGTCGGTGACGGGAGAGAACAAATGCCATTGGAGCATGTAAAGCGAGTTGCTTCGCTGTTCTGGGCTGTTGACCCCGTTGTTGCTCTGCTGCACCCACCGCAAAGGAGGATAAGCTTTTATTCACAAAGCATTCGCGATCGAAGTCCTCTTGCTCGAGGAAATAAGATAGCCGATGTACTGACCGACGCCGTCCATCAGGAAGAGCATAATTGTGAACTATATATCGGACGCGGGATGAGACACGGGGAGCACCCTATATCCTGGAGGATAAAATATCAGCGTGACGAACATGTAGAGGCCTTTGAAGAAACTCGGAAGCCGGATTGCTTCCAGCCATTTTTCTGCAAGGATACCAGGGGTCTCCCGGTAGGTATATTAACATCTATCGAGACAGAGCCGGCTCCAAAGCTTCACAAATCAGAAACCGAGACTCGCATTAAGAAGGTAATAAAAACAACCAATGATTCCAAAGCTAACCCCTTCATCAAGCCGTATTCGCCAATACATAAGCGTTTTACTCCACGATTTGTAAGCGGCGAACCCCTACCCGATGTTAGATACAAGAACATAGACCTCGACGAGAAGGCTAAAACTGATATTGGCGTCTTCGCCGGCGTCAATGAAATATTTGCCTGTCACAGCTCGTGCGTAATACTGTTCCTACTGGAAACTGAGGAAAGATCCAACTATAATCTTTTTAGGTATAAGTGTTACAACCTCATAGATCCTGGGAATGTCGCGCCAACGATCGAGTTTCGAGAAGCTACGGGTACGTTGTCTGGTGAATGGGTAGAAATATGGGCTAGAATCTGCGTAGGTCTCACGAATTTTGCTATCCACGCACCGGTGGAAAATTACCTTTCCGTGCTCAATAACCTAGAACTCGCTGCGTCTGGTGAAGCTCCGTACGACGTGGTCGACCTATTGGACGAAATTGGGCTATTTGCAGAAGCCGCATTTGCGGAGAAGAGGTTAATGAAGTATAAGGATGAATGGGATTTGCACTACGCCCCTGAGGGAGAAAATAAACCACTATAAGGGTTTTAAGCAAGCACTAGATTACATGTATCATTGGCGTTTATTAGTATTTAGGTACCTAATATATAATTATTCGGCTAAACTTTTGACATTAGTGTTGGGTTTGAAGTAATGAGATGAATCTTTTAACATAATTTCAGTAAAACAGAGAGTTACTATCTTACGATACTAAGTTATAGTATAGTTAGAGACGAGCAATTAAGCCGGTTGCTATTCAAGATCATAATATTGAATATGAACCCAGTCGTTCTCAAATCTATATATCCCCCTTTTCATTGATTTATTTACGCCGGCCATCCGAATAAGCGGGTAAAGCCGGGGAGACCACAAACGCATTAAAGATTAGTAACAATTATGCGTAACTATTTTATACAGTCTATGTTGCATTGGTGACCCATGTTTTCTTTAAACATCCAGCCCTAACCGCCTTGCTAGTTTCTTATTAGTCGCATGTACGGCCGGAGGTGTATGTTTTTCTATTCAATATGCCGACTATCTCTATACGCCGGCTTTTATCGGGATTTTCGGTATTGTGATACCCACTCATCCACTCAAGTATGCGTATAAACGACTCCGAGCAGCATCTTAATACTAATAATAATTACCTACGTAGCTTCATTTATAGCCTCTTGGCAATAAGTTAATATACACGACTTCACATCATCAATACAATTCACATACTATCTATTTCCTACTACCATTTGAAGTATAACGCTAGGAAATTAGAAATACATCATGACATCAACATGGGTTCCGGACGTATCTCCCGATAGTCCATTTTCGCTAGCTAATATCCCCTTCGGCATCATTAGCTCGCCGGCCAACCCCGCGCCGCATGTCGCTATCGCCATCGGATCACAAGTGCTTGATCTAAAGGTCTTGTCTGCATATCCGGACTTTGATGATATCTTCCCTGCATTGAAGAATTACCCCGGCATCTTCTCAAACTCCACACTAAACGAATTTGCAGCGCTGGGCCGACCGGTCCATCGAGAAGTCCGTAGGACTATTCAGGACCTCTTATCAACCGAGACATCAAGGCCGGAAATCTTAAAAGATAATTTGGGACTTCGACAAGATGCGGTACTTCCTCAGCAGAAAGTCAAGATGCATCTACCTATGAGTATTGGCGATTACACAGATTTCTATGCCGGATTCCACCATGCGTATTATGTTGGTGCCTTATTCCGCGGGCCTCAGGCGGCTCTACAGCCGAATTACACCCATCTCCCGGTCGGCTACCACGGGCGAGCTTCTAGTATTATTGTTTCAGGCACGCCGATTAAGCGACCCTTTGGCCAGATTATTACTGATCCAACGGCGGAGCCAAAACACCCTACTACAGCTCCCTCACGACGCCTAGATATTGAGTTAGAACTAGGATGCTTTATATCAATCCCAAATGAGATGGGTTCTCCGATCAAAGTCACCAACGCTGAAGATCACATTTTCGGATATGTATTGTTAAACGACTGGAGTGCACGCGACATTCAGACGTGGGAGTATGTTCCGTTGGGTCCCTTTAACGGGAAGAATTTCGCCACAACTATCAGCCCTTGGATTGTCCTAGCAGATGCTCTTGAGCCATTCCGGACTAAGCCGATTGACAACTGGACACCATTACAGGGTTACTTGAATGAAGGCAAAGAGGAGAATATATTCGGAATCGAGCTACAAGTTGATTTAGAGAGTATGTACTTTTACCAGAATGATGCCCGAGAATTGAATCTAACACAGCGCAGCACCACAGGGTGACTCGACGAGGATATGCACAACAAGTTCGAAATACCTCATATGGTCGTTTCCGCAGATGATTGCGCACCACACGCTAGGTGGCTGCCCGCTAAGAACGGGGGATCTTCTCGGCTCCGGGACGATAAGCGGGCCTTCTCAAGGCGAAAGGGGGAGCTTTTTAGAGCTAAGCGAGGGAGGAAGGAAAGATATCATGCTTCAAGGTATGGATGTCCGTCGATTCTTGAAGGATGGTGACAGGATTACTATTCAGGGGATCTGTGGAGAGCCAGGCCGGAGAGTCGGCTTTGGTGAGTGTACTGGTCAAATATTAGGAGCAACGCCACAATAATAGCCTCGTCATCGTAGCTAGATACAACTGTAATCTATATCTACAGAGTACTTAGTATCGGGAAAGAAATACTAAAAATATTGGGCTAAAAGGTATTCCTCGTAGTAGTATCGTACATCTACTTGGAGTCTACTGAATTGCATCGCCACATAGTATTAAATGAAAGATATACTTCATCCATTGGGTACCTAAACTATCAACACCTCGAATAATCAAAACGATTATCCTGTAATTATACGACACTTTCAATTATCTAAGTCATAGTGAGCGCGAATATTGTTTCGTCCTTAAACTTACATATGTTTAGCAATTGCCCTCTCAAGTTCAGCAACAGCGTCCATGAAATTTGTTAGCGCTGTTGTTGGTACATAACGCCTTTATATCATACATCGATGCGAGTAGATATATAAATGCCTAGTCATCTCAAATGTTTTTCAAATAGCTACTCTTCTCATAGCATCACTTTACTCTCTCGAAGTGCAAGCAATAACAAACCAATACAGAATTATCTTTATCTATTACATAACATCCTTAAATCATTATCACAATGGCTAGCAACCGAGCTCTCATACTCAAAAAAGAAGGCCAGGGGTATGGCATGGTCCGCAGTTATCTAGGGAGCGGCTACTTCAATGTCCAGGTTCTGGGCGTAGAGCAAAATAGTGTTCCATGCATCGTCATTGGGGTGCCTAGGGGTAACCTTCGCGTAGCAGCAGGCGATATTGTGCTTTTTGTCGATGATGAATCTACATATACGTCGGAGATTGTTGAGATCATTAAAATCTACGAAAGACATGAGGTTGAACAGCTAATTGTTCGTGGTGAGATAACTGGCCGTTTTGAGCTCGTTCCCGAAGAGTAAGTAGCCTATTGATATGAGGCTAGGCGAAGGATATTTTCTCCGCCAGAATGTTAGGCGGTTAGCTTAGTCCCTGTTATTTATATAAAAAGAAACAAAAAAAAAATAGGTAAAAAGTAGAAAATAGAAAAAAAAGGAGCAAACCTTCCAAAAAGGGGGGTTTGCAGATTTAAACATAAACAATGTAACCATGAGTTATCGTGACATAATTTTAATAATTGAGACTTGCCAGGGATTTGGATGTATTTCATATGACACTCGTAAGATATCGAGTTGTGTAGAAAGGCGCTGCATTATTAACCATGAGTTAACAAAATGGCCTAACAATCTCTCTTGTAGCTAATAAGCCTGTCACATAACACATCCTATGTTCGCAGTCACTACAATACATTCACATAACCAATAAAAGCAGCGAGAAATGAGATCTTCAAGTCGTGATATTATTATCAACTTCGCTATGCGGCGGCCAGCCAGCCCGCACAGCCTCGTGTTAAAGGCATCAGTGTTGGGACGACTTCATCTGTTATGCCTTGTTGCAATCCTTTGCAAAATGGGGTATCTTGTGTGTGCTCCAGCTCCAGCTTCGCTTCTCACAGTACTTTCTCACCGCTATGCTTTCCCTCCCGTAATCAGAACAGTTATTCGCGCTCTTATTATTATATGCATGCATTGCTCCTAGTAAAGACCGACGCAGATGTCACCGCGGACTCGTGCTGTCAGGTGGACTTCTGCTTCTAGGTCGAGCTTGATACCGACTAGGAGAGCAGCGGACTTCTGGTTGCCGTGCTCGTCGGTTGCACCCCTTAGAAGTTGGCCTGGGGAGTATGGGTTAGTGACGCCTATTGCTTTTGTATAGTGGATGCTTTAATCTTACCTGCTGGCTGGGCTAATCCTGCCGAGGTGGGGAGCTTAGGTAGAGCTGAAGCAGCTTGGGAAAGCTGGTTCTGAGGACGACGACCGCCACGAGCCTGGCCGTCTGATTCCGAGTCGCTGTTGTAAGCGACGTTGTTCTTCATGGGGATAGCGGAGGTACTGGGAAACACATGTTAGATCTGATATACCATCTCAAGAATAGGTATCGAGAGACTCACGTGCTAGTAGTGGCCATTTTGAATTAGTTAATAGGATTGATCAAAGGAGATCTCAAAAAATAGAATGGTGAATTAGCGGCGGAGTGGTAATCACGTTGCTAGGTCAGGCCTGCTGAAGAATTGAAGAAGGAAGCTGTTGATGATGATGTTGATGCTGGATGATGAGGATTAATTCTTCACTATCGAGCTGAGCATCAAGTGTTCTTATATCGTCAAACTTCAACATAGACACTCCGTTTCTCCAGACTCTCTTACTAAGTCCTGTCCCTCGGAGCGGTCGAAACACAAATTACTGTTGGGCTGGCCGCGACGCAGATCCCATTGATAATCACGACGATGTAACGCACTCGTCCGATATGGTACGATGGAAGTCGTCCAATTATCCCTTGCCAGAGTTACAGCGAAGCCTTGGTTGCGCTCTCATTGCTTCCCTAGCGCCGGGGATGTGGGTGGAACCCTGATCAAAGCGTTGAGCCTCAGACATCAAGGGTCTCGCTTTACCCCTGTCCCGCATAACAACGCTCAGATCTGATCTGAGAATGGCATGACAAGTCGGAGAATAGAGGCTAGTGAATGGAACGGAATTTCTCTCTTACGGGGACCCTGAAATCGATAAAGTTCTGGATTTTCATTTTTTTCTATGGTGTATGGTGTATGGTGGTGTATGGCTTGCCGCTGTATTCAAGTACGGCAGATCTCTTACCCCTTTTCTGAAGCATTAGAAGCATGCAATTCCTCCGGACATGTAGCATGTATGTAGACTGAGCTTCAATATGTCAAATGCTATTGTCAAACAATTCCCTTGTGAGTTATACGACAACAATACATATGTATGTGCTTGGGACAATGAACCTATATTATGAGGATTCGGACATACCCATGGTTGAAAGGCTTCTGGTATCGAATTGCGTATTCCCTATTTCGGAATAGCCACTATTAGTAAGGCCGCTATGGGTTGAGGTTAATAAACCCTGTCAAATACATACCCCTGAACGTCAACTCAACCTAGTCCATCGTAGCCAACGACGTGGACACGACTTTTGCTTCAATTTATCCCCACAGCTGTCAAGCTTTGACTCTTGAATATTTACGTTACAATTCGGCGATCACGCGGAGACTCACTATAAGACGCGGAGTGCGTTATGAATATCTGTAATTATTTTTGAATAAGGGTATCTTCAATGATTCGCCCGCGAATTACATGGCGGCTCTATATATTATATACTATATTCTATGTACTGTTGACATGCTCTTCCGAGACGGCCTCATCTTCAACGTAAGGCTGTTTATACCCAGGTCCCATGAATTCATTAGCTTGCTCTTCGAGAGCGTCTAGTCTATCGGCGATAGAACTAGCTGCTGTGACAGACGCGGTGTCGCTAAGGTCATCGGCTTTCCTTGCCGCGGACCAGAACGAGACGTTGTCGGTCGCTACGCTAGGCGAATGGGGGGCAGTACCAGATGTATGCTCTGCGTGGGAACTGGGGTCGAGGTGTAGATTGCTTAGATCAAGCTGTGCACCGCCTACATCTGCCTCTCCTGTAGCCTGGTCCTCTGTAGTTCCCCCGTCCTGTTGTGACGGTACTTCATTTCTTTGCTCATTCGCATTAGCTAGTTGTTGTGTACGAAGCATTTCTTGCTTCTCCTCTTCCTCTCTTCGAGTTTGCTCCTTATGTTGTTTCATCTTCTCATCCAGAGTCTGCGCCTGGTTCGGGTCTGGCTCAGGCTTACGCTCTTTCTTCTCTCGCCGGGTCAATTCCACTTCGAGTACTCTAGTTCCCATTGGGACTTTAGTAGTTAAGCCATCGTCGTCGCGATCGAAATATAGAGCCCAGACTCCCGGGAACTCCTCGACTGCAGCAAAACCTTCCCAGCCTTCTAGAATCATGCGCCGGTCCTGCCGGGTGCAATCGAATGGTCCTGTTATATGGTCTTGTGCATCGGCGCGGACACCATACTTCACTTCGTATGTGTCCTTGTCGACGTATATCCAATTCAGCATTGGTGGGTCGTCGCTTATAGTGCTAACAAGACCTTCGTATGTTTTGTCAGGATATGGTAAATAATATCCTGCAAACGGATGTCCACTTCTTGTAGTATTTGCCGCATTATCTTCCGCAGATAGGTCTCCAGTAGTGATATAGAGCTATGATATTATACGTTAGTAATACTTCGCGGTGTTTATATTATCATGGGATGATTTACCTTGTTATCCTTTAGAACGACTAACTTGCCGTTTATATCTCGACTGCGGATTGATTGCTTTACACAGGAGACGACAAGATTGCAGCGACGACCTCGGTGCTCTTCCCGTTTACTTTTGGACTGACTTTGTCGGATTGCCTCTTGTGTTCCTAGCAGAGCAGGGGCAATCGTGAGCGCCAATATCATAGGTATAGACATGGCGACTTCTTCGAGAGCTTCTTGAAGAGTCTTCCCTTGAAATGTAAAAGTCTGTGAGGTATGAATATTCGACGACATCAGTTTTCGTATTCAAATAAGGGGTTCCAAGTGCTGTAGAAAGGGGTGCAGGAAACAAGAATGGGCAAATGTTATGACTGGTAAAGCTCACAGTGACTGGTTCGAGGTAAGCAAAAACAAAAACAAAAAAAAAACACAATCTTGTTTCTTACAATATTCAACAAGTTTTCGTAAAATACGATCAAAGCTCAAGAATCGAGATGGGGAACGTTCATGGATCCCCTGTCGTGGTTTCAGATGCAACGCTGTCTGGGGAGCTGTGTGGACTGGGCCCATATCATATGTTTTCCAGGACCTTGGTGTCTCAGCCCTTCCCCGTGTATCTAAAATCATGCGTTTAATTATTCTCCAGCCTCACCTTCAACAATTGTTGTTTTGATCATGAGTTTAGCTGCTGGCAGCTTGCTGTCAGTTCCACGATCCGAGATTGTAATAACTAATCCCTATACTGTACAATGATCTTCATGCTTCAGTATACTAACTTCTAAATACGGCTGGTACGAATTAAATTGGTGTATGGTTGGGATGTCATGTAATAATATTCAACGCTGTCGAAGAAATCATAATGATCGCGGATATCCTGCAATCTCTAGCTAACAATGCCGACGACTCGGATGGCGTAGCGCAGCTCGTCGTGACGGCACTCGGATCTAGTGGGCAGCACTACATCTGCTGGAAGACTCATTCGGGGGAATACAGGCAGCGTATGTTCCTAAATATTAATCATCCAGTATTATTCATTTTCTCACTTTTGTTGAAATATAGGATCTCATGGCCTCCCGAGGCGTTTAGAGGACTGGCTGTTTCCAGTTGATGGTAGCACGAGAGACTTTGAGACTTTACAGGTGATACTCTCGGGGGAGGACACGTTCTGGGCATCAGATAGGGATGGCGAAGTTCGGAGCGAACCTGCGGATCCCCAGCAGCAGATGCTCCGACGAGCTCTGACATTCAATGGCGGAAGCCCTTCTTCGGGGGCCAAACGGCGGATGAGCAGAGCCCGAGAACTATCGGGGGCCGATAAGGAACGGCCACGATCGAGCACGTTGCCGTCTATGTCACCGACAGCAGTCGATAATCTCCCTGGGCCTCACCTAAAACCAGAACCAGCAGCCCATAGTCGGTCATCATCTGCGGACAAGTTACGCCGGATATCTCTCGTGCCAATCGCATTCCACCGACGGGAACGGTCGTGGGCTACACGCCCCCGCAGTTTAATATACAGTAGCGAAGACTTAGGTGTGCTTAAAGAGCAACCGAGCCCTCAAGGCGTGGATACTCCACCAACACCAGCGAAGCCTTTAGCTTCGGTAGATACCAAGGCTCCGGGTAGTCGTTGCACCTGCGAATATCATAATAGAGGCACTGCGGGTGTACATAAGCCCGAAGAAACCTCAAACGTCAAACCCAGGACGAGCTACGCAGACGCCAGCGTCCAAACAGACCCTATACCCGAACCCGAGGTCGATGAATTTATATCAAATCGGCAAAGAAATTCCAACCATCACCGTCGGCGAGAATCTTCTTACTCCGCCACAAGCACAACCGACTCCTTTAACTCGTCATCTTATCCCAGCAGTAAGCGTTCGAGTATCGAAACCGTTACGACACAGCCCGACCTCGGAGACTGCCATCTAGAGTCCAGAGGAAAATACAACGGAAGAGGATGGCAAGAGCCGCAACAGCACTGGGAACAGCTGTCAAATCCTGTGGCAATGGGTCGGATGCAGGCTTATTTCCGCTCCTCAACATATATACTTGGCGCTGCTCTTCAGCCTCAGGGGCTGGCGTAGGGTGCCTAGATTTGATTTCGTACTCGCACACATTATCGAACGTGGGAGATAAAGGAACAGCTCTGAAAAAACACAAGGGCTACGGTATAGAGTGGGTTGCACATATAAAATATCATCTACGGGGGTGGGCGCTTCTTTTATTACTGTATATTTTTAATTACTGGCTTTCTTGGGGCTATTCATATGTACAAAGATAGATAAAAATCCAGCAACTAGCTGTGAAGTATATTTTATTCGTTGAATCTTTTACCCGCCAAAGTTTATGAGTGTCGATTATACTTAGCTTCAACTATCGTTTTATATTGGAGAGCTGTGAAGTAGTAGGGAATAAACAATGATACCGTTAATAGGAGGAATTTTCTAGGTCTATTCCAGTGCCTACACGCGGCTATAGCTAATATTTAGTCTACTTTTCCTTTCGCTCCTTTTAATTTTCTTACTAGTTTCGCAACACCTGCGATAATCTTATTCTTTAGACCACCACCATTAGCCTCAGGGCCCTCATCAGCTCCCACAAATCGTCGAATTAATATATTGTATAAGCCACCGAACGCAAGGGCAATAACCGTGCTTGTGAAGATGATGACATTATACGGCATACTGAAGTCTGGTGTTGGCAAGCTGAGGAGGAGGGATGTAGTCCGTAGGTTTGATGTCTTCTGTCGCGCCAATGGGGCGTCTGGGGATGTGGATGGCAAAATGGTTATGATAGCCGCCGCAACGTCGAAGCCGCGGTTGGCGTCTGGTGGATATTCGGTGTACCGTAAGATGGATTTTTCAAAATCGTACGTAAGAAAAACTGTGCTAGCTGGTGGAATGCGCATCCGAAGCTCGAGCTGTGTTCCTCGGACACGGTCCAGAGCTGGCCGGTAATAAATCTCCTCGATGATGTCATCATTTGACCCTGGTACTCCATTGATATGAGTTGTAAGTGTATGAAGGTAGATTTTCATGAACCAAGGTAAACTTTCCATATAAAAGAATTCAACCTCCGTATCTGGGCTCGGATTAGTGAGGATGGTCCTTACACCACCGCGCTCGTATCCGTGGCCTGTAAAGCTACGCTCCGCATATAAAAGCGGAGTTTCGGGCTCGACAATCTCATCGGCATTCGTTTTGGGATGTTCGCCTTCTCGTGACATATGGGGGAGAATCATCGAGAAGTCAGATTCCAGTGGAACTTGGTAGCATCGTGAGAGCTGATTTGGATTTTTAATCTCGCTCGCACCAGCAGTTGTGTAGATATCCCTGCTATGAGGAACTTGGATACAGATAGGAGGGACATCTGGGTCAGTCAATGGGCAAGCTCCCTTAATTGTCTTGCCAAAGATTTGATCGAGCGCCCACTCTTGACCCTCTGCATAGTCGGTAGGGAAGCATGTATCTCCGGAATGATATGGTTTTGACGAATTACATTTCAGCTCATGGCCTGGTAGCGGTCGCGGTATAGGGTTATCTGCGTTGTGTTAGAGCTAAGGTGGTAAATGGTACAGCTGTATTCTTACCCCTAGGTCGTTTAGACCTTTCGATATCCAAGACCATGTCGATTGTTTGCTCAATCTGCAGCACGCATTCTTGACCATCTTGACACAGCGGTCGAATATCGATCGCCATGCTCTGCCAAGATGCGTCGAAGAGTTTATGTCCATCAAGTAGAGTCGATATTCCGGCCTTTCCCTTACATGGCAGCAGCTTTAAAAACGGCGTCAAGTTCTCCGTACAAACTACTTCCCTCGGCAGTACACCATGTAATAATTGCATATTAGCCAAGGTGGTGTTCGAGTGGTCTCCTTCGGGTTGGAAGGACATGACTGGGCGAGTCGTTCTAGTTTCGTCGATGAAGTTTAGCGAAGCGCAGAAGAGGCCGGATAGTGCGTTTGTTAGACTCAACCACTTGCGACTGGCCCTATCAGTAAGTAGAGTTAGTATATAAAATCAATAGCTAGATCATTATTTATAGCATACTCTTCATCAGTGTCTGCTTCAAGCCATGCCCACAGCTCGACGCCTGTTCCACCCTCCTTAGTACCCTCCCATGGTCTTGCTCCCCAGCTCTCGGCATCCCATCTCCCTAAGCTGAACCTCAGATGTAACTCTCTTGTTCCCACATGTTGTAATATTTGTCCTAGCGATCGAGGAAAGTATTGGAAATTGTGCGCTTCGAATTGCGACAAACTAGTATTGGATCTGAAGTTGAAGCTGGCGAGAACGGTAGATTGAGGCAACGGTTTAAGAATTAACTGTTCATAATAATCGGAAGCAATAGCAACAGTCCAAAACAGAATCGAAAAGGGTATCAAGTAAGAAAAGGAATGACGCATTGTGGCCGTCGATAGTCCATGAGGACGACCGATTTTCTTTTTATGGTTGGTGGTTGTAAATGGTAGTTTTAATACGTCGATTATTGGATACGAGATCCAGCAACGTGGAATTATTTCAGTGAGGCTACAGGTACAATAAGGTACCTAACTGTTAGTCAGATAAAGGACCCCTGGCCGTTTACCTGGCTTCTGTGCCCCTGCCGAGCCCACCAAGCAATGCAAGCTAAACCCACTAAAGGTGCCTAAGAATGACTTAATTGGTCCCCGCAAATATCAATCTTTGGAAGCTACTTTTCTCTAATGCCAATTAATTCAGCCCTGTTGCCATCGTCCATCGACTTTTTTTCACAATCACGCCAACACCAATTATCACCAGCCCTTTCCAAGACAACTCACCCCAAACAACCAATAAACTCGCCCTAATATAATTAATTTAACGTCTACCAATTTGAACATCAAAAATGGCGGCAGAGCAAAGAAAGCTGCTTGGTAATAATAAATCCAACCTCTCCTATTTCAGAACCATCTGGCTAACTCCCGTCCAGAGCAGCTCATGGGCGGACCACAAACGTCGCGCTCTTCCCAAGTCTCCCTAACCGACCCCAAAGTCTGCCGATCCTACATCGTCGGCACCTGTCCACACGACCTATTCACCAACACGAAACAGGATCTCGGGCCGTGTCCCAAGATCCACGCCGAGTCGCTAAAGACCGAGTACGAAGGCTTGCCCGAGCCCGCGCGCCAGAAGTACGGCTTCGATATCGATTATGCTCGTGACCTACAGAAATATATCGAAGAGTGCAACCGGCGTATCGATGCCGCCCAGCGCCGACTCGAGAAGACCCCCGACGAGATCCGGCAGACTAACGTGCTGCTCAAATCCATCTCCGACCTGAGCTCCACCATCAACTGCGGGTTACAGGAGGTGCAGATTCTCGGCGATCTAGGCGAGGTTAGCCGCGCGTACGAGGAGTTCTTCAAGGTGCGGCAGGCGGCCCAGGCCAAGATGGAGCGTGAGCGCGAGCTCAAGACCCTTGCCGATACTAGCGGTCCGTCAGGGCACCAGAAACTCCAGGTCTGCGATGTGTGCGGCGCGTACCTCTCGAGGCTAGATAACGACCGTCGGTTGGCGGACCATTTCTACGGCAAGATGCATCTAGGTTACGCGCAGATGCGGAAGACCTACGACTCCTTGCCCAAGGATATCAGAGGGCGTCCGCGTCCTTCGCTCCAAGATGACGGTCCCATGCGGGACGATGGCTACGGTGACGGTGGATGGAAAGGAGGGCCCAGGGGGCCTAGACGTGGCGGATATGGAGGTAGGAGTGGTCGTGGTTTTCGAAGTGGATGGTAACGTAATGGCAACATCAAAGCATGTGAAGGAGTTACTGGCGTATGGGCTTCAGTGGTCAAAATTAGACATGATATCACTATGGACAGGCGCACATAAAATACTTCGATTGGTTCTTGATAATAGAAGCCTTTTGCTTTTATTTGGCTTTTCTGGTATCTCTAATTCTTATATGCCTGGGCGGTGTTGCGCGAACCTGTAATCCAAACCTCCATCTCTGCAGATTATCCTTAGCGTACACTCTATCGGGCATTCTGTTTTTTTTTCCTTATTTTTTCTTTTCCCTCTTTAGACCGCATTCTCTTATAAAGGGACGCTTTAAGCTCCAGACTTAACGTCTAGAGCGGCCATCTCATCATCCCATTTTCCAATCGGCGAATTAAGCTCAGGTAATGGGATAGGAGAATTCGTCGTATCTAGCTTCTTGGCTGCTGGCAAAGCCGGAAAGTCCTCTGCGGTGGGAGGAGCTTGTGCCGCTTTTTGTGATGGGGGTTTGTTGCCATTTTGTGTCGCCGTTGTCCCTGACGTCTTATAGGCGCTACCCCTTTCGCCGTCATGATTGAAGCCTCCTCTACCTCCTCTACCACCGCCTCTAGTCGAACCTCCCCTGCCGCGTCCACCACGCCCTCTTCCTCTAAAATCGTCGGGGCCAAACTCTCTAGGGATTGCGTCATTATCCCTCTCCGCAAATCTACTCCCAGCTATGCCACCGTTGTTACGTGCGCCACGAATACCACCGTTTGCGCTCCGGAAGCCGGCCCTTCTATCTCTCTCTTCTTCGAGGTTATTACCCTCGTCCCAGCTGCCACCTTCCTTGGCGCCCATAGCCTTGAGTTTCCGCTCGCGATTTGCGGCGCGCTCGTCGTCCATACGGCGCCTCTCTTCCTCACCTCTGCGACGTCGCTCTGCTTCCTCGGCCCGACGACGCCGCGCCTCTTCCATGCCTTTCTCATAAGCGATGGCGTGTGAGCGACTATCGCGCTCTGCTTGCTCAAATCGGCGCGTCTTCTCCGCATTTAAGATTCGCATCTGTTCCATCTTACTCGCGAGCTCGGATTCGGTCAGCTTCTGACGAGGATTTGCGCCGGATGCCAGCCGGTCTGCGAGCGCCGTATTCTGCCCGAGCTTCACAGTCGCCGCTTGCGCTTTCTTGTCGCTACCCCCGCCCCCACTACTACTGGTACTTTTAGCTGGAGAATCCTGTTGTTGCGGTTGTTGTTCCTGTTGCTGCTGCTGCTGCTGCTGAGAATCTACCGCTGCGGGTTTTGGTGAGTGCTTGCGCGGTCGCGATTGATGATGTGAGGACGACGGAGGCTGCTTTGCATGTCGCGATTGATTGAGAGATCGAGGCGTATGAGGGGTTGGAGTAGGTTGAACTGCTACTGTGTTAAGCTGTTCGGAATTCGCAGACGGTAATTGATCCTCAACTACCGGGGGAGCGCTTGGTTCATTTTTCGTCTCTGGCTCGTTTTCTCGGGTGTCGACAGGTTCGAACTCGTCTGCAAACAGATCGTCATCGGTACGTCCGTTGAATTGGTCGTCCATGGTAGGCTATAGCTATAGGATAATAAATGTATAAGTGAGAGGAAAGTAAAGCAAAGCAATGAAAGCAATGAAATGCAGCCAACGAAGAATAAAGCAAAGAAATTGGTTTATGCTAAATTATTGGACTAATGTTTAATATTCTTAACGACACGTTGGGATAACGAAGGATAAAAAAGTCGAGCCCCGCCACCTGATGTCCACTACTTTGAGGGCGGGCGCATAATCCACCTTCCACCTTCCACCTTTTACCTTCCTGCCCAGAAGATTTAAGCGGAGAAAGTCACGGCCCGCTTTCCCCAGATGACGGACGGGAATAAGTGGAATCCTGTCTACATTAGAACTTATGAATATTCTCAATTAAATCATTAAAAATATCATCAATATAACCTCATTTAATACCTTTAATATTACGTAACGGCTATATGACATCATCCCTTACTTTGGAATCAAGCTTATCGCTTACTTATTCTTCTTCGGCATATGATTGACTATGCCTAATTAGTTGTTGTTCGTGGGGAAGACAACTACTCGCTCTCCATCCCTCGAGGTTATCCAAAATTCGCTTCAACCTGTCCTTAGAATTGTTCGAAGTCAGCTAAAAAGCAACATGAAATTAAATTTATATAATAATAATAATGGACTCCTCGCAAAAGAAGCTATTTACGCAATCTGGCAACCAATAAGACATGCATATATGAAGAGTCGACCAATATATCTTAGATTTGACGAGTCAACCGTGTAGTTCACAGAGAACCTGTTGGCAATCTCTTCGCGATAGCTTCCTTTAACGTATCAAAATTTTCTGCGAGTTCAAGTCCATATCTTTGACATATGATCTGGACGTTTCCCCTCTTCTTATACCCCTCAGGACACACGACGATAGCTTTCTTAGCTCTCGCGCAAAGCCCAAGCTCCATCAGGCTGATGGGTGCTTCAGTTGCCGGGTGAAAGAATATGACGACTATATGGGCCTTTTCCTGCATGTCAAGTTCCCATTCTACCTGTTCTCGAAAAGGTTCACATGTAATATCCTCTCGCCAGCTTGAGTCCCAATCCGATCGATACGGATTGATGACGGTGAGGGGCAGATCCGCGAGAGATTCGGTTAGCACCTCGCGCCAGTCTCGGGTATCGTCTATCCTAGTAGTGGTACCGGCCAGAAAGATGGATATGATACCGTTGTGATCTACCCTTGACGGCGCAAGTATGATTTGATTTCGAGGGTGAGTTTGCGGCATCTTACTGATTTTCACGTGTTGGGATGGTTAAGATGAATTGATGATCAGACAAGGCTCTAGATCGACAGGCCAAGCTGCTAATGATGCTGCATACGGCTGGCACAGCCATACATCAAGTTAGCCATAACCCACCTATTAATAACAACAGCCTCAGCCTCACAGCATCAGCTCAGCTAGCTAAGCGACATTTACATACTGTTATACATATGACGACCTTCGCCTATAATACTTCGCATGTTAAGATATATCTAACATTTCAAATATACCAATTATTAACCTATTAGCATCTCTCTTGAGCATCAAGTATACATAGTACCTAGGTAGGTATATAAGAACCCCACTTGATTGGCGTATATAACTTCACGACTACCTGAGACATTACGGACATAAATGATAAGCTCGCACGTTTACACAACCCAACATCCGATATGTTATCTACTATCTACGGTGGCAATGAACAAGACCCCCGCCATTTGGAGAAGTGGATATGATAAGCGATTCCATTCTGGATTCCCCCCATTCTCCCCCTGGCTCATCTATCCCTCTCGTTGGCGGATGTCGGTTCAAGATTACCGAATATATGAGAGTAGCCACCAATACTCGCTCAATTCCATGAGCCGACCTGGTCTAGGATACACCAAACCCACACCCGATGACACAATGCTTTCCGGTTTTGGTCACACTTCGTCTAAGCTGATTGCTTTGGGAAGGTCAAAAAAACAAAAGGGAGTGTTACCAACCCATGCGGGGAGTGCCAGGGATGTGATATACCGGCTGGCTGGCAATCTCTAATCCATCCGTCAGACCCTGTTTTGATAGGTGACTCTCGGATATGAGGCGACTGAAAGGTATCTCGACCCATTGAGGATACAAGAGATAAGACTTGTCTATACCTCCATGGCTAGGTCAAAATTCTTATTTCTAGGCATCACGAATTTACTCTATAGCACTTGGGGATCATTCGCTGGCCACCATGGGATTTCCCTTCGGAAGAGTAGATACTTCCGATAAAGCCACATCCGAGATCAGTCCAAACCCAGCTGAGAGCGCGACACCTAATTCCTCCAACGAGAAGCTTCGTGATATAGACGTGGCCACTGCCATCAAAGATCTTAATCAGATTCAGCACGCCCACCAATGGGACCCTAATCTTCCCCAAGAGAAGCTCGATGCCGTCAATTCGGCACTTAAGCATGGGGATGTCAAGGAGATTATCGAGGCCGACTCGCTATTTAGCGAAGACTCACCCTACGAGGAGGTACGTGCCGCTGTGCGCAATACCGATGGCGGAGAAGTCGCGTGTACTGTGAGAGCCTGGATACTAGGGATGATCTTTGTCACTCTTGGCAGTGGCTTAAACATGTTGTTGAGCATGCGGAGTCCAATGGTTAACTTCCCAGCTTTGGTGGTCGTGCTGTTAGTCTATCCTGTCGGATCTCTATGGGCAAAGATCATGCCAACAAGAGTATTCAAAACCTTCGGTCAGGAGTGGACTTTGAACACCGGCCCCTTCACCATCAAAGAGCATGTAGTCGTCACTATTATGTCGAATGTCAGCATCGCATATGCATATTCCACTGATGCATTGCTTGCGCTTCAAGGAAAGCCTTTCTACAACCTCAATCTAGGCTGGGGCTTCTCTTTGATGTTTACACTGAGCTCGCAGCTGATTGGAATATCGCTATCCGGGATGTTTAGACGGTTTCTAATATATCCCGCCGCAATGATGTGGCCTTCCCAGTTTAGTTATACCTCTCTTTTCTACGCCCTCCACGACAAGAGTAAGAGTGATGGTAGCACATCCAACGGGTGGGTGATAAGTCGCTATCGGTACTTCTTCATCGTGATGAGCGGCATGTTCTGCTACTACTGGATACCTGGTGTACTCTGGCAAGGTCTGTCCGTGTTCGCTTTCGTGACCTGGATTAAGCCAGAGAACCCTGTGCTCAACCAGCTTTTTGGTGGGTTCACGGGGCTCAGTTTTATCCCGCTGACCTTTGACTGGACCTATGTCTCTGCCTACTTGCTAGACCCGTTGCTAGCTCCGACATATGCTCATGTTAATACTCTAATTGGTCTTGTCTGCTTCGTCCTCATTCCGTGTATTGGAATGGCATATACTGGTTCTCTGTAAGTTACGTTGCCTCCTATTTTTTTGTCATGGATTGAAGGACTCGCCGGCAAAGACTATTTCTAATGAATTTATAGTTACACTGATTATCTTCCTCTCGTGACATCCCAGACTTACGACAATACGCAGAAGGCATACAACGTCTCGAAGATTCTCGGAGATAGTTTCACTCTCGACTTAGAAAAGTATCATAGTTATTCGCCGCTATTCCTGTCCCCCTCATTGGCTTTAAACTACGGACTGTCCTTCGCCGCCTTGACGGCGGCGCTTGTACACACTGCACTCTTCAACGGAAAAGAAATTTGGTATCGTTTCAAAACTGCGCGCAATCAAGAACCCGACATTCATCTTAAACTGATGAAAAATTACCGCGAGGCCCCTGAATGGTGGTATTATGCACTTCTAATAGTCTCCATCGCATTCGGACTCGCAACCGTGCTGACGTACGATTCTCAACTCCCTTGGTGGGGGTTCTTCGTTTCCGTCATCCTAGCACTCCTGTTCGTGATCCCTACGTGCATGGTAATGGCCGTTTCGACTATCCAACTATCTCTAAACGTAATTTCGCCATTTATAGCCGGCTTCATATTCCCAGGTCGTCCCATTGCCGTGATGATCTTCAAGGTCTTCAGTACAATCACGTTAGGGCAGGCTCAGACATATGTACGTAAAAGTATTCTCTCGCTCACCTTCCACCCACTTCTTTCATTTGCGAGGGCCATTGGCCTTTCAATATATAACAACCTACTTGGGTTTGATTAAATTACTAACAAAGAGTAGAGCACCGACCTAAAGACAGCTCATTACATGAAAATTCCGCCTAGGGTCACCTTTTGGTGTCAGGTCATAGCCAGCATATGGGCCGTGTTCGTCCAGATCGCGGTGATGAATTGGACGTTAGGGGCTATTCCTAATGTTTGTGCTCTGTAAGTTATACCACATAAATCCTCGTATGTCAAGCAGGCTAATATATTTTTCGCAGTAATCAACCCAGTCATTTCAGCTGTCCTAACGGGCGGGCCTTCTTCTCATCATCAATCGTGTGGGGAGTCATAGGGCCGGAACGCATGTTTGGCCCTGGATCTATGTACGTGAACTTTAACTGGTTCTGGCTTATCGGGGCTGGATTCCCGGTTGTGTTGTGGTTTCTTAGCCGTAAGTTGAAGATTGGCTTCGCTCGCCACCTCAACGCACCGATCATGTTTGGAGCTATGGGATGGTTGCCGCCAGCCACACCGATCAGCTTTTCATCATGGGCAATCTTCGGCTTGATCTTCAACTATGCCATAAGGAAGAAATTCGGCGGCTGGTGGAGAACGTACAACTATGTCACGGCTGCTGCTCTCGATGCGGGGCTCATCTTGTCGACTATCGTCATCTTTTTTGCGATAACTCTTCCGGGAGTTACCATCCCTCAGTGGTGGGGCAATGTGGATGTATTCAATACAGTTGTAAGTCTAGATCAGTCTAACATGATTGTGCGATGTTAGGTTTGGTTCATATGGTTGCTAACCATAACAAATAGGATGCATCATACACGGGGTGGCTTAAGACAGTACCAGAGGGCGAGAAATTTGGACCGGGGACGTGGTAGAATCAGACTACAGCAAGCCGTGAAAGTCTTATGGCAGAGGCTTAGAGAGTGCTCAAGCTAACTTTTCAGCTACTACAACAGTCATGTCACAAATATTTGATGCATACCTACCTACCTATACACCAATCTTTACAATCATGACTATAATTTTGAATGAACGGAACAAACTAATACAAGAGGAAAGGTTGGCAAGCTGCATCTTCGGTGAAATTTATCTGCACACCTGCTTGGTATCAAATCCATTGACACGGTGAGTCACCTTCAATCCAGCTATAAATATCAATGCTGTAATTGATAGGAAAGGCCCTATTAGATATCTCTTACATAGGACTGAGGTCAGTTGTAGAACATTACTAAAGGCTCGGGGCAATAAGAAGCACTAATTACTCTTTACACTCGAAATGGATCCTACAAATCAGCCAGGAGCTTCTCCGGAGCTGCCACAGTTTCCCCATATTCAAGTCATTGAGAATACTCAGAAGATAGCAGACTTGTATCATTCTGGCAAGAAAGTTTGGATAAAGAGTGATTTTGAACGGATTGAGCACGAGCTTATGCACTGGCGGACTCAGCCATCGTTTAATATTCGTCGTACGGATGGCTCGGTGGTTTCTATTAGAAATCCAATGTTTGGGGTATCGGATCCTATATGGTAGTTCCTAGTGCCATCTACACATACGCGAGTTACATCAGGCTAACAAAGATATGCTCTTGGTGAAATAGGAAACCGGTTGTAAAGTTCCAAAACTACTGGTACATGATCACGATGGAATCCACAGACATCTTCTTCCCACAATTTCTTCCGTACTCCTTTCCTTATTATTCATATATCATTGAATGGAAGAACCAGGCATTTAACAACTTTGTCGCCAGCGTACAACCCCCCTTGGACGCTCAGTTTAAGGAGATACAGGAAGTGTGGGAACGATCCTCGACGTGCGCCTTGCTTAAACAAAAGCTTACTTTCCAAAAAGGCTTTAGGAAAGTTAACAAGGTTCTGTGCTTTGCCTTAGGAGATATGGTTCCTACTTTCCGCTATGGCCGCTATGGCACCCTTTATCAAGCTCGTGGCGCCAAACCCGATATTATGCGATGTAGCATGAGCCAGCATGCGGTTGCTTTGACGATAGGGGCTGCATTCCGTTCGACGACAGCCGCTAACGTGGAGATTTTGGCCCATAACCCGGATTATAGCCCGGCAAGTAAGGCTCTGTTGAAAAGCCTTGGGATATCTGTCGTCGGTGAGCACGGTGCCGGAGGCTTCAGTGAGATTGTCGACGATTCGGTCGTGTTCTTCTATTATCCGAACTTCCCCTTGAGCGAAATTATTGCCGACATTGCGAGACCAGCTATGATTATTAGAAGTGACCGCACCTACGTCCTAGACAACATTGATCGCGGGATAAGATGTTTTCCATACCCTGCTAACGCGGAGACCCCGCGGGTCAGAGAAATGTGGAAGGATTACACGGAATACGACTTCGAAATTATGGACCGTGATAGACATGCATTGACGGGTCTCAAATCGTTTAAAATACATATTCGAAACGATATAACAGGGGGGCCATGTAACAGCGAAAGAAAGGAAAAGAACTAAACATTGAGAGTCCATATGTTTAATTTCAAATGATGTTAGCCAAGCTAGTAACTTGTAGAACTACCTAAGGAATAGCCTAGTTATGCTAAAGCATCAATTCTACCAAACCGTCTCTAACCCGTTAACTCCTACCGGACGTTCGGCAAGGGTAGTGATGCGGAATCCGTGACGCAAGCCTTCTTCCTCGTTATGTACATCGTAGTCGGAGATAGCAGTGTGAGCTGTAACTCTATTATCCCAGAGCGACACAGTCTGGTCGTCCCACTTCACGCGGACTTGGATATCCGCACTCTGGGAGATATGCTATGGAATAATATAGTTAGATAATACCCAAAGCGAAGTCAACGTATAACTACTGGGAGAAACTAACCTTGAAGAGGAACTGGAGAATCGCGTCAGACTCCTCGGTTTTCAGGCCTATGATCTTCTTCGTAAACCCCGGGTTTATAAAGAGTGCTTTCTGGCCAGTGACCTAGGAAAGGAAGGTTAGATTTATTTATCTACAATTTAAGGAAGGAAATTTTATACTTACTGGATGTACCCTTACAATCGGGTGGTCCGACTTAACAGGTTCGCGACGGACGAATTTGCCGTCGCGACGTGCACCATCGGCTTGTGGAAATCCGCTGTGTTCAGCCCGTAGGCCCTCTAGCAATGCCTTGATCGGCTCGGAAAGCCTCTCGTACGCTACGACCTGAGATGTCCATGCAGTATCACCACCGGTAGAGGGCACCGCCAGCAGCGTAAGAAGCGTGATTCCAGGAGGTTGGTGTTCATATGAGACGTCCGAGTGATACCCGGTGGTAGTTAAGCGCTCCAAGCGGCGTTGGGCTCTGTACAGGTTGTCTGGTCCAAGGTAGATATTGTGGAACTCAATGGCCCCATCGACGTGAGCTCCGACGGGCTATACGACGTTAAATACTAGCACGTAGGAGTACAGAAGTATGTAATACTTACGTGAACATGTAGACGACCAAAGTACTGGCCAAACTCCTTCTGTTTCTGGACGCCAATGTCCTTGAAGTTCTGGCCGCGGAACACTACGACACCCCTTTCGGCAATTAGCAAAGCCAATTCATTCTTCTGCTCATCTGTTAACTCGGACAGCTGCAAGCCAGTGATCTCAGTGCCGACACGAGGAGTAAGCTTGGTAACGACAACATTTGGGTCTTTGAGCCCGAGTAGATGAGGTTTGGCTTTGTCCGCTAGGAGACCCCGGTCGACGAACTCGAAGGGCTCCGTTGGAGGGAACGTTGTTGATTCATCGTACACAGGCAAGTAGCTAGTGTACTTGTACTTTTCAATGATTTAGCTCATATTTATGGCCATATTTCAATACAATCCCTTACTGAAGCGTGTTGTGCTGCATCGTAAGCCTTGTTAAGCTTCTGCTCTGCCCTCCCCTTTAGCTCGGATACGCTTGGTAATACGTCTGCGACTGAGGGCGCCATTATGAATGCGGTTTAATAAATCGACTTGCACAATCCTCTCGTCAGATGGTTAACGCGTCGACTATATATCTTGCTTTGATATTGGCCTCGACCGCGTTATCTGATACCATGTTTGACCCCCGCATATTCCTCATCTATTCTCCATATGATGCGATCCCAGCGATGGAGGTATCTCCAACTAAGTGAGCACGTCAAAGACAGCCAAGACAAATCTACTACCCTACATCCAGTTAATTTGAAATACATCGAACGTGGTTGCTCAGTCGGCCGTCTATGATTATTTTATTTCGTCACGTACCGTGGGGATGTTACCATCGATGGCTCCTATAACCCACGACGGGGAAGTATACAGAAAGCGAACAGTGGGTTACAGTAGTATAAGCTAGGATAATCGTGCAAGTACAGCCAAAATGACGATTCTCAATGCTGGCGACGAAATCGGCGATAGATAAGATGGCTCCTAGATCTTCATATTTTTGGCTTAGGGGAGATAGCTCATGAGAATCAATTCCATTGGCTTAATTGGCCCTGAGCGACGATATGGCAACCAAAAACGATGGAGTCACTATTGACGCTATTTCAAACACAGCCAGCTCTTCCAGAGATGGACTCAATGAATCGGATCAAGAAAAATCGCCGTCGAAGGAGACCGCCGAAACCACAGTAGCAGAACACACTCCCTCTAAGAACCCACTACTCAGTCTCTTCAGGAGCAAGGTCAAGAAGCACAGGCCTGAAGACATCGCTACGCAGCCATCTGTATTTGACGATCCAGTGAAAGCTGAGCAATTCAAGCCGAGCGCTAAGTATGAGAATCTTCATCGGTTCGACCCGTCTTTTAAGTGGACATGGGGGGAAGAAGAAGTATAACGATCCTGTTCCAGCAAAAGTCAACACCTACTTATCGTTATATGTTTAGAAACTTGTTAAGAAGATTGACTGGAAGGTCACCGCGTGGGCTTGTATTGCTTTCTTCGCCCTGGACCTGGATAGGAGTAATCTTGGTCAAGCTAACACTGACAATTTCTTGGATGACATGGGCTTCACGACAAATGGTAAGATATAGATACATAAACCGGGGGTTATCTCCACATCTAACTCTTCACTTCTTTAGATTACAATTATGGGAACACAGTACGCTTGGTATCTTTCTTGCTTGCCGAATTGCCTTCGCAGCTGGTTAGTAAGAAAATTGGTACGTTATTTATTGGGTTCGCTATCCATAAATGTTGGGCTTAATAACTAATATTCCGCAGGTCCTGACCGTTGGGTATGAAGTATCCTATATATCGTATCTACCTAAGACACTCTATTCACATTTTTTCTAGATTCCAATCCAAATGGTATTATGGAGCATTGTGGCTGGTTCTCAGTTTTGGCTTCGGGGCCGCTCATCGTTCCTGGCTTGCCGTGCCCTCCTAGGTCTCTTACAAGGTGGTTTCATTCCTGACCTGATTCTCTATATGGTATGTTACTAGTGACAGGTACAAGAAGACTTAAGCACTTATATTATCTGTATAGTCTTATTTCTTCAAAGGAGCGGAGCTTCCCTTTCGCTTAGCCTTATTCTGGATGGCGAATCAGTTGACAGATGTGATCGCACCCTTGCTTGCATACGGTCTTCTACGACTTAGAGGCTACCATGGCTACGAAGGCTGGCGCTGGCTGTAAGACAATATATCATCTACGATGCGAGCATAACATTGACACGTTATCTAGATTCCTAATCGAGGGCATCTTGACTTTTGCTATCGGTATATGGTCTTGGTTCATGATGGCGCCATCTCCAACCCAAACTAAGGCTTGGTACCGTCCCAATGGTTGGTTTACCGAACGAGAAGAAAAGATCCTCGTAAACCGAATTTTGCGAGATGATCCATCAAAAGGAGATATGCATAACAGGCAAGGCATTACCTTTAAGATGTTATGGAAATCCTTGGCCGACTATCATCTTTGGCCGATATATATCATTGGGCTAACTTTCAGCATTCCATCTGGTCCTCCTGGGCAATACTTAACGTTGACTCTTCGGGCCCTAGGATTCGATACTTTTAATACAAATCTCCTGACCATCCCGGCGACGGTAATATCAACTGCCAACGTAAGGACCCCATGAGAGTGACCATACTTGAGCTACATCTTCGAGCTAACGTATTTCAGATGTTGGTATTGACCTACCTATCCGAAGTTATCAACCAGCGTGCCCTACTTGGCCTTCTTGTAGAGTTTTGGACTCTCCCATGCGTAGTGGCGTTGGCTTTACTACCAGAACACACCTCACGTTGGGGCTCGTACGCACTTGTAACCGTCCTACTAGCACATCCATCGCGTAAGACCATCTAGCTATAGATACTAAGGCCTTTTTGCTAAATCCTTTGAAGCACACGCCATGCAAGTTGGTTGGAGTAGTCGCAACTCCAACACTGTCCGCACCAGAACAGTCTCTGCTGCAGCATATAAGTTAGTCTTAACTTGTCAAAAAAAAATAACTAAGAGGCTAATATTGCAAAGCATTTGTGTTCAGCTTCAGGCTATTATGAGTGCAAATATTTATCGTGACGACGACAAGCCACTCTGTAAGTCTATGCCCTTAGATTACTTAATACATGAGTTGGCAATACAATAGCTTACGCTTTCTAGACCATCGTGGAAATAGAGTACTTATTGGAATTAACTGTTTGAATATTTTCATATATATAGCCGTAAAGCTATACTACGTATTCGAGAATAAGCGCAGAGATAGGATATGGGACGCAACGAGCCCAGATGTAAGTCGTATTCCAAGTAACTCCAGCTTATTATGGTTCTAATGATTTATAGGAGCAAAATGAGTACCGCGAAAATACAAAAGATGAAGGAAGCAAGAGACTCGACTTTAGATTTGCAAGCTAAGAACCCCGATACATGTCTTAACGAGTCTGCTAGGAGGTCAACTTTTTTATATTCTCCCCTGGAAGTAGATCTCTTAGGCATAGAAACTGATTATAATTGAGGGAATGGCCTGAGGGATGTTAACTCCTTTATGCCATCTTTTTCAATCCGTGACAACAAAGCTATTGCAATTTTCTTCAATTTACAAGTGCTTATTACAGAGGATATGTGAAATGAGATAGTTAAAGATATATATTTCGTAATCGGTTTCTACTTAGATGCTATTCTATCACTATTCCCCTTTTCATGGCATTACTAAACCCAATGTATAGCGGCAGCCTGCTACCGTTATCATCGTTGTAAACAACACTCAATGGAATTGAACAGGAAAGCATGCATATTATATGAGAATTCATGTCATGAGCATGAATACACATCCATTATTCTTAGGTAGGCCTCTTTACCCCTATACATCTTTAGGCAATCCGATCCTATCTATGTGGTCTTATTCCCGGCGTTCTTATAAACTAAGGAGTTTGCGCATAACTAAAAGGCGTGCCATAACTATTCTAGTTTCTCCTCCGGCATCTGGGCGGGTGTGGCTACGACCGTTCCGAATAGGACCGTACTGTCTAGTGTTGGAGTAGGTATATATTGGGACACATATTTCAGCGTTGGAGTAGGCGGAGGATCCATGTTCCACGGATGTTGGTTATCTATATTAAACTCGGCCTCAAGCTCCGGATTATTGTAGCCAAATGTCTTCAGTATCATTCGTACATTCATTATGATACCCTGGGAAAGGTATACATAAGTTAACAAGTCCTGGGCTCTTTGTAGATCCAGCACTGTTACGAAATCGAACGAGAAAAGACAATCTCTCGCAATAACGAAGGCCACTCGCGTCTCATCCATTTCTGTGCTTATGGTGCGCTTCCATTGGGCATCTAAGAATCTACGCCCGGAGCACCTACAACATTCACCATCTCCGGGGGCACATTCTCGGATGATATCGGGCCCGAAAAGCCGTAGACAGAGATCGGGAAAGGCGGAGTCGAAATCTTCGCAATAAACACGTTCTTCGTCTTTATCGAAATGTCCACAAGACTTGTACTTCAGTAACCACTGCTGACACATCTTAAAGGTAGGTGAATGTTATCAAGAGCGTTATAGTAGGACTAATAAGAAGATTGAATAGTGTTTAAAAAATAGGGTTTACCGTTGATCGGATTCTTTCAAGAATCGAGGAAGTACTGGCGATTCTGATCGATTTGATATTACCTGGTATCGAAAAGATATTGGCGTAAAGAGTTCGCGGATCAAGCTTGAATGCAAAGCTGCTTCAATGCGTATCTAACCTAAATGTTTGAGTTAACTTCTAGAATTAATCTTAGGGTTACTTGCGGAATTTACCCGAATCAACGGGCGATTTGCAGTCAGTTTGCTTGTTTCGCTGTTACTGTTGGATATTCTCTGGAATATCTATGGTTATGGGATAGGACTACTTATACAATTTCATATTAGTGATATAAGAATTGTTCCTACATGTAGAGTGCAAAGAAATGGTGTTATGTCTTTAATTCAATGGCATAGTTATCTCTTTGACTAGGTAAAAGCTAGCCGAAAGAAGTTATTTGAGAACAATAAGAGCAGGTATGAGAATTACAAAAGTGTAACGTACCTAGGTACCTACTATTAAACATTAAGGAGCTGGTGAGATGGTCTAACAATAGGAAAACAATACAGTTTAGCATAGACCTATGAACTTATCTACCTGAGATACCTGATAATTCGAAACTATAATTTTTACATTTATACATCGTAAATATACCGAAATACATTGGCGAATCCTTATAACTATAAGCAGTGCATTTCGAAACGGTATTACTATGGTGACTACGATTTATTATCTTTGGGTGAATGGTATAAAAGTGGGGAAAGAAAAAGGGGGGAGCGAAGAATACGGATATGTACCTAAGTACCGAACCTACCAATACACCAAATTCTCAAGTAGCCTTGGTTCCCCCCCCAAGGATATATTTTGGGGGGCGGGGGCGGGGGGTAAGAAATATATTTGATTGATATTATATAGGTCGTTGCGGAATTTCGAAATATGAAATTAGTAGCTCAAGATAGGCGTGTATCGTGAAAGACCATAATATTCATAACATATCAAAATTGTTCATTTCTTTTCTGACATACCTGTGTTCCTAGCATTACAAAGGTCTTTCGTTTCTGCTATTGGCCCATGTTCCCCATCCTACCCTCTGTTCGACCCACCACGTCTCTCGGCTTCCAGTAAGGCATCAAATTCTTTCTGAGCCTGCTCCTTTTCATAAGTCTTATTTTCTTTGTCCTCGTCTTGCTTTGTGTATGCGAAGCCCTCTGTCTTTGGCTGACTATCCCGGGAATTTTGCGTCCTATCCTGCCGCAGTCGACCCCAGCCTCTTTCCTGACCGGATGAATCTCCCCGAGCCCACTGAGCACTACCGGATTGTGACTGCTGTCTAATACGATCCCAAGAAGAGCCACCCTGTCCGCCACGAGTTTGCTGCGCTTCTGCCTTTCTTAATGTGACTGGGACTGGCGAAGCATCGTCATCATCGAACAGATCCGAGTCATCTTCTGATTGTCGCGAACTAGAACCCGAGTATGCTGTGTCCTGGGATTTACTCGGTAGCGCTTGGGACTGGGTTCCTTTGCCCCAATAGGATTGAGAGGAGGACGTTGACGGACTCCTGCTGGCTTCCGAGGCTAATCCATCGGAGCTACTTTCTGATTGACCAGTAAAGGTATCATGTCCATATTCTCGGGGTACTTCATTTCCCGACTCTGAAGAATATTTATCACGTGGAGATTGAGAAGTAGGAACCCCTTGGGAAGACCCAGAATCGGGATCCGGAAGTACTGGAAAGCTTCGCTGTGGTCCTTGGTTCTCGCGCTGCATACGAGCAAGCCTGTTAAGATTCTTTCTTCTCACATCTGCGAGCCAGTCCTTTAGGCGCGGGTCCCTGGTTAAGCGCGCGTCATATGATGATTCTGCTACAGAGGTAAAGAAAATAAGGGATCCGATTAGGGTCAAAGGGAAATAGCAAAGGAACCGAAAAGCATGCCAGGCGAAGACCGCCTTAATGCCCGTAAAAATGGGAAGACGTTTAGTGGGAAAGGCAAAAGGACTAAATTTCCCTTTCTTTGGCTGGTAGAGAGGAAACTTGAAGGATTGTCTCGTCCTCCAACATATAGAAGAAGTAATTATCAAGGAAATAGGATGGATCCAAGGAAGGAATCGGGCTGAATTGGCGGCAGCCTCACTGGTAGCGTTAATTTCGTCAGCAGTCAAGCGGCGCTGGGAAAGCTTAGACGCTTGAACAGCCTTGTTTGTAACGTAGACGACACGAAAAGATTCCTTCATGAGAAAAAAGGGCGCCCAGAACTGTAAGCTGGGCAGTCTTTCGAAATGTATAGTTGCACCATCCTCAAAGTACTTCCTTTCGATTTGAGTCTGTTGAACCCGACTTAGGAGTGGCCAAGGAGGGTTGGTAGTGAGGTCCGACGGTGAGCTATCATCGAAAGAAGGGTCAATGTCATTATTAGACGACATTTTGCCGCCGTATTTAAGTCTTTCAGACTTTATGTTGGTTGTCGGCCTACCCGAGCGAGTCTGTCATCTGACCTCAGTGTCTTGAATTATTGAAGTTGAGAATCATGAGAGTGAAAGTAAAGGCAAACTGTATTTGGTGGGGAAAAGTAATGTACCTAAGCTTAGGAGCTTGGGCCACATTGGTATTATGTACATACTATTTGCCTATATGTAGGTACCTAGGTACGGATCTGTACCTAATGAGGTATGAAATCAACGTCATTGGCCCACATTACACTTACCTTAGCCACAGATATTAAGGTCAGGTACCTAGTGGAGCAACTAAATCCGTGGCTGTTCCATTATTATGTGCAGGGTTTCAAAGTTCCAATTTCCATCGCGACGCGCTTTGGAGACGCGTCTTATCCAATCCAATTCAATTCAAACCAATTCATTGCTTCGCTATTCAACTTCTCGCACCCCTCCAATTCGCTATACAAAGGACTTTAACCCTCGAAGCTAGGACCTTATTCTCTACTGCTAATATCCAATTTTTTGTCATTCACCCATTCCCTCCCTATTTATTACCATTAACCATTGACCATTGGACTAAGATCTATTAAAGACGAATTATGATCACATAAAATCCACCAAAATATTACCACCATGCCCCTCCAGAAATCCTTCTCGGAACAGAATGGCTCTTCCAAAGTATGTCGACACTTTTATAATATTTATAAATATAATCCATTTAATAAAGGCCTGACTGGATTTTATAGACCCGCCAGCCATGGAGCAAAACTAGAAGCCATTCAACCGTAAGCCATTCAACTGCTACTCGAACCACGCGGAATCCAGTCTCTAAGCCACTTCAGCCCATCTCCGAAGTTACCAAGAATAAGCTCAATGCCTTCAAACGTTCGAATCTTACCAAAACCAATGGCCAAGAGGCCGACGTATCTACCGTTTGCGTCGAAACAGCTTCGAACGCTGGCACTAACTCAGGAATTCAAGTTGAGGAGATGGTCAGCCTCCCCGCACCTAAAGAAAGTGCGACTACACCCGTGAATCGACTAGTATGGCAGGATCTTGTTGGAACGGTCGAAGCCGAGGAGGAAGAGGAGGGTTCCCCTAATGAGAAGATTGGCTGGGATACAAAAGAAGATATACAGCACCGGCTAAAGCTGTCCCCAGTAATGCCAGGTAAGAGAGGGAAGAAGCGAGCGCGGAGTTCGTCGCCTGTATCGTCACCCGCGTCCCACTCGAAGCCTCGTATCCCAGCCGTCAACGTCGAAAAATTATCGCGAGCGCTTAAGTCCCCTCACGCCGACCCTGCACTGGAATTGTGGGATCGATTCTCACTTAATGGATCAACGACTGCCGCACCGCTTGGGGTTATGAATTCCACATTGGCCCAAATTATGGTCTCATCGTCACCTCGACCGTCAAGGACAGCAGGCGAGGGTGGACTACGAAGAGCTATCAGCTGTGGGGAAAACTGGCCCAAACGTCGAAGGGTTGAACGGACAGAAGCCGCAAAGCCAGTGGAAATCAATGTCGAGGAGAGCCCGAGTCGTAGCTCGAAGTCATCCATGGTTAATGCCTTGTTACAAAGCGTGTCGGGGGAAATCAACAGATCAAAAGCAATTCAGGCTCGTCAAGACGCGCTGGAGTCCCCTTCGCGCAAAAAAAGGTCTTCCCAGCCGGTAGCCCAGATTCCCAGCTCGCCTACCGGACGAAAGACTTCTTCGAGGCCTCCCCCTCCGATATTTTCTGCGAAAAGCACACCAACAGTAGAAAAGTTGGAACTAGAAGAAACATTGGTAGGCAATTCATCAGATTACGGGGACGACGATTTTGATGATGATACACTTATGGAACTCGGTGCCAGTATAGGACAGTCGTGCGGGGAGCCCGTAAAAGAATCAACGATACCACTAGCAGATATTGGACAAGCTCGGGATCAGCAGCCCAGCCGAGAGTCTGAGTCATTCGACGATGAGTTCAATGATATGGACGACGACATAATTGCTGCCGCTGAAGACTTGATAACACAAATTGACGAAACCCATACAATACCCCAGCCTGGTATTGCTGCACAGGAAAACCCAACCCCTACATCTGACCTTGCTGAGGACATTTACGGAGATGATTTTGGGGGCGATTTTGATTTCGACGCTGCTGAAATGGCTGCTACGCAATCCGCCTCCTCTAAGCAGATGGATGGATCGTTACCTGTACGTGGGCGATAATAGGGGCGAATTGAATTTGGTTGCTAAGAATATCTGTAGGTAGCCAATAAGCCCAAGACAATTCAGAGATACCTAGTAACAAAGGTTCTTGAAGGCCAGTATGTCGATGACTATGGACGTGAGTCAATAGAAAAGGTAAGTATCCATGCAAGTGGCCCTCCTGGTAATATAACTAACCCTTTTAGATTCTATTTGTCCAAGTCGACCGAAGTAATATTATGAAAACTGTTCATCTTCGAGGTGATTGGGTAGATACTTCTGCAAGTCCGAAGTCCTACGTCCATATAATCGGCCAGTTTGAACCTACTAGGCAATGCATCATAGATAACTCCCAGAATATCCTTATCCTCCACCCTGATCAACTAATATCAGCCACGGTTGTAGCAGACAGCTTTACCTGCATGCGCCGAGCTGTCCTCCAGGATCGTGTCAGGGCCTCTAGTGACAAGACTCCACCTCTAGTATACGGAACTTTACTACATGAGATCTTCCAGGAAGCGCTTATGTCCAACAAATGGACCCCGCAATTCCTAGACGGTGTGATTTGTGATATTACAGAAAAGCACGTGGAAGATCTATATACGATCAAGGTTTCTATTAGCGATGCCCGCGAACATCTTAGGTCAAAAATGCCGGAGTTGAGAAGTTGGGCATCGGCATTTGTAACTCGTTTCCCAAAGGTATGCTTTCCAATTATCCAATTTTAAGGGCAAGTTTTACTGATCTACTAGCCCGATGCTGTTGTACAAGGTCGAAACGGTGAGAAGGCAAATATGTGTGTTACGAAGCTCCTCGACGTTGAAGAGCACGTTTGGTCTCCAATGTACGGGCTGAAGGGTAACATTGATGCCACGGTCCAGATAACGATGAAAGATGGCACTCAAAGACGTACCTTAACGGTACCTTTCGAAGTGAAGACGGGCCATAATGCTACAAGTAACCACCAAGCGCAAACATCCCTATACAATCTTCTGTTGTCAGATCGTTACGATGTTGAGATTGCTTATGGTATTCTGTACTATATGGAAACATCTCAGACGATTCGAATCCCGACAATCCGTAACGAGCTTCGCCATATGATTATGCAACGAAATCAGCTCGCCTGCTATATTCGAGAGCGCAGCGTCCAGCTTCCACCCATGAAGCGAAGCACAAACACGTGCGATAAATGCTACGCAAAGGTCTCTTGTTTTATATACCATAAACTTGCAGACAATGGCGATCACGAGACGAGTGGGATGAAGTCCAAGTTTGATGAAGTTATTCGGCACCTAACTCCGACCCACCAAGAATTCTTCTTAAAATGGGAAGATTTATTAACAAAAGAAGAAAAGGAGAGTCAGAAACTACGCCGAGAGCTGTGGACCATGGTAAGCACAGAAAGGGAGAAGCTCGGGCGGTGCTTTGCCAACGTTATCATCGAGGAGGGTTCCGCTCTTGAGGATGCCAACAACCCAAGAATCAACCGCTTCCGGTATACGTTTATCAAAGAGAGTCCCGCTTCCGGTTTCTCTTTTCTAGACTCTCAGCTCGCGGTAGGAGAACCGATTGTTGTGTCTGACGAGCAGGGTCACTTTGCTTTAGCAATTGGATACGTTACATCGGTGCGGAAGCAAAAGATATGTGTCGCAGTGGACCGTCGACTTCACAACGCTCGTGTACGTCGGCCAGGGTTCGATGAATCAAATAATCAAGTTTTCGCTAGTATTATGGAGGTAGCACCTGAAGGAGCAACTCCTGCTCAATCTCAGGGTAAGATTAAAGAAGCACCTCTTAAATACCGGCTTGATAAGGATGAGTTCAGCAGCGGCATGGCGACTGTCCGGAACAACCTAGTTCAAATAATGGCGGATGGGGTATTTGGATCAAGGGAAATTCGACGTCTCGTAGTTGACCTCGCTCCACCGACGTTTAAAGCATCAACAACACAATACACAGTTGCTGACCAAGCGAGCTTGAATATTGACCAAAAGAAGGCTATTGAGAAGGTTATGGGCGCCAATGACTACGCACTCGTCTTGGGGATGCCCGGCACCGGCAAGACTACTACGATTGCTCATATCATTCGCGCGTTAGTTGGCCAAGGCAAAAGTGTCCTCCTAACCTCGTATACGCATTCCGCCGTAGACAATATTTTGCTCAAGTTAAAGGATGACAAGATGCCTGTTCTACGACTCGGAGCACCAGCAAAAGTTCATCCTGATGTGCAAGACTTCGCTATCCTCGCCGGACAGCCAATGACTAGCTTCGAGGAGATCCGAAGCGCTTGGCACGAAACACCAATCCTAGCGACAACTTGTTTAGGAGTCAATCACCCGGTATTCAGTGAACGAACATTCGACTACTGCATTGTCGACGAAGCATCCCAGATTACATTACCTATATGCCTAGGACCAATCCGCATGGCACGTACATTCGTCCTGGTTGGAGATCATAATCAGTTACCCCCTCTAGTACAGAATGAGGAGGCTCGTGTCGGCGGCTTGGATGTCAGCCTCTTTAAACTGCTTTCGGACACACATCCAGACTCGGTGGTGAATCTCGAGCACCAGTATCGCATGTGTGAAGATATTATGACACTCAGCAACACCCTCATTTACGAAGGTCGGCTCAAGTGCGGTACGGAAGAACTTCGTCACCAGAAACTTGACATACCTCACATAGAGAACTTACGGCAAAAACACCATAATGCAGACACCATAATGCGTCCCGGTACACCGCGGTCCTTCTGTACCGCATGGACTAATGACAGTTGCTGGCTGCGCAACCTTCTGGATCCTGAGGCTAGGGTCCGCTTCATCAACACAGACTTCCTACCCTCGTCACGCGAGGAGGCTAAAGGCAATCGTATCGTCAATCCCACAGAAGCGCGCGTTGTGGTGCAGCTGGTCGACGCCCTGCTAGCAACCGGTGTACCAGCAGCCGAGATCGGTGTCATGACACACTACCGGTCTCAGCTCTCGTTACTAAAGCACGGGCTACGGGCACACGGTAGTAGCATTGAATTACATACAGCGGACCGGTTTCAAGGGCGTGACAAAGAAGTAGTGATTTTAAGCCTAGTGCGCAGCAACGAGAGCTCCAACATCGGTGACCTACTGAAGGATTGGCGACGTATCAACGTCGCATTCACGCGCGCAAAAACTAAGTTACTCGTCGTAGGGAGTCGTGGCACGCTAAAGGGCGCAGGAGACCAAGAGATGTTGAGCCGTTTCATTAAGCTTATGGAAAGTCGCGACTGGGTGTATGATTTACCTGCCGACGCGCTCGAGAGCCACTTCTTCGACGAGTCGGGCGCAGGTACACAGATTACAGCGACTGGAGGTGGCGTTATAGATCTTACGAGTCCGCAGAAACAACGTTCTTCTCCGACAAAGAAAGTACCGAAGAAGGGCTTCGTTGGCGGTCGTGCCTCTCATGCTCTCGACGGGAAAGAGAACCAATTCCAACACTCAGAGAGCCGAGCCAAGAAAGGCAAGATCACGGAGAGGGCGCTCCTACGAGGAAACCTTATCACAAGGGATATTTTCAATGACATTACAGACGGGCGGTTTTGATATTTTTTGTCACTGTCATTACTTTTTTTCCTGGGAAGAGGCCAAGCAAGCGAGTTACTTGACTGCGTTATACAGGATTTAGCATATCGCGCGTCAGGAGTATCGGTAACGAACATCATGTTTTAAGCGTTGGGACGTTTGGCGTATGGGATGGGAATTGGGGGTGGGCGCTTGGACGAGCAGACGGATTTTATGAGTATTTTACTTGGTATAGTAAAGAGCCAGCAGTAGGATTACGTCGAGACAATGAAGCATAAGACACAATACCATATCCACATATTGCATTATATTTAACATGAAATCTCATCTTCATTTTTGGGTGTTCATTTCATTCGGGTGGCTGTATAGGGGTAAGCGTCTACGCTATACTAGATAAGAAGCGACACTATAGTGGGCATTAGAGAGATTCTGCCCAGTAATTGATATCATGGTTGATGGGATTTCTCTGAAATATTTCCTAATTATTGAGTTTATTTCATAAATTTCGTTAGATTCCAATGTTAATACTCTTAGATCAACCGCCCTATCAATATCCCCTCCCCAAAAGAAAATATTGCTCGGTCATCTCATTTCACCTATGTGCCGAATCATCCGAGTCTTCCGAAATCCTAGCCGTATAATCCGGAATTATAAGTCCCGACGGTCGGCGAAGGGAAGACGGCGAGACGTTCTCCTCGCCACCATAAGCTTGGCCAGAATTCGACGCGAAGCCGTTCCAGTCATTACCCATAGGTACACCTCCATCTCCACCTCTCTGTTCTTCCGTCACATCCTCGTCGACATGAGGGAAATGCGGCTGCGTCCGCGGCCCGTTCCAAATCAAATCCACGTAAAGCGAGGGTTTATCCTCGGTACGACCGAGCGCATAGCGACGGAAGAACCAAGGCAGATACCTGGTGACTTGATGGCGAACAAAATCGCGCTTGCGGACCGCAAACACGAGGTCTAGGTCTTCTAAGGAGCGCCGCTTCGTCTCCTCGACGAACAGGAAGACGAGTACGAAGGCGAGCAGGTTAAGACCCGCGAAGAGGGCGAGAGAGCCGCCGTCGTGGAGGCTGGCGTAAATACTATCTTGATGCATGAGCGAGGTTACCGACTGCGAGGTCTTTAGATATTTATAAATTTGAATGAAACGCACCTGGGGAAGAACATCTGGATAAGTCCAGCGAAAAGGAGGTTGATCATGATTGCGAATGCGCATCCCTGAGTCAAAGATTAGGAGTTATCGAGGTTAATAGTTGTTTCATGGTATTGCATACGGCCTCACGATGGGATAGTGGGAAGCTATCATCTAATTAGTATGTATTCACTCGTCTATAGACATATTAAACTAACCTTTCGGAAGCAAGTGTGAATGGAATCGGACCTGGGAAACTCTTAGCGTTTAATAGGGGTGTTTGGATATGATGATAACTAACCCATCCCTGGTGAGTATGCCGCCGCAAATACTATCAAATTTGGTTAACTTAAGAGGCATCTATCCGGCAGCGTTTTTTTTTTTTTTTCTTACAGAATACGAAGAGAGCAATTATTCCGACCCTGGTAGTCTGGTTGGTGATAAGGGAGGACAGAGCAGCAGCCATCATAAGTAAACACATAACAGGCAATGTTAGTACAAGCCACTTGCGGCGGCCGAGCGTGTCTATAGTCCGAATTGCCGGGAGACCGAAAACGAAGTTTACTGCCCCTGCAAGAGAGGTTAGGTTATAAATCGATAGTTACGATGACGGGACGTTATGAAGCGTACCAATTCCTAAACTGTAGACCATCGGCATAAGAGGGCCGTTACCATTTGCCAACACCCCGCTAAACAAAGTACCTGGTATGATCGATTAGTTATTTAGGAACTGTCTCGTGATATAGAAGTATACATATTAGTTACCTGAGTAGAATGCTAATATATTAACTGTTTTGGTATTGTTAGCGATATACGACTTAATAGATACCGAATACTACCTCCCAACAATCTTAAATAGGGGCTGTGTATACTAGGTAAATATGCTTACTCCCACATAATTGTTGAGCCAGAGCGACTATGGAACTACTTATTAAAGCATTCCTCAGTCGTCTTTGGGCAAATAGTTCTTTATATTGGGATGCGTAGTTCTTAATGTGAGCGACGAATCCCCGAGGAACATCGTCGCCTAGATTTCCTACATTAGAATCATCCGAATATTCTTCAAGCTGGACCGACTTGTAGACCAAGTAAGTGTCCCGGAGAGCTTGCAACTATTAATAAATAGGATAAGTATTTAGTCATACCTCCCGTATTTATGAACGCCAGCGTTACCCACCTTTGTTTTCCGGAGTTTTAGCAAGACATCATATGCCTTTTGAGGATTATAACTAGAAGTCCTCTGCCGCATATAATATCGAGGGCTTTCGGGACAGAACCAAAGCCCTATCATGAGGAAGATACTTGGAACGAATGGTGCTCCCAAGATCAACTGGAGTGATAGCTTGTCGGTATGTGCGGTATAGAAGATTAGGTTGAATGCGAAACCGATCATTATTCCAAAGGCAACCCTAAATTGGGATGAGATTATACGATCGTATGGCATTAGATCGATCCTCATCTTACCATAATTGCCAAGCAAGAATAAAACTCCCTCGCCAAAAACCAACTGCAGTCTCCGCCGCAAGAATAGGTGTGCTGCAAGCTTTAACTCCCATGCCTATCCGAATGGGATGTTAGCCTAGCATTACCAAGTGTGCAAGTGTGTCTTAAATACGCGTAGACACCCTGCAGCACATATAACAATTCACTTACCAATGCCGTTTACTATACGCACCAGCAATAATTCCCGCCAGCCTGAGCACCACGCCGAGCCCAACGAGCTGGCGAATATGAGACAGGCAGCTACGGCCATAGCGCCACGTCGACCAATTCGATCATTGAGAGGCAGAGACAGCCAGCAGCCCATAAGAGCAGCAAAGAAGAACGGCGAGGCGTTAGTTGCCCCGAGTTTCCAGTCGTCCAACTGAGGACGGCTGTTTTCGTCAGCAATGGTAGTAAAGTTCGTCCTCGTTGAGGTCACGTTAGGAAGTCCAAACTCAGTTGCGTAGAGCGAGGCCCCGTTAATAGATGACTGCACAAATCCCTGGAGGAAGGCAGCTAGCGACACAGTGAGTATTACGGTAAACATCCCCCGTTGCGAGAAGAGAACGTCCTTCTCTGCCTTCAGCGCCACCTTCTCTTCGTCACTAAGATGTACGGGAAGATGGTAGCCGGCTCTAGGATCCTCAGACCGAGCGACCTCGTCATAGGAGCGGGCATTTTGAGCTACGCGAGCCGCTCGGAGCAGGTCGTCCCGGTTGACCGCCGATAAACAATTCTTCCAGAATATATTAACATCGTGTTGAAGTTCCTCGTCGGTCAAGTAGGCTAGGCTATATTAATAAGGTATATAATACGCACCCCAATACAGAATCACCGTACCTAAGGGGTTCTCGATGATGCCCTGCCTATTTTTCCGTCTTCTATCTACTTGCGCATGATATTGGGTTTGGTCTTTCCCTGACTGAGTAATAGTCTCAGCCAGCTCCATGCTATTATCAGGCCTCGGTGGAGGCGCCATGGAGACTAGGACGGAGAGTCAGTAGCTAAAAGAGACGCGGTAGTCTACTAAAGTACTAGATAATAGTACCAATTATACAACAGATATCATGAGGGTCCGAAAGCTCTCAAGTGGAACGGGACGTGAAACAGGCAAGCCAGGAAATATTCCGAGACAAGCATTTCTTTAACAAAGTATCCTCGGTCAGAGAATACCGGGAGCCTCGTGTGTATACGTGACATTCGTCGGTGAACATTGTCATTTTGCACTTCGGTATAGAAAATGACATAACACATGCGTATGTCAGCATAGATCGGTTGGAGAGTTATCCGCCATTTATTGCACTAGTTGAAAGTGGCTGTTCGTCTTACGCGACTTTTTCTGCTGAGCCCTCGAAGGATCTAATCCGTGCCGTGATAGCACTGATGTATATGTAGGTCGACCAAGTACTAGGCCGTGCATAGTCTTTAGTTTCCAAGGTCTACCATAGGTAACTAGCGGAGGAAACATGGCCAGCTAACGACAGCCCCAATTCTGTGTAAGGTCCCAAACTAGTACTTTTTATGTTGATCTAACAGATCTAGGTAACGTCAGCCAACCAGGGCCACAGAAAGCTGGGTTATAGATATTTCGTACTACCCTCGTATTACGGCTTTGCCCATCCCATAGCCGCCCTAGAAGTCCGGTTGGTATAGTACAGTTTGTGGTGGCGTAAGTGAGCCTTAGGAGGAAAGGGGGGGGAGGGGAAGAATAATCGTTCTTCTTTTAGCTAGGGTCAGCTTTCCCCCATAGTTGAACTCGTCCCATGGGGAATAAGCGAGAAGCCATCAGGACAGCCCGGATCTAGTCCAAATTGACCAGAGGTAATGTGGCCGATGACACACTCCCTACAAGTAAAGTTGGGCTTAGTTCTGTACGAAGAATATCGGTAAAAGGTAGCGGTCTAGGCATAGATTGATAAGTATGTAATACCCCAGGATTACATATCACTATCATCCTATATCTCCCCTTGAACTTATACTCATGCGGTTTGCCTGGTGATACTTGAAGAGCTTTTCAATAGCTTACAGATACCCCAAGTGTACTAAATATTAGCTTACCATGGCAATAGGTCATTATTAGGTTGTAGAATTGGATCTGTCGGCTTGGGAAAGCCCATTCACACTGGCTGATAGAATGTCATCCGCCGCCGAATTAGACAGTTTTTTTGACAAGATACTAACATGGATCCGTTATCCATCTCTGCGGGGGTAGCTCAGGTCGTCTCGCTTGCTGGCACTCTTGTCAAAGGCCTTAGTCGCTTCGTCGTGAAAACCATAAATATTTGTGATACCATTCAGGAGGTACACGATGAAATTCTCGTGTTGCAAGTGGCTTTAGGCAACATACAAAAGACGCTCAAAAAACGACCACGACAGTTACCCTTTGAGCGCGACCATCATACTCATATTTACCAAATCATACAGTCGTGCCGAAAGTCACTAGAAACCCTATGTGACAAGCTTCCTCAGCTTAAGGAAAAAGCAGGACCTTTCGAACGTATACGGCGAAGTCTAGAGTTATCTTTGAAGGAAGAGAGGGTATTAGAGATTTTTCGTCATATCCGCTCATATAAGACTGTCTTGCAATTGAGCCTCACAACGTTATCATTAGGCGCTTTGTGGGAGACGGCCAACTCGCAAAAGCAAATCAAGGTCGAGATTCGAAAACTGACCGATACCATTCGACTATTCCCTCACTTATTCGCAAGCCACAGAAGAGACGCCCTGCCAGTCCGTACCCTAAATCCTCAATCCGATTTAGAAGACGACACAGACGAAAATACCTTAGAAAGAGATATTAAAAATTGGCGCAGGACAGCCGACGATGTGGCGACAGCAGTTACACTCAATGAAATTGATAAGCAGTCCGTCGACACAAACTCCATCCAAAATTCATCCATGAGTGTCGACACGTTACCATTATATGAGGAAGACGCTTTCGACCCAGAGCCAGATTACAGAAACGTGCAAAGCAGCGAAATTCTCGATTACCAGCTTAAGGCCAACCGTGATGCTGTGCGAAATTTACTACAATGTGGGATCTTCGTGAAGGCAGCCACCTATCAGCAGCGAGGCATCGAGCTCATGAAACAGCTCTTAGAGACCCAGGACACATACAGGACAGATGATACGTCGCACGAAGAGCTCATGGACATGAAGGAAGAGTTGGCGGATATATTCTTGCAATGTGATAGCGTCGAGTTTCACCTTGAAGCGAAGACCGTATTGGAACAGTTGATCTCCGAAGTAGTCAAGCCAGAGGAGAGCCAAATCGACAACAACCGTCGAGCAAGACTATACCATAAATTAGGTGATATCCACTTCAGACAAGGCAATGTTGTCCAAGCGAAAATATTCCTAACTCGCGCCCTCAATGGTCGAAATCAAATACATCCCAGACCCCTAGTACTTGTCGAGGAAACGGCAGAATTATTAGTCGAGGTACTGCAACAAGAACAGGTACATGACGAAGCGCGTGGTATCCGTGATTGGATCCGGCAAGAACTTCGTCAGGAAACCATTCTCACACCATTGTCACCGCAGACAGCGCCTAGTGATCCGAACATGAACGGCCTAACCAGCGCCTATCAGTGGTGTAAAGACCAGGGCAGTAAGTTTATTTAATCATCTGTCATCCATTTTGCTCTTACTCCCAAGTAGAAGTCCTAGCCACTGGATCTTATAATATCATGCGTTTCCACGATGACTCCAGAAACAGTAGTTGCTGACCTTCGGTTTCGTAGTGAATGTAGATAGCGAAACTTTTAGCTTCGACTACTGCGACCCGGCATCGGGGATGACACCAATGCACCAAGCGATCCAGGAGGAGAATATCGAGGTGCTACAGCATATGGTGTCAAACGTAGCCCACGTAGAACAACGCGACGCGACTGGATCGACGTTACTCCATGCAGCAGCTGCAAAGCGCAATCGTCACATATGCGCAATACTCCTCGAAGAGCGACAAGCAAACCCGGACGTTGTGGATCATAGTGGTATGACGCCCCTTCATAAGTGTCAGACAAGAAGGAGAGGTGTACTAGTAGCCGAGATGTTATTTCAATGGCTTCCTGACCTTATCGACCGAAAGGATGGGATGGGAAAGACGGCTCTCTACATGGCATGCGAGAAAGGCAACGAGGATATGGTGAAGTCCCTATTATCGAAAGGCCGAGCCAATCCAGATATCAAAGGTCCTGGGAATCGCACACCACTTATAGTAGCCATCGACTTAGCGGCTCAGCAATCGCAGAAGATAGTTATCGTAGAGCAACTATTAAAACATGGCGCAGACCCAACCATAGCGGATGCGGATGGCCGAACCGCCTTTATAGCCGCAAAGAACGCAGGGCTGGCCGCCAGTGAGATCAAGCGCATGCTGAGTTCAATCCCACCCAGAAAAATGAGTACTACCACAATGAACTCCGCAACCGGCTCGGGCAGGAGGGAGACGAGCTCGAATAGTAGCAGGATATACAGTTTAGCCGAATTGGCGTTGTCTCGATGAATCCGATATATAGTCGACTCTCAACTCGACCCAGACTATGGGTATTGATTTTCATCTTCATTCCATATCCCTTTATACCCCCTTATTCCCTTTTTAATCCAAATAAAGCAATAAGCGCATCGTGTTTCTACTCTTAACGATTTATGCCGCATTTCACGTATGAAAATAGGTACCCCAATGCTGGCTCGCAGGGTCATTTAGACCGCAGATACATTGTTAGAAAGAATGTTGCTTGATACCCTTAACTTACTTACCATGTGATTATGATTTAAGAAAAATAAAACCGTCATTTTAGCTAGCCTCCGGGTTCGACTGGAGGATGCGTCGTGATCGAGAATCGTAGAATTTCGCTTAATGATAAAAAATTCTTTATTTTTATACTTGCTTTCGCCGTAAAGCCAAAATGTCGGCAAGCTTCAAATGCCCCTTTGCCCCCCACCCGGAAGGGCCACTTTCAACGTCAGGTCGTACCGCTATATACCAACCCCATGCGCGTCTGTCAAGCTCGCTAGTACCGAGGTGTTCTACCCAGCTATCAAATAGAAGTCTTAAAGCGCCGAGTAGCCTCGCGACGTTCTCTTCTTTCTCTTGTTCTAATGCTCTAGCTGTCTTCCGCTTCGACGTATTTTTTCCTGTTTGGCCCGTTCGAGTAGACGTTTGAGAATTGGACAACTCTGCTTCGTGATCTGCAGAAACATCTGGGTCAGCACCTTCGCCACCATCGTCAAGGTTGTTAACTCTAGTGGCAAAGCTCTTAAAAAGATATGCCTTCGCGGCTTCTGGTCTATGAATAGGCATCCCCACTACGCCTGCCTCATAAGACCGACTGGATGCCGAGCCAGCGGCTTCAGATTTATTTCTCGCAGCCTCAAGGTCCAACCCCCAAACAGCCTCACCACCCAATGCAGCTTGCTCCCCCGTAACCCGGAGTCGTTCTGCCAGGGCGTCCTTGAGGCAATTTCGTATTATCCTCCACCGATCAGGCCCAAGAATGATACCCCCATACCAGCGAGTCATTACCACAAGCGTATTAATAGTGTTTGTTTCTCGTAAGTTCTTTAGCAAGAAGTCACCGCATCCGCTTTCACCGTCATCAAACGAATCTTCCCTGATTGTAGTTGCCCCGAATAAATTTGTCGGTACTTGAACACGATACGCCCAGGCGTTGTGCGACGCATTCTGTAAAGATGGTACCGCCGTAAATAGCGATTGTATACTCGATTGACGCTGGGATGGTGCCGTAATTTGCGTGGCGCGAACTATGAAAGTTGATTCTTTCAAGGTAATAGGTTGACTAGCTGACCAAGCGTTCAATACGGGACCAACATGTGGTCCTGATGATGCATCTTGGTTAATGCCAGTTTCCGTAGCCCTTGGTGGTGGAGTGCCTCCACTACCAGTTATAGGATCTCCAGACTTGGAGTGGTCTTCTACCTTTTCATCCCCTTTCCACTCATAACCTCCTCTTTTCAACACTGCTATTTCACGGCCCATTACCTTCACCCTAGGCTGACCATGTCCCCAACCTTGATCATCGGCGCTAGGTCCCTTTTCTATACCGATCGAGACTGCTTTACTCCTCGAGTTAGCACTCACGACCGCTTGAGCTAGGCTTAATCGACTCGAAGGGGGCTGCTCCGGCATCGTGTATCGCAATAGTTCTACGGCAAAAGCAAGAACAAGCGGGGCTCGGTTTGTTAAGAGTGCGGTTTCGGCAATTATCTTCTCGTCTGTCTCTATAGGCAAAATGAATGATGCTTCAAGCTCGTGCGGCGCAACAGGCTCTGGTCCACCAATGTAACCTATTTCACTCGATTGCCTGGCACGTTTAGATGCATTTTCAAGGGTAGACCCAGCCCGCTTGGCCGTCGATGGTGCGGTTGGATTCTTCAGTCGGGCTTTGCAAGCACTATGGAGGGATCGAGCAGCTTTGGTGTCCTTTATAGCGGCAGTGACGTCTGAAAGAGAGCACTCAGCTATCTGTTGAATACTGCACTAGTTATTTACATATTATCTAACGAATGCTATATTTTCAACCTTCATATTCACTTAGTACATACCTACGGAGGTTTTTTGCTTGTAGTTCTTTGATTCGACCTAAAGCGTCTTTCATAGGAACTCTCATTCCGATAGTCATAAGCCGAATGAGCTCCTGAAGGTCTTGTTGCGACGCCATACTCGCGATGAGATTTGAGTCAACGTGCCACAATCAGAAATTGATATGAGCATTGAGTTTGTGAAGTTAATGGAATAAAACACTTAATTTAGATGAACGCGTCGAAGATTGATAGAAAGCGCGTTAAGCTCCAATTATGGCTAATCTCTGATCGTAGCTGCATTGCGTCAGCATGGCTGAAGCTTTCTTGAAGCTCCTTCCAAGGGTCTAGTGTATATGATGTAAGCACAAAGCTTGTACAACTTACATGTACCTATCTCACACCCCGCAATTTAGATGGAGAAACCCTGTAGTGGCGAAAAGTGACCTACCCGACACAGTGTATAAAAAGGAACGAACCGAAATATGTACATGTATCTAAGTACCTACTGTATCAAGTATTTCCCCAAAAACATCGGATTATCAAACCACAAAAAATCCCGTCATGAAAGTTGAGATCATTTGATCATTACTGGACCCCCTTTTCACCAGATCTACGTTAATACTGGCGTCACCGGCTCCATATCGGCCGAATATCATTACCATTGATATCACAACTACCCCGTTCCTGAATTCAGGAACATTGGCCCGGAGCAGCAGTTTGGTTACATACCTAGGGGTTACATACCTAGGGGGAGGAATAACTTGTTAACAAGTTCTGCGATCATCGGCCTCTCGTAAGATGGATCGGTAGCCTATCGCGTATCTGCCGCTTTAGTTCCCTCTTTTTGATATACCTCGTTAAGATAATACCTACCCTAAGCCGGGAACGGGACTAAGATACGTCCAGCGGCAAGGGTAGTTAAGCAGATTATGATGCGGCCTATATACCTGCATAACCTCGCTACGAGGAGTCTTATGCGTAGCTGTAAAATAAGGGGGAATAGCTTCAAATGGGTTGATAGGGGCTGTAGACGATATGCTACATCTAAGCGGCCGTCTTCATCACCGCCACCGCCGCCAAAACAGCAACGAGCAGCTCCAAAACCGCTCCCCTTTCAACCAGCCAAACCGAGGCCAAAACCAACGCCAGAATCCATACCTAAAACTGCGCCTAAACCTACGCCCTTTCCCTCTTCACCATCTTCATCCTCTAAGGGGCCTCAAGACAAGAAGAGGCCAGTCTCAGAACTACTGCGTGACTACTGGTTCCCTCTCTTCGGTGCCGGCGCCGGGGTGGTGTGCGTGAGTTTCTTCGCATCGTCGCTAGTGTATTACTGGTGGACACAGCCAGCCGAACATTGGACACCCGGGCAAGAGCCCGAGGCGCCCACAGGCCGGCCAACGATCCAATCGCCCCGGGAGTTCGACCAGCATCTCGATAAGTCCGAGTGGCGTTTCGGCATCACCAAGCTGCGGCGGCAGATCGGCTCCGAGTTAGCCCACGGACACGTGCTCGAGGTTGCCGTCGGCGCCGGTCGCAACTTCGACTACTATGATTGGAGCATAGTGACCGCCGGTCTAGAACCTACCGAGGAGAAGGAAAACTCAAGCTGGTTTGGCTGGTCCGGAAAAGGGGAGGGGAAGGAGAAACCTAAGGATGTAAAGACGAAAGGGGCTCAACCCCAAAATGAAAATGCCCTACTCAGCTTTACCGGCCTAGATATATCCCCGCCCATGCTAGACCTCGCACTGGTGCGGATACGGCAAGTGGTACCGTTCATGGCGGACCAAATCCCCAAGAAACCAGAATTTTCCAGACTCGCCTCCAAGACGGCAGATAATAACGAAGAAGGCATCTCTCTAGCCAACAACCATCTCCGACTCCTCAAAGCCGATGCGCAGACATCCCTTCCACCTCCCCCACCATCACCATCATCTTCTTCCTCCTCTCCCAAAAAATACGACACCGTAATCCAGACCTTCGGACTCTGCAGCGTACGGGATCCCGTACTCCTTCTCTCCAACATGGCCGCCGTCGTCAAGCCCGAGACCGGACGCATCATCCTCCTGGAGCACGGACGTAGCTGGTACGAGCTCGTAAACGGGCTTTTGGACCGCAGCGCGCGCAAGCATTTCGAGCGGTTCGGGTGCTGGTGGAACCGGGACGTGGAGCTCGTCGTGCGTGCCGCGGAGCGCTCCGTCCCGGGTCTTGAGGTCGTGCGCTTTGAGCGTCCCGGTTGGACCACACTTGGCACCCATATCCTCGTTGAGATGCACGTGCGCGCGACCCCTGCGTCGGCTCCTGCTGCTGCTGCTACCCTTAGCAGCGACGAGGAGGCGCAGGACTCGACGACGATGACAGGCACGGGTTGGTGGTCATCGCTACTATCTGTTAATAGCAAGCCTAAGAAGGATGATTAAAGTCATCCTAGAGCAAGAGACTTCTACTGCGTAAAACTCTTTGGATACTCTACTACGTCACCTATAATGCAACATTGCAAGTGCTCATGTGTATAAACTTTGTACCTTAAATCGAGTTACCGCCTCACTATTATTTGTACGATACCTACAAGCGATATACCCCTCCAACAAACCGCAAGGTTGAAAATCCCGCATTTAGATATCATTGAATATCACACATTGCATCAATATTGATAAAAGTAAATATTTGAACGGGGATTTTATTTCATTTTTGGGCGCCTTTTTCCTTTTGTTCCTTTTGTTCCAATGCGTCCTGACTTTAATCCGTCTAACTGGGATTTCTAAGCGCATCTAACCAGCCAGCCTTTTAATTTTCGCGGCTCTTTTTCCGGTCTTCTAATTGTACATATCGATACCCTTTTTCAGGAAATCGAGTGGCAAAGGACATCGCTATGTTACCCTCCCCCCTGCACATCTTTTTGTTAACCGCCGACAGCCGTTTCAGTCCACTGGATACTCCAGGTCGCTATTATGCGACCCAGCAGCCATCTAAGCGCCCTCTCTTCAGATAGTATTCGTACATTGCCCTCTAGCCAGTAACCAAGTAGTATGTGAGCAGTAGAAGCTGAACCATTTAACGGGGGGATAAATGGCGAAATGAACTGAGAGGAATAAATGCAGAATGCGAGAAACCCAGCTGCGCCAACGTCATCCCAGCCAAACTCCTTTTTGAATCATTTACGCGGCCGTCTCCCATCTCATCATACATTGCTAAGTACGTACCGAATGCACGGATAGCTTGTCGTTAAATAGTAAGAGAATCAAGAATTAAAATCAAGAAAGTGGCCAATTGGGGATATTCAGTAGTCGTCAAGTAACCCATCTAGTTCATCTAGCTCGACTGTCTCAGGACTTCTATCCCAGTCAAGAATGGCGTCCAGTCTAGTCCAGTTTTCTGCCTCTGTATCTTTCTTCACAGGTAGCATCATACTAGGTCGCATTGCAGGACTAGTCATAAAAACCATGTGCGGCAACAGACTTGGCGCAAGAGTCCTAGGTGGTTCGCCAAAAAGCTGTTCATTTTGCATACCATCATCTATCGGCGCTTGGTCAACGGGGTCGACCCGAAGTAAGTGACCACTAGCTTTTCTTTTTTGTAAACCATCTGCTGTTTGTGTAAATTCCTTTTCATCTTTTTCCAATGGCGGCTCATCCCCTCTTGGGTTGCGCGGCACATTGAGCGGCCGATGAGACCCAGACACCGAACCCATTGGGGTACCTGGCATGGGAATATCTTCATCCATATCATCGAACTCGGGCGACGAAAGATCAACTTCAGGTGAGAGGCTGAGTTCTCTTCTTCGGTCGCAATCGGCATCTTCGGATGTGGAAGCCGAGCTTGATAGGGATGGTGTAATAATGGCACGTTGGGCTGTGGGGTCTGGAAGAGGTAAATGGGGACATGTGGTCAGATAAAAGTACGTGCGCCTAGGGTGGACGGTCTCAAGCTCCTTAGCTAAAGGACAAGGAGCTACAGCAGACCAACATGATCGCTTTAAATATGTAGACAATCGAGAAGAAATGATAGCGCAAGGGTTCGCGGATCTAAAAACAAGTTAGCTAGGAAACAATAAATCCAAAAGGTAGAATTAAACTTACTGTTGAACAATTTTGACCTGATCCATGAGGGAAGTAGCTAGCTCCTTGACTAGGTGAGGTCGATTCCGAGTCGCCTCTAATCGTACGATAACGGCTTCAACGATCTCATCGTTTATACCCTCTAAATCAACTTTCTTGATCTCTAGTGATTCGGATAGCTCAGACTCGTCCATCTCAATAGAGACTTGGAGGCCAGGCGAGGGTGGCGGGGTGCGGTCATATTTGACAGGGCTAGCAATTCGTTTTGAACTAGGTGCAGCTGAAGAGAGTGAAGAATCGTTGTAAGACCGTTTTAACTTCTTATTCGGATGCGACGAGCTCTCAGAAGACGATCTAGAGGATGCTGTGCTGTGGTTATTAGGCGAGGATCGATTTACTGGGATGTGAATTCCGAGAGATGGCAGAGATAGCGATTTGCGACGAGTGTTGTACGGCATGGTGGGCAGATAGGATGGGATCAAGAACGGCGCAGATATGTGTTATTAACTTCTATATCGATTGCTGCTGCATGGAGAGAACGTAGTGTTTGTAGCTAACTTGCAGGCAGTACCACAATAATAAGAGTTAAGAGGTGAGTAGAGCAAGGGACTAAGTATAGGATTAGGGAAGATTAGGGAAGATAAAGATATCGTAGTAGGGATCGAGAAATGCGAGTACCGGGTAGGCGAGGGGGGGGGAGAGGAAAGGCGGTGGGAAAAACAACGACGATATCGCGACGGCGATGTTAAAACTGACGAATAGAAAGTAGGGAGAAGCAAAGAAGTGGCTTCGGTTGGACTGGAGAGGGAAGGCGGCGAGATGACTTGAGAGAGGTGCCTACTGTATATTTTGAGTGGGTGTCTGCGTGATGAAAAAAAAAAAAAAAAAAAAACCTGCGAAATGTTCATCACTTGGGGGGGGGTGATGGGACGGCGGGCACTGGGGGGGCCGTGTGCAGGGGTAAAGAGGTACAAACGGTACTGAACAAGCATCTTGGTACCCACTTCAAGCAAGGCAGTGGACGAGGAGAAAAAAAAAATATGGAGTGAACTTGGTCGTGACATGCTTGAACTAGCACGATGAACTCGAATTCTGCTACGAATCCCATACAAGAATTGAGAGGGACTGGTTGTCACTGCAGAAGTACATTATGTACCTCCTGGCCCTAGCGTTGCATTCAAGGATAATCCCTTGTACATCAATTGCCCCGTTCAGAGATACTGAACCAATCAATTTCAAGCTTAGCTCCAACGGCTGGTTCAAAATTTATCTGGCCGTTACCATTAAAAGAAGCCAACCAGAAACTTTTTTTTTTCCCTCTCTTCAATTTTAGGGGTCCATTGTCCGTGCTTCCGAGCTCCCTCGATTCGATATCCATCATATTACGCAAAGGATTGCCACATGAGGTAAGGTATACACATATACATATTAATATACATGTTCAGTTATTATATATTTTACAAGGTTGCAATTGTGACGACTTTAGTGTGTAGTTTGCAGAGTAGTCGGTGTCAGATTCGCATGATCTGTTTACTTTAGAGATCGCAGCATGGGGTGTTCAACCCAGGAAAAAAGAGGCGGTAAGCAAGCATAGCATGTATGTAGACTTGTAGACATGCAGGCAATGCATTGTGCAGATTGACGACCCCAAAGTACCAAAATTAGGTAACTTATGTTAAACAGCTAAGAGGGTGGTAGATTCGTCAAACAGTTTGTTGCCTTCTATGTAATATAAGTAGCTTTACCACTTAATACCTAATAACTGAAGAGTAGCTCTGAACATTTACTACTCTTCCCGTTTTTCATGAACGAGAGGTTCAGTTTAAATCTTCGAATGTAAATAGTGGAGAAATCTACTGTCGTACAAGCCTAGCGGGAAAAGAAAAATATTCAAGAAAAGAAAAAAAATAGCAAGAGTCTAGGTCTGGTACGTGCGGAGCAAAGCGGGCGTAAACCCGGTCTAGCAAGGGTATATACATGCATACTGTGGATATACATGATTTTGAGCTTGACTGATACCTCATCGATACCCGATATTCCATTGTTAGCAGTGTTCAACAACAGACACGCCTATGCCAGATTCCGTGTATCGATTCTCCGCGTTATTCTAATTTGCGAAGGGGAATTATTATGATTCTTACTTATGTGTGACGGAAAGTCTTACTTCCCCGAAAAGATAAAATCTAAATGCCGGGAATTACACGTTTAATTTCAATATTATGTATGAGCTAGAAGACGGGTTGGCTGACCTGCATTGGCTTGTTAGGTACCAGGTATCGAGGTAAGCCAAGTTAGCAAGTTAGCCAGTTAGCCAGTGAGCCAGGTCGACACTGCCTATATTAACGCCGTACCAATCACATACACTCTAGCTTCCTGAATTGGTTGCTGGCCGGAAGATTCCCGCAAACTACACCAACGTGGTCCTAGCACCCGGTATAGAAATATGTACCGTAAAAGTACCGCGCCTAACCTCTTCTATAAACAAGACTGGACCAATCTGAAACTTGCGGAGTTGCATGACGTTATGTAATAAAAAAAGGTTGAGTCCCGAGTCGTACGTTTCTGCTACGCACGCGAGAAACTTCCTCAAATACGCATCATCTTATTGGATCATATCCTGTACATCGCTTGTCAATCGACAATCCTATGTTCATTAGAGAGTCATGATTGTCGTTTTCCCATTAACTTAATGAACTCCCCTAGCTCTCTTCACTCCTACCTCCTCATTTCATAAATCAATCTTGATTTTTTGAAAGCCGGGTTCTTTTCTTCTAAGTCCGATAAGATAACTTTCGATTTGCTCGTGCATCGAATCATACCATTAAAACCCCTCCCCCCCGTTGCCTATTCCAGGTCTACAATATCAAGAGCCTGACTCGCACTCTGCACTCTGCACTCTGCCTAACCAACCCCTCAAAGTAACCCGTTATCGTAACTCGTCATTAAGCGATAATAATATATCTCACAATAATATGTAATGCCAACACTTACCTACCTCCTATATCTGACCACCCAATTTCTATGATTTTATTTGATGCACGTCGTCGAGTATTCCACAGTCGGCCAGCCAACCGCCAACCATTGAACCAACCAAAAAAAGGCTGGTCTACCTCATTTGGAAATCCACTGCAAGCGAGCGGGATCTCATGTCTGTAACGCTGTTTTAGGAAGTGGGGCGATTGAGCTGAGATATGTACCTTAAGTACATAGTAGGCCAGACCGTGCGATGGACCCCTAACAACTGTCTTAGATCATCAACTCCACCAAATCTATCGGCTATCACAGTGCTCGGACAGTACCTACATGTAAGTAAACTGTACATATATATCTGCCAATCCTGCTTACGAAATACGCACATACCTCGATACGATCAAACCGATTAATTCCACGTGCCGATCACCGCGCAATATCGCACAGTACCGAACCACTCACCCGGGACTGCCGGTCTACTGGGGCGTTGACCCAGGAGGTACTAGTTTAACTACCAAAACTACCAGAACTACCTAACACTAGACCTCGTACTCAATGCAGCCTCGGCTTTTATCCTACGTACATATTCCGTAACACAGTCGTAGAAGGCTAGAAGGGAGGCGATATGTAAGCAAGCCTATCAGCTCAAGCCTTGCGACCAAGCCAGAGAAGTTTGAAGATTCAGCTCTTTGGTCTCTACCGAAATGACTATCCGGTCCGATCCGGAGAATAACTCGGTACGTTAACCACCTAATACGTGCCTCAGTACAGTCCGACCCAGCTAGAACAGGAGTACTTTTTTATTTCTCATCACTAGAACTTGCTGAGTCTTGCCCCCGAAAGCTTTACGTCCACCACCTATTTTAAACCCTCAAGGCTCAAAAGTTATACATAAGGATATTATTCAGATCTCCTCATACTAGTCCAGTCTAGAATGGCCAATGGTTCATTTATCTGCCGGCAGTCGAAACTTAACCATGAGTGCGACAGCTTGTCACATCAGGGCGCCAAATGTAATGTTACCAGAAATCACGGACGTAGTACTACAACCGATAGTCTGCCGAATCCGACCCAGTTTATGTATTTCAGAGGCAACGTTGAAGTGGAAAATCCTCGCGTAAGGCGGCAAATCCTTCACATCCAAGTGGCGACCGATTTTCCGAATATTATTATATTGCATAGTATAATATGTTAAGACGTAGCCGGCTTCTCTACTTCATCACGGATACTCTCTGAGGTTTCTTGTTTTTTTTTCTTCCTCGTGTCTAGCCCACTACTCGTCTAGTATTGTTGTTACGTACTTTAGAACGCGGTAATTTCGAATGCGTTACCCGCTTACTCTATTCCGCATAGGAAACTTATAGCACTAAACATGGTCCACCATCTTAAATTACATGGCGCTAGCGAACTTATCCATGCGGTATAGAGAATCATCGAGGAGAGACATCAAAAACATATAAATGCCAGCCAGACATTCTTGTCAATAGAAAAATAAGAAATAACAAAGGGGATTACGATAAATCATACGCGCTGGTTAGATGATGGACCAAGGTTCCTTCGATATGAATAACCTGGCTTTTTGTTACTTGATGCTAGATCTATTAGAGAAGGCTCTCATAAACTCTAACGAGAAATGAATGAGGGTCAGATCCACATGGTTATGGAGTTGACAAAAGGGGCTATTCCGGGCTTATATCAAAGACAACTTCGCTAATGAGGCTGACATGTCTACTAGAGCAAGAAATCTGCTCAAGAAGAAAGGCCGAAATATGATTAGGTATGCTGTGCTATTCAAATTAGAAGCCAGGTCAGATCCTACTCTAATAATAGAAGGGTCCATGTAACGTTTAGCTCCGTCTTCTCATGAGTTCGGGTCGTGTCTGTGATATTTAGGAAGTATGTTTGGAAATTTCATGTCTTCGCTGAAGACTGATACTCCCCCGAGTCACGGCCGTTATTAGCAACATGTCTCACCCGTCTGACACTCCTACGGGTCGGGCCGCGCTTACGGAGGGAACCCGTGTTTCTAAAGGATCTCATAAGGTAAGGACGGCGGTTATACATTCGAGTTAGTTATGTAGTTGGATCGGGTTGAGTCTTTATAGAACCACGTATATGTATGATAAAACTATGCTGTTTAATTTTTGTCTTGTGTTTATATCATATTGAAACTAATATAATTGTCTTCTAAACTATTAGCAGAGTTGCAAGCTAATACTCGTCTATATTATACTATCAACATGCGATTATAACTTTCTAGCTCTGACAAACAGAACAGGCTTTGGCTATCAAAGTACTTTTCTAGATTGTAAACACCCACTACAGTTATCAAACCGTACTAATCTTTTGTAGCTACTAAGATAAAACTTGTACACAACTAAAAGCATAACCTGAAGCCTAATACCAAGAATATTATTAATCCATTTCGAGTTGAGAAATCATTACTAGTTATTACTATAAAGGGATAATATAGCCTCGATTATATTTCCAGTTGCGAGTATGCTGCAATACACATCCCATTTATATCAACAAACTAAGACCTCAAAAGACCTCAAAACATACTGTTCTGGGAATGGTGCAAATCACTAAGCTGACTAGGTTCATATAAAAATGCACCTGCAGTATGTTCGCGATTTATGATATGGGCCTTAGCTCGGTTGTTACTAAGAAGTAAACTAACCTACTCGCTGATGCTGACGATGAAACTTAGTACGGGTCCTTGGTATCAACCTGTTGGAATTTAGAGGTAGTATTAAGAGACAACTGGTAGTTATATTGCTATTAAGATGTCATTATGTTATGCCTAGGTAACATAGGGCGAGAAATATAGGAGCTAGCAGTAGAGGCGAATCTTTTAAAGAACTATGGGAAATAAGCTAAGTAGTACCGTCGTAAGGAATCTTAAAACTGGTCTTTTTTCCTGCCTTTCATCTAATGAATAGTTTAGTAATATAGGTTATACTACCTCAGTATCGTACATCGTAAGCCGTTTAAAGCTTCTGTGTAACTTATAACCTTAGGTATGTACCATAGGCATCGCGAGGTCTTCTATGGAAATTCTTTTTTAAGGTAAGGTATACAAGTGAAGTAAGTTACGAGATCTATAGTAATGATCTATCAAAGCTAATTATCTTCCATCGTCTTGGATTTCAAGATACTCGCTCGGCTCTGTGACAGCGCCAGTGTCCTTTGAAATGATTCTGCTTGTGAGGGTGATATAATAAGACGCGGCTAGGCATGTCTTTTTCCATAAAAAAAATTCAACTATTTAGAAACAATTCAAACTATTTCATCGTGCTATTCTTCCCTATGTGTGTATTTATGAAGATTCTCATCTAGCTTCACACGCAACAAATCCCCAGACGAAGAAATCTTGGCATCTGGGGTGCATCTAACGCGGGGAACGGGAGATGGCGAAATGCTCTCGCCCTGAACCGAAGATATATAAACCCGGGGAACGGGATAGGCTTGGTTGATATCGTAAGAAAATATATTAATAGCAAGCGGCTATACCATGTACGAACTACCGAATTTACCACGGAGGCCTTTGCGCCGCGTTCGCTTTTCCTTCTCCGACGCCTCATTCGCCAGCACCCGTGCCTACAGCCAGTAGAGCCTGGCCTTGTGCTCCTGGGATGTTCTTTCTCGGTGCTGTGAGTGGTACAGACTATCTGTAGACACTATATAGAGTATGCATATGATGGTCCGGGGATAATATGGAGAAAAGGAGGCTCCAGGCCAGCCATAATGATATATATGGCATATAATATCCCTGGAAATACGAAATAGTCCTTCTCTCTCAAGGTTTCTGTAGCATCATAGCTTTAACTAAGATTTGCGATTATCGATAGTTACTTAATCATATTTTCAAACCATCATGAAGCTTTCAAGTCTTGGAGCTGCCACCGTTTTGGTATCAGTGGCATCGGGTCATACTATCTTTTGTCAACTCAAGACGAATGAAAAGACGTATCGTGAGTTTTGCTCTTTTAGTGATGATTAATCTTTGAAGATAATCCTAATGCCTTCTAGCCGTGTCCCATGCTATCCGAACGCCCACGTACGATGGCGTATGTATACATACTCCCATTATTATGATGACATATTTAAGAATAGCTAACGATAAGTGCTTGTTAGCCACAAACGGATGTGAATAACAACAACTTGGCATGCAACGGCCCTCCCAACCCGACCACCCCTTCGGACAAGATCATTGACGTAAAGGCCGGTGACACCGTGGGCGCCATCTGGCGCCACACCCTACAATGTGAGAGTTCTAGTATAACTCAAAAGCCATCTCACTAACCGGCAAAACAGCTGGGGCCAACGATGTCATGGACCCAGGCCACAAAGGCCCTGTCATGGCATACCTTAAGAAAGTCTCGGACGCGACTAAGGACAGCGGTGTCGGCAGTGGCTGGTTCAAGATCCAGGAGGAGGGCTACAGCAATGGCAAATGGGGCACCGACACCGTCATCAACAACGGCGGTAACCAACAGATCAAGATCCCTGAGTGCATAGAGGATGGACAATACCTTCTTCGCGCAGAGATGATAGCTCTCCACGGCGCCAGGTCGCAGAATGGCGCACAGCTATATGTCAGTTCCCGATGGAGTAAATCCTATGCGGTATTTTGATCGTGCTAACACGAAAGCTATAGATGGAATGTGCTCAGATTAATGTCACCGGCGGCAAGGCAACAAAGAAGCCAACAACGGCGAGCATCCCGGGTATCTACAAGGTATGTATAAGATGTTTACTAGCTCTACATTTTTAGAGCTAGGTAACTTCGGCTTTTATAACATTAACCGGCCAACATGTTCATAGTCCAACGATCCTGGCCTGCTCATCGACATCTACAACAAGCCCCCGGGAACTAGCAGCCCTTATAAGATCCCTGGTAAGTAATACCGCATTTTAATAAGATAATATATTACATATAGGGTGCTAACTTGTTTGTGTAGGACCCTCCGTCTTTACTTGCTAAATAGGTAGTTATCTATAGGGGGTTGATGCTATACCTGTTGGGAGGGGTATATGTGTGTAGTTGTCTCTTTATATGCTAGCCCTGGGCTATTGATATATAGTTAAAACATCTAAAATAACCTTAGAGAAAATATTGATGAGGCTTTGTGTGATGGTAGATGGGCTTGAGGATGCTATAGGTTACTACTGTATGCTTCCGGGCCCTATTAAACTGTCGTGTTGAATTTTATAGAATGCGGCACACTTGAGAGGTTAGGTATTCTTGACCCATAGGAATAAAATCCCTCTCGATCCATTATCTCTTCAAATATGGCCACTACAACCATACTCACTGGACGCCCCAAACACCAAGGACATTCTTCGTGCCCCTATCTCCAGCCCTCGCAGCCCGCGCCTCAAGCTTTTTTACTCTCCTGACGAGCATCCCGACGCAGATCGGCCCTATAATAGTGCACAAGACGATAGCCCACGTCACAATGAGAAATAGCTCAGAAGCGCCCTCGTTAGCGCTGTCTGAAGGACGCCGGAAAACGCCCTTGCTCTCCGCTACGGCTGATATTAGGAATCCGATCTCACCCCTGGCTACCATTGCACATGATACTATAGCGGCTGGGTAAAGCGAGAGTGGCTTTGCTGGCGTAGCAGTCCCTTGTAAGCCACCATCTCTTCCGGATGGGGATGCTTGCTGCTGTGGTATCTCTCCTGACGGATTTACGATGCCTTCTGATAATTCATTCTCAACAGATCGGGGAGCGGTGACAGCAACTGGCTCAAGCTGGACTCCCGAAGGCGAGCTATTCGCCTTTCGCGGCCGGCGAAACCTCGAGAAAAGGGCTCGATATCGGGACGAGGCGAATAAGACGAAGGCTCTTACGAGCCGGCTAGCGGAGAGGGGAAATCGCACCAGCCATAAGCCGCACACCATCTTGCCGATTGCCATGAGTATCCCGTATATAACCCCGCGCCATACTACTTCTCCTGAGAACATGTCAGAGATAGGGATAGAAAAGCCGATAGAGGCGAAGAAGAACGGTTTTAGGATCCGAGTGACTGCTTGCGAATAGTAAGTTTCGTAGACACTAAGAACAGTGTGCCCTGGCTTTTGCTGCTGTGTTTCCCTGGAAGCTGGTGCTTGGGATGTAATCGAAGCATCACTGTTATTATCGACTACCCGCACCGTTGGTTCTTCTGACATCCGCGAAAGCCCCTCTCCCTCTTCCCGAGATCCGGTTCTTTGCTGCTCTCGAGAAGAACTTGCATGGCGACTTGGATCTTGCTCATTAGCTAAGCTGTCATCACTATCACTGCCCAGAGCATCTTCCCACCAACTAACCACGATACCAGCAAGATACGCAGCAAGAAGCACAGACGCGCCCGCAAAACTAGCGCTCACGACAAGACCGATCAGGAGAGCCGTCTGTGCCACAAAAGCAGTATGCTTCGAATCCAAGAAATCCCATCGACACCACCTCGTCCCATCCGTCTCTCCATCACCATTCTCATCCCCAATTCTAGCTCTCCTCACCACCGGAATAATAAAAGGCCTCAGCACAAACCGACAAGCAACCGGGACCGCCGCCGCAAACGCAAGCGAAACCAACACCGGCCTAATCACCGTATTCCCAACATCAAACCCCCCTTCCCCTCCGGGCCCTTCCGCGTCCCCGCCCAACCTCGACACAATCTGCACCATAACCAACCCCAGCACATCATCCATCATCGCCGCAGTCCCCAACACCGTGCCGACCCTAGTATCCGCCAACCCACTCGCCTGTAGAACCGCAAACGTCGTACCCAAACTAGTCGAGCACAGCGCCGCCCCCGCCGCAAACCCCATCTTCGCACTCCCCCACCCCATCTCGCCCAGGACCGCGAACCCCAGGGCCATCGGCGCCGCAACCCCGGTCGCCGCAACCCCCGCGCTAAGCCCCAAATTCCGCTGCACCGCGTCGACGCGCGTCGCCGCGCCGCCCTCGAACACGAGCAGGACCAAGCCTAGATACCCGAGCTGTACGATGGCGACTTGCAGCTCGGACGCCAGCCAGTTACCGCCCGGCGCGCCCCACGCCACGCCGATTAGGACCTGGCCCACGAGCCCGCAGTACAGTACGCGGTCGAGGACGGCGTTGACGGCGTTGAGCGCGAGGAGGAAGGAGGATAGGGCGAGCAGCTGGATGATGGAAGGCTCGTGGTACGGTAGGGAGGGCATGTTGCCGGGGAGGAAGGGAAGGTATGTCTATCTGAAAGTTATGCTAATAATAGGTCACGAGAGTATGATATTTACTATTAAATTATAATAATGTCTGCTATGTAGCGGTTTGGAAGGGGTGGAAATGGTAAGGGATTAAAATAATAACGACCGACGTCATCCACGCCTAACCGCCAAGATGTAATGGTAAAGAAAGTGACGAGAATGATAAATTACCCAACTTATACGGAAAATCTTAAGTGAATGTTATACATATCAGATATATCTGTTTTTTACTCATATTTAGTAGACAATTACGACGTCAGAATAAACGTTGATGAATAAATGTAGATAGGTAATCGTCATCTCCATTTTCATAAGCAAAATACGAATACAATTGCAACTCATCATGAAGCAAATCGTAATAGCACAGCGTCACGTTAGGATAGACCCGTATTTTGCCGTGCCTACCTCTATATATTAATACACATGCCGCGTCGGCACCCACCAAGAAAACAGAACCGTTACGCTGTGGTCCGTAATGTGTGCCTCCTCGACCTTAGTTCTGAATCATACAAAGTTTCGTTAATTCACCGCAGACGCCATGAAATGCCACTCATCAAACATCCATCTCTACCGCGTTTTTGTTTTGCGCCACTATGGTATCGCTTTCTCAGAAATCCCCTTTCACCTTCATCTGCCTCTCAAAGGTTTATGCTGTCCTTATACGTGAGGTCTTGGTTGCTCAAGAGCCGTCGTGATTAGTTATCATCTATTTAGTATCATATCGGGAGATAAACCTCCGATTGACGCCTTTTACTCGTTATAATGAGTGGCTAGTTTAATATTTACTGATTATGCTGTCTCGCAAACGCCATAAACTGATCTGCGATCTGTTTTTTTTTTTTTACAATTAGCTCCAAGCCCAACATAACAGAGGGAACCGAAAAGGGAATACTCACATCGCGATCTGCCTTGATAAAAGGCTGGTCGAAGAAATGATACTTTTCTTTCGTCACCAGCTCCATAATCACCATAGTAAGGCCGAATGGCTGGGGCCAGAAACTGGCAATTCTTTCTAGTAGTACGCGAACGATTTGCTGGCGGATATCAGCCTCCTCAGGGTCATTGAGATCTTGGCCGAAAATGTCAAAGATGACATAGCTGAAGAACTCGGTGACAGGACTGTAATGGCGTAGACGGTCAACCATGCTGCCGATGAGGAAATATCGAGCCTGGGGTTGCAGCTCATGCACCAACAATGAAAGCGTCGCAGCATCCGGAGCGCTGGGGGTATAGACTGGCCTCTCTTGACGGGCTGACATAGTGGCATGGTGCCCAAAGTAATTAACAATAGCATCAATGACTTTGCAGTTAACACCGAGAGGGACATTGCCGTATGTTGTATCGCTCGCATTGCTCTTGTTAATGGCATGCGTAAGATGGGCAATTGCATCCTCAGAGGGTGGGGCCTGGACAAGTTGCTCTAGGATTTCCAACATGCCAACATCTCTCAAGTACGATAGACTAGAAGAAGCGTCTGCTTGGGAGTCTTGGGAGATTAGCTCTCCGGCTTCGGATCGTGGGCTACAGTTAAGAACGATGTTCCTCAATTGGGTACAATGAGGAGAGATGCTTGAGCACAGCTGAGTGACATTGGCCGATATGTAGTCTGCGAAGTCGTGAGCCAATACTACTAGGAGTTTGACAACTGCACGGTAGTATTCCTTCACGACATCAGTTACGTCGATGGCTTTCATATGAGCTGAGACGTGTCTCAGAAGACATTTCAGGAGTTTGGTATAGGAAGCCCAACCAAACTTAGATTCGAGGAGAAGGATGTCAGGCATGAAGCGCCGATGTCCTACGAGGCTGAGCCATGCAAAGGCAAACCCGGGGAAACGTTCGGGATTGAGCTGTAATAACGTCCAAGAGAGTCGCACTAGGAACTCTTGTCGGCAAGACTCGGGACTCGGAGTGTCTGCAAAAATCGAATCGGCGCTATGTAGGAGCATAGAGAACAGGCGGAAGAAGACTCTCTGATTGAAATGTTCACCTCTCGTAACGTGGTGGTGATTCAGAACGACTGCGAAGAGCGACGTGACGGTCTCCAGGACAGGAATAATCCCAGTCTTTGGATCCTCTTGATCGGCACCGTTCTCCCTGGCAAAGACTGCGATCATCTTTACGAGAGCATCCACAGCAGTGAAGGCTTCGGCAGTAGTTCCTCCCGCCTGAAATGTCTGTTCATAGTAACTGACCGTCATATCAGTGGCCCTTCGAGCGAAGATTGCGAAATCATCTTTGTTGGCAATAATGTTCTGATTACGAATCTGCTTCACGAACGCAACTCGTGCCTTGTCTGGTGCGTTTTGATTGTTATGGAGACGGACCCATTCGTCGAAGATATACTCGAACTGTTCTAGTCGCTCTGCGTCGTCTCTACTTTGCGGTTTGATAAGGCCAGAATTAAGGAATTTCGACTTTAGCCGCTGGCTAATTTCAAGGTCAGAACTGGCGCTGATCCATTCCCATGCGGCTTCTAAACTGTGTACGAAGTCTGCAAAGAGTGCCATGGGCCGTTCATTAAACAGAGTCAGATCTAGGAGTTTATCAAAGAACTCCAGGTAGCCTTCCTCCCTTTGTAATAGCATCTTGGACAACATGCTGTCAATGCTGTGCAGGTCGAGAAAGTCCGTCGGGAGTAGTGCTGTGATCAAAGAAATATTGAGAATATTCTGAGGCGACTGCTGGTAGAAGCTGATCTGCACCCGGTCGTGTAGCGCGGTACCTGAGCTTGCAGCGATCTTCAACAACTGCTCGAGGATGTGGACGAGACTTTCTAAGAAGAGAGTATTTTCTACTCCGCTGAAGAGTAGCTGACAAATCTTTTCGGCAGCGTAGAACGCGAACTCGTCCGAGTTTTGGGACGTGTTGATAATGAGTTGAGTAAAGACATCAACGACTTCCAAGACCGGATGGGACCTAGGGAGGTCGCTGAAGTGCTCTTCGTCTGTCGAGGTGGTAGTGCGTTTAAGTTCAGATAAGAGCCTCTCTACCTTTTCCATTAATCCTCTTCCATCTAAAGGATGGGCCGAAGGGCGACCATTAGTCATTCCACCATGTACATGAGAATAAGGTAGTTGCGTATTCAGATGAGGAAGAGAGGGAGTCTCAGCCGGAGTAGCGAGGTTGGGTACGGAGCTATACTGATCTTGGAGGACCTCGTTTGCGATATTCCTAGTTGCATCCGAGGCCGACGCGCCGTGAGTTGGTCCAGCTTGGGTGGTGGCACCTCGTGGCTGCCTAGCAAAATCCTCGTATATGGCCATTTGCTCCGCGTTCAAACCAGCCATACTAGGAGAGAGTTTGTAGGGATGAGGAATCGTCATCGCCCATCTACTAAGACCAGGATCGACGTATGGCTCACTAGGCCGTTGTAGGCGGTGTCGACGCCTTGCCTCTATTTCCCCCTCTATCATCTCTTCGATCTCTGGAACCGCTCGCTCCTCGGCTTGCTTTTCAATTACGCTACATGCAAGCTCGAGGTTAGAGTTAACACACATGATAATCGTACCCTCGGGAAGCGAGTGAGGTAGTTCGCCTGCTGCGTTTCGCAAATAATTGGTGATATTGGCTCTGAGAGGTTCTTTCGACGTAACCTGGGCAAGACTTCCGGCGGTGGCTTTGACCATATTGATAGCGGACGTTCGGAGCTTGTTCTCATCAGGCTCAGTCGCGAAGTCTTTATGAATCATTTGCTGTGTACTAATCGCGGCGATAGTAACGGATCGATCGACAACAGGTTGAATTATATCCTGCAGCGCCTTCGTTACCGCATTGCGAACAATTTCATGAAGACGGACGCTGTTAATAACCATCTCATTTGTTGGTGGAATTGATAAGAGGCTACTGATGTCTGGGATGGTGACCGGAATGGGATGCGGCGTAAGGCCAGTTGGGACGGAGCTAGCCATACCATTCAAAGACATGTTCTCGAAATGCTCTAGCGGGTCTTGCGCACCGATATCAGCGACCTCTTCGACAGGGACACGGTCTTGAAGCTCGGTAGATGGTTCAATGCTCTTATGATCTAGGTTTAGGTCTTTACAGAGCACCTCAATCTCGAACTTTTGGTTTAGCTTTAGTTCGGCGTGATGGTAAAGTTCGATAAGGAGGTGAATAATGTCCATCAACCACGGGTTTGGCGGTCGAAAGATGGTTGACTTTGCAGCCTGAATTAGGACCTTGCAGACAAATGGTACCACGACAACTAGTCTCTTGGTGTCGTGTGCCTCAATAAGCAACTGCTTAAATGCAATGTTCCTATGTTTAATCGGTTGATCCCTTGCTATAGTTAGGAGCCCTAACCAAGCCCCCAAATACTTCAAATGGGTTCGATCCGTTGAGTTCTGCATTGTGCTCTCTGAGTTCAGCATGCGAGCGACGCTAATATAGGTTTGCCTCAACACTTCAGACCACAGACCCGAATCCTGAAAGAGCTTCACTAAGTCAAGGTATACTAAGTGATAATTTGGCTGCATTTTTGCCCGCTCTTCAACAAGATGACTGGCAAACCATTGCTGATGCTGATCTTCCAAAACCTCATGGATTTCTCTGAAAGTCGTTTGGAGCGAGGATGTAGTTAAGTTATTGAGTCCGAATTGAATCCTGTCTTGTACATCGACAACGGGATCTTCAAAGCCAGTCCCTTGAGGAGGCGGGTCGACGTTGATCGCTGCGAAGGGAGCTGCATGGGGTTCTGGGCCGTCGGTAGCACCGTTAGTCATTAGAGGTTCATTCCCTACGTGACTGGGAGTGCTCGTGCCGTTTTGGGTACGCCCCCGGTCCTCTTCATCTTCCAGCACGACTTCTTCAGCCTTCCGATAAGCTTCAGTGCCACGCAAGCCGGAAATCTGTAATAGCTGCTTACAGAGCCCTGGCCACTCCCTGAAACGAGGGAAAATCTGTATGAGAGCTTGAAGGCCGAACTTGTACATTGAACTATCGATACCGTGATCTCTGACGGCCTCGAGAATCATACCCAATCCAATCTTCAGCGGCAACTCGGAGATCAACTTGTGGGATATTATACCGCCAAAGAGAACTGCAGTAGTAGCCAGTGCTTCAAGAGGGTAATCTATGAAGTGGGAGTATTCGTCGAAAAGGCCGTGGATCATGCACGCGAAGATATCCTGATCTAACGGAAACTGCGAGTGCTTGTACTCCTCGAGCTTTTGGACGACATATTTGACCTCCGACTCCTCTCCATACATTTTCTTATAATGCTCTTCCATCTTAGCCACTGCAGCTGCCGGGAGTCCGTTACCGTCCTTCCCATTGGCATCAATAATATCATCGTAGCCCTCACCGTAGTTGATGAGTCTGGGATAGGAAGTAATGCATGCGCGCTGAACAATAATCAACTCTGGCAATGGGTTCCGAGGTAAAAAGTCTTCAAGAATTTGGAGCATGGCGAGTACGGTTTTGACGTGAAGAGATGTACTTGTCTTTGCCACCGGCTGTCCATCTCCACCCCTCTGCGACTGCAATTCGAGATTTGCCTTGATCATTAGAAATTGCAGTAGAGACTGGGAGATGGCGGGACTTCGCTCAGCATTGTTATGGGCCCACTGAGCGAGATCGAGATGACCTTCGGCATGCGCAAGGGCGGCAAGATCGTAACCGAATCCATTGGGTAAGTAGACGAGCTCGTCTAGCCATTTATGCTTGATGACATGCTCAAATATGAGCGTCAGGTCCAATGGCTTCATGGCGTGCGCATCAACAAGTCTTTGCGTGACCCAATCCCTGTCTTTCCTCCAGAGGCTGTCTAAGACGAAGTCATGATACTCGGACCTTCGATGCAGGAAGTTATCAAACAAAGAGGCCAGAGTTTCTACTGCCATCGGTGGCCACGGTTTCGGAACTCCGAAAGCAGAGACTATGAAAATATCAAGGTTCGGAACAACTACCTCTTGGAACAACCGTTTTGCTTCCGTGCTCTGCGACGCGTGTAGAGAGTGCAGTGCCACCTGGAAGATTGCAGACAGGGCCAAAGCTGAGACTAGGGGATGCTTCACAGCAACTGCGGCTCGCTCGCGAACTTCAGGAGGAGATTGTGCGTACTCGTCAAGCGTAAACGTTGGCTGGAGGCCAGGAATCGTACTCGCATCAAGCTCATTCGGGCTCAAGGATGCAAATGCACATATGAAGGATAGCTGAGTTTCCGGATTTTCCCAGTGAGACCCTCCCCACAAACTCTGAATACTGAACGGTGGAGATTGATCATCCTGGGATTGCGCGACAGGTAAAAGGGCCTCGTATAATCGTAAGAACTGTGCTGATGATACGCGCACGTCTCGCTGATCAAAGTATGCAACTACGTCGTGCCAACGAAAAGTTTGCGGGAGTATACGACGAAGGGCAGCGACAAGTACAGAAGGATTATGGCGATAGGTAAGGCTGACGGTCGTGTACGTTAATGCCGTCGAAACCTGCTCTTCGCTTAGCTGTATATTATTCGGTCGATTTTGGAGGTAAGAGAAGCAGGTTTCCTCGTCGCGGGTGAAGTCGGTACCGGTCCTCTGAATATAAATGGCGAGCGCATTAGGGGGTTTATCACCTAGCACTCTAGTGAGATCCAAAGCGGCCAAGACCTCCATGGGAGGTGCTTGGTCCTGCTGCTGCTGTAACCAACGAGCCTGAACCTTAGCACTTAGCTCGTGTTTAGCAGCTGAGTTGAAGTTGGGCGGATGGCCTTGGATATATCGGTCGACGATAGTAGCGATAAAGGAAGGAGTAAGGTCGGAATGATCGCCGTAATCTGTTCTTGAGATTATATTGACAAACGTAGGGAAATTTGTGGAGAGGATCGCATCGGCTTTAGCATTAAACACGGTTAGCTTACTGGCACTAGTCTCTGGCGAGTGCGCCGGTAATGACATACCCTTAGTCTTCAGATCCTGCCGGGCGCCGAACTTGAACGCTAAAGCAAGGATAGTCTTCTCTAAGGCATCAAGCTTGAAGTGCTCCATGAATGTAGACAGATCAAAATCACGGAATATATCCTCGTTAGCTGATTCGATGGATTCAGCTATTCTAGAGGCTTGGTCGAGGTCGTGCGATATCTTGGACATTTCGTTTACTAGGAGCGAATAGTTGCCGGGATTTGCAACGGGCCGGCTGATACCAGGAAAGATCTGGGGGGCGTTTCCGGCTACCAGCCGGGTGAAGTACTTAGAAAAAACCTCCATACCGTGATCATCGAGGAGCTAGAAAAAGGCGAGCCATCATCAGCATAAGTTCTGAGGAGGTTGGGTTGATAGCTTAGGTATATGTATATATATAGACTAATAGGAAAGAGAACAGCGACCTACCTTTTTCAGTTGATCCACTTGTAACTCCCACTTGGCGCGGTCCTTGTCCTCCTTAATAGTACTAAGAAGAAGGTAGACCTGGGCGACGACAATTTTGGTGAGAGAGCTTGTCCCCGCGGTCGGGCTGCTGGTACTGGGACTCGCGCCAGCACTCAGAGGACCGGCCTGTGACGGATGGGGAGAGTGTGAAAGTCCTGTCTGCAAGTTCTGAGCAGGAGCAGGTGAGAAAGTTCCGGATCGAGAGTGAGACGGCGGTGGGGGGACCATGAGGGTGGTGGTCTCTCGCGGTGGGAAGGGGGAGTAGGAGGGAAGAAGAGAAAGGTAATATGCGATTCCCCTAGAGCCCCTCACAGAACCACACAGATCAACTAGAATTCACGAATCAAGAATCACGCAATGGTGTCCGTCGAGAGCGACAGATGTGGTCTTCGCGGATAGTATCCGGCGGACGAGGGTAAGCGTAAGTTTACCGATGCTCGGGGCATGGATGTCATGAGCCTAGGTCGGGGTTGGACGGGGTTGGACTGTGCCAGGCAGACCGGGGCCGTTGTCGATTGGTTTGGGTGGGCTGAAAGACGAGGTTAACAGATTTAGTTAACAAACTTGGTTGAAAAGGCTGAAAGCTCCAGTAACTTAAGTTATCAGCGTGTCAAATAAGTAAGATGATGTATAGCAAGGTATCATAAGTCTTTGTCTGGAGAAATAGAAAAAAAAACCACCTTGACGCGCTCCGAATAATTTTTAAGAGTGGTAAAGGTACGTATCGTTGCGGGCAAAGTGTATGGTTGTTGGTTTTTTGGGTGGATAAACGATTGAAAGGTAAGAATCACTAAAGTTGGTAAAAGCAACGATTCAGCCCTCCTTCTTGCCTTTGGCGCAACCACCAGCTTGGGCCCTCCTCTGGTCTTTCCCTTCATGGGGCTACAATTGTACTTTCTATTTCGTACTTAGTGGGGCCAATGTGATCCACTATATTTATTATATGACCAATCAACGGAAAGCGGGACAACGTTAGAGCCCTTGTAAGAGCTAAAGAACCTTACCTAATACACTATTATTGCGGGAAGCCACCCGAGCCACAATATACAGTGTGCATAAGAAAATCGGATAGCCATGTTTGAATTTTTAGTTATATCTATAAGATTCAACGCCATGTGCCGCTTAAAATTTTTTAATTCACTCTTATGTATAAGCATCTTCCCGTATATAGTGGCGTATCAATTATTGCCTTCCATCTAAAAAACCAGGCTATCATGAGTACCTAAACTAGGCACTTTGCAAACATTCAAAGTCTAGAATGCTCCAAGGTAACATCTAAATACAAAGGGATAATGAATATAAGCATCAATTAATATTTACAGGTTTGTCTTACTATCAATACCTATATATTGATCTCATATAGTCCAGCATACCTATGTAATCATCCTCTCCTGAGTCACCCTCTAAGGCTCCCTTCATCTACCTCACTTTCCTAAATCCCCTCCTGACCTCCGCCGAATTCGCTCTACACAACGGTCCATTTTGCGTAGGCATCTCATCCTCCGTAAGCACCACCCAGTCCTCACTACCAACCGTCGTAGGGGCATAGAATACTCCCCAGGGGTCATATCGGCGCTTAATCCGCAGCAGTCTCCCGTAATTACTTCCAAAGAAGGCCTGTTGCCAGTTCGGCTCCTGGACGTCGCACTCGTTGAAATATGCGCCTGCTCCCGGCGACACCGCGCGCCACTTGTCCATGGCGCTAGCTAGCTGCGCGTGTGTCGCCTTAAAATCGGCTGGCGACAAGCCCCGTAGCATCGAGTAGTCGTACAGGTCGGCGTGTATGATGGCCTTGCGGAACGCCGGGTTGACTGCGTTGTTGCCTGGGTATCCTGCCACCTCTTCGGTCGGCTTCATGTGGATCCCGTGGAACGTGTAGCCCGCTTCGATCGACTCCCGGATCGCGAGCTGTGTCGCCTTGAACAAGTCCGGGTCCTCGAAGTTGGCGCGCGGCCACAGACGGCTGCCGAAGCGTGAACTACCTGGGATATCGCCTGTACCCCCTGTGAGAGACGCCCAGTTTGTAGCTGGATGTGGCACCTGGTTAGTTACATTTAGCCCGATCGCGTTTAAGTCGTTTACTAGTGGTTGCACAAATTCGAATAGATATTCTTCTGACACATTGGGGAGTTCGATGTCCGCTGTGAAGCTGAAGCTGCTGTTACCGAAAAGGCGAGACACGTAACTGTCTAATACCCTACATGTTAGTTTCCTGAATAAAAACATAAAGATTTGCTTCATCCGGTATATTTCTCAACCATGGATAGGCGCAAAGACCAAAAGACGGATGTTGTGACATACTATGAGTTCGTTAGTATTAATCCATAAATACAGGCCTGTCAAACGACAGCTCTCATACGTACCATGCTGTACCGCCATTGTCGACTATCTTCTTACCAAACTCATGGTATAGATCGAAACCCTTCCAGAAATTTTTAGTATCACTCGGTCCAGAGATATTAAAGCCGCCTGCAAAGAAGGCTATGGAGGATGCTAGCACTGTTGTCGGTGGGTGAACCTTGATTATGAAAGATGTCACAACGCCATAAGTGCCTGTGCCTCTATGGTTAGCAAATATCATACCTCGACTCAGACTATAACAAAAAGCGAATAAATGTATAGGGTATTGCTTACTCCCCCCACCACCTCGAAGCGCGTAAAACAAGTCTGTATTCTGATGCGGATCAGCAGTGACGAATCTGCCGTCGGCCGTCACGACTTGGATGGACAGAGCTTGATCAGCACCAAGGCCATACTTAGAAGCTAAGGCAGAATGTCCACCACCTGCTATCCAACCCCCATATGCTCCAACGGTATAGCCTCCCGCAACTAGTGCCGTCATGTTATAGCGGCTCATGTATTCGAACATCTCCCAGCTCTCAATGCCGGCACCGACTCTAGCTGCCCTACCATTGTACGCTCCGATTCGATAACGGGGCAGGAATTCGAAGTCTTTCAGCCAGTGTGTCCAGATACTGAGACTCCCGAAGCCGGACGATCGACCGACAAAATCGTGCCCGGTGTTCCTATCAAAGAGGGCCATGATATTAGTCCAGTCGTACTCTCATATTGCAGTAACGTTCGCGCTGGTATGTCGGCAGCAGGACGCACTCACTTGATGACTAGTCGCAGGTTCCTGTTTCTAGCAAAATTAACAGCGATCTGGATCTGCCTCACCGTCGTGGCGTTAACGACATAGACAGGGAAAGCACCCTGTGTACAGTTCCCACCAGCTTGCTGCCCAAACATTGTGTGGCAGGTATCTCCCTCGGGCCATTCCGAAAATACCGTGACGGGATCGTTTATGTAAAAGCGAGTAAAAGTCGCATTCCACATGAGGTAAGTACACGCAGCGTCGTCCTTGTAAGGCCCGTCATAACATACCGCCGCTGGCGGGACCCCCTTGATCAAGGCCCCTCCTAGCGAGCGGTTCAGCCGTGACCATTCTTCATCGAGAGGCCAGTTAGGTGTTCCCGGGTATTCTCTACAGTCCGATCTATCATCGCCGTTCGGAGATGCCGCAGCAGATATATTGCTAAAAGCTATGGCCGAGAAATCGCCAATATCATCCTCTGTAAGCTGTTCAGCTTCAAAGGCAAAGTTGGCGTAGACTAGGCTCGTGAAGAGCACGAAGAGCGTCTGGACAACTAGGATCCGCATCTTTGCCAGTGGGCGGCAGAAATATGTCTCTAGAATGATATACCTACTTGGGAGGTACCAAAAAGGGGGGTTATGATTGCCTCGCGTATTTATCTACCAAGATTCATGGCGGCTAGAGCAACCCTTTATCACATCATCACTTACAGAGGAGCTACGGAACATTTTTTTTCTTACCCGAATTGTTGCTAATACTTACTCATCAGAATACTGTGCTCGTTCTTGCAGAAGTGGGACATTCCCGCTATACTGCATGCCGGTGAGGGTGTGTGAAAATGTTCTCAACAGCCAACAACGAGCCGAGGCGCCCGCAGAGTTCGTGAGACGACTCGGCAGCTACAAGAGCACCTCATTATGGCGTGCAACATTTCAGCCTATGGATCTAATAATTGAAAGAGGCCGTTCTGGATGACCTGACCTATGTATCAAGATATGCCCCTTACGATATCGGCAAGGCGAAGATAGTTATTTCCGTCGTTGAACGTAAACTGCAAATACCAGTGGCTACAAGAAAAGTCTTCATGACTATCAAGGTAGGACCCGGGCTATCGTATGTTCGCAGCGTAATTTGGAGTGGCTCGCTTGAAACCCCCCATCAGGGCCGATATCAGAAGCAGCTGTGGTATGTTTGTATGCATGCAATTACCTGGTAATTTTCTTAGTGCAAACGCTGGAAATGGTGGATATCTGTCGAAGACGGCAGGTCCTAAGGCAAGCCGTCTTGACTCCAACTAATACGAAGCAATCAACATCACGGATTCTTTCCATCTTCTATATGTATAAGCGTTGGTCATCCTAGGGTCACTTCCGGACTTCGCAATGACGCGGTGTGAAGATGTGCCCAAGCTCCCAATAATCGATAGTTAGGGCTGGGCTTACAAAACCTGGCACTGGATGTGTTCTATATGCAGCAATATGTCTTGGCTAATAACGCACGTGAGCCTCCTCCCAAGAATTTCAGGAGCTTTAATAGACCTCGTGGGGGCCCACGTACCCAGGTGGATTATTGGGCTGAAGTTTTCCGTGTGGCCGAGGGTCGCATCCGGATGAAATGGTCGTAGTATAGGTACGACCGTTACACGCTTATTGCGTTAGGATATAAGCGAAATTATAGCGCTTATCTTTCTAATATTATACTAATTATCCAATTCTTGTTTCTGTGGCCGTGGACGCGGCTGATAAAGCAGAGGCGCTTGAGCAGACGCAGCCTTGGCCTGAGATACTAGTAACCGGAGGTAAGCTACACGTAGCTTCGGCTATCCATGACTCAATGGTAGTAGTACTAGGCTCAACATTACGAAGAGTAACAGCCTTGACGAGCGCCGGAATTGCTTGACCGGTAGACAAGCTGAATTCGATGTGGCCCAATACTTGAAGATTTGCACGGATCTGGCCGGAGTGGCTTGTGATACTGATCCAAGTGCTATCGTCATTGCTAAAGATATCATCCAAGACTATCTTCGTCCTCTTTAGTTGCGCTTCAGATGTTTCCCCTTCATAGCCCTTCCATAGATCGTCCTCCTCGGTGAACCCATCCTCGAATCTAAATGCTGGAAGGCGAGCTTGGATGTATGTTTTATTCGACCTTTCATCACAAGTGCGCATGGATATGTCCTCGCGAAGATATTCTTTAACCGTGGGCGCGAAAGGTCTATCTACTGGAACTTCCAGTCCATTGAAGGTAAGGTTTGCCGTAGTGGCTGAACGAATTAAGGGACTGCTGTAGTAGGACTGAGGCGCCGGAATCTTCTCAACAGCCAATGCGTGTTTCCAGAAGTTATTCGCCTTGGTACATTGAGCTATACCCGCCTCGGTCAATTGAGCATCCCTCCATACGGTACTTCCATTTCCTTCCAGTGGACCCCAATAACACTATTTCATTATTAGAGTATATATGATAAGTATTTTATAGTCAACTTACGTTCCAAGCGGGTGTGCCATAATAGCTCTCTGCCGCGTTGTGGTAGCCCTCGCCATGGCGAGCCATAAACAAAACCTTGTATTGCGTGTTTCCATCACAATCTCGATTCAAAGTATTGACGTAATAAGCAAACCGTTCCCACTGTGTTTTCATTCCCTTGGGGTCGAATACATCGTCAGTCAGATACGACCGATTGATAAGACCATAATTAGTCTCAGCCTACTTATTGTCAGTTGTGACCATTACTTATAGCTTAATCCATCTGAACCATACATAATCGAAACTCTTAGAGTCAGTAGCCGGGTCATCTTGTTGAAAGAAGCCGGAAATCGTCGTGTATTTAATAGTCGAGTCTTCACCGCGACATGCGTCTCTTTGCTTTTGATCCAATTTTCCGCTACTCTCCCATTCCCAACCGAGACAAGTTGGGCTTAGAGAAAGAAGAATGAAAACGGTAGAAGCCAACATTTTTCAAGCATTAACGACAAAAAGTGATAGTTTTACATTCGCTACCTATTTATTAAGGAAAAGCGGGTTGAAGAAGGGAAATAAAGTGCTGGTATGTCACTAGATGTTGACGATACGGGTCTAGGGGAGGGTCTAGGGCAGTACGCTGGGCGCCAAGTTTCGAAGAACCTAGCGGGCGCGATAAGTACCTGTTCCTAGTGTAAAGATTGAAGGAGATAGCTTTTAGGCTTCGAAAGGAGATGTTGAATATAAAACTATTTCATATCCTCACCAATCTCATTGATAATAGGGTCGGTATTGGCGTAACGGGGGGTATGGGAAGGCAAGTATTATATTTGGTGATGTTAATGTTGGTGGCCATCTACCTCATACAATACCCCTACTTTAATAACAATCCAAATACCACCATATACACACCACAATCCCTCTTCTTTAGGTACTTACTCCAATTACTTATAAGCCATTTTCGTCCTATTAACACAATTAGCAAAGAATAGCTCGATATCGAAATGAGAATAATGAACGACTTTACCAGTCATCCGCAGTCAGGGGATAAAAGCTTCCAATCATTTGCCGACCGGGATTAAGCTTGATGAAAGTGACCTTCTTAGGCAACTTTCCCCTGCGCTTATGCTTCGATTTCCATTTGCAGTTTGGATTCGTCGGGTCAGTAACTTCTAGGATCGTGCCGAACATATATGGTGCTCTCGCAGAACTAATAACAGTCGAACGGACACTGGTGCTCTGTCAGGTCTTCTAGCACTATATGATGTAGCCGATGGATAATGAAATTTGTTACTTGACATACTTTTTGGCGGTAAGTCGCACGCCGTATGGAATTTCATGGTTAGCGTAACCGCTCGTCGTTTCTATCACTAGACTCGGGTCTCTGCCATCATCGAGCTTCTTCAGATTTGAGTGTAACCTCCATTCGTTGCGAATATTCTTGAGCACCCCTTCGGAAAATATCAATCTAGCGAGTCCGGTGAGATTTCGATGCTCGTAATTATCAGGCTCAATATTTATACTCCTGACTCGTGATCGCTCGAGTGCGTCCCAATATACTTCGAAGTTATGATGACGATATTTCCACAGACGATTCTCATAAGCTAGTTATATTTCATTTAGTAAGGAGAAGAGATAGAATCATTTCAATGTGAGGGCATGGAGTAGGGATGGAAATACATACACGGGCTCCGTCGACTTAGGTCGATAGTGTTGGTGCGCGTCGCAATCGCCGTGACTCCCCTTGGATTAGAATACACCTGTTTTCCATCAAATGCAACACAGGAACAATCCACGTCGAAACCTGTCAGTATTTCACTAATCGACTTATAAAGTCTAAGAATGATCTGATAATTACTGGTTAATTGATAACCTTATTGGATATTGTTTCTCCCAAGAGCAAACGAAGAGTAGATGCAAAGTAAATTTGGTCTTGTTACCTGAACGTGACGGTATGGCCACCTAGGCGCGATGAACGTGATGGCGTTCTCCGACCGCAACGTTAGGCCTTTATCAGGTAACATATGCTGGTTCTTCCGCACCAAATTTTCTACCTCAATGATACGCCTGATAGCTATATCTTCATTGTCGATTCCGTACAAGAATATGTCGATATCGCTCGTGCTTGCGGTATGTCTAGAAAACTAAATTAGTGTCCTCCGCTCATAGATAGGTAGATACAACACCGGTGAAGCTGTAAAAGGGGGGGGGGGGTTGGTTATTAAATACTGATAGTAAGTTTCGGCCGGCGTTTCTACTGCTGAGTTATCTTGTAGGTCCACGTCTACGCGACGGGATAATAGGGGGAGGAGCGCGGAGGACCCAGCCACCACAAGGTTAGACCAATCTAAACCAGCCAACATGCCTATAGTATTTGTGATGAGAGATCAAGGAGCTTTGCTGTTATAGATGAATGAATGACTGCATCGACTAACCTCGAGTGAAACCGTCAAAGTTATCTTGATATTCCTCCAAAGACGCGGCGATTGCGAGGCTTTTATCCTCCTCTCGCTCGTAGCTTTCTAACGGCATCAAATACCGGATTTTATCAGCTAACTCGTAATCTATTGTGCGAATCCTAAACAAGCTCTCTTGCCCATTGTAAACTGGAACAATATTCGAGAGACAATCGATCTCTGCGTTTGGACGGACGAACTCATAGCGTAGCCACTTTTCGTAAGTTAGGTACGGCTGTAAGAGCGCGCGCGTTGGAGTCTCGGGATTCTGGTCAAGGTATGAAAGGAACTGCGCGGGTGTTTCTGGAAGTGAAGGAGCAGACTCAAAGTCATCCTCTGTGCTTGTAGTCTCTTCCTCTGATGAATCCGAATGCCTAAAATGCCTCAAGTGATTTACATTACTATCGCCAGAACTACCTGAGCTTACGGCTTCTTCCACGGCCTCTGTGCTCCGCGTACTCAAAGCACTCAAGGCAGACTGTGTATCATTGAACTTTTGAGAGAGCTTAGTTCTCAAAGCCTTTGCATATCTTCGGAAGCGGCCCATCGCCGCTGATGTATTTACTCGGGGATTTATAGCGGCGGTTTTATGACGACTTGTATGGTTTTCCTGAGAAATATTTGATCGGCGAGTTTCTACATTTACACAACAAGTGGTGAGCTTGAATTTATACTTCTCGATTTCTGTGCCTATTAAATGATAGTTGTGGGGATTTCACCGGTGGAATTATTGTATTCCGAAATGTGGTCAATCATGATTAGTTAATTTCTATCATGGTATTAGATTTTCCGGCTGTTCTGCTTTTCAGCTGAGGTCGTTATTGCCACCTTACTGGGCATTGCAAACGTGCTTAGGTGCCCAACGACAAGCGAATACGCGGCACATTTAGAGAAAAATGTATAATGAGTTGCTAGCAGGACTATATGCTATGGAACATCATGAATATATAATCAACGGAATTATTATGATTTGACTGATATTATGGAATGTTCTTACAAGCCACTATCAGAAAGGTCGCGACCTAAATACCGCTTATGCAGCACCTGCGAGAGGTTAGAGTTGGACGTGCTGCTTTGCGACGAAACTAGCCAACAAGCTATTGGCTGGATTTCAGAATATGACGACCCTGACTGTCCGTTCTGTAGCCTCATCTCCGAAGCGGTTGACCGCGCCTGGGGAACATCAGATAGGGGTCTAGCTAGGAAATGCGAACTCTTCATCCAGAGTCGGAGTCCATTGTCCGTCCAGGAAGACGGCTACACACGGCATCCCCATCCAAGGATTCTGTTGGCAACTAATCAGGAGCCCCCAAAATTCCACCACAACCAAAGGCCGTTGAGACAGGTTGATAGGGCAAAGACGGGGTTTATCATTGCGGAGATCGAATCTCTACCGAATAACGGATCAGAGGTAAACTACCTCCCGCGTCGAGAGATTGGAAAGCATATCGATATCGCACTTGTAAAGGACTGGCTCGACGAGTGCCAGAGACACCAGCATTCTAGACCGTATAGAGAGCAAAACGTTGATAACGACCTTTTTCAACCTCAGTCGCCCTTTCGTCTTATTGACGTGGATAGGGAATGCATAGTAGAGAAAGATAAAAGATGTGGTTATGTTGCCTTATCATACGTTTGGGGTGATACTCCTACCATCCTCTGTTCAGGAGACAAGGACAGGGAAACAACTCCTATCCTCGTAACACTCCGAGAAAATATAAAATATATGAAGGCTGATAAAAGCCTGTCCGAATCAGGGATAAAATCGCGATTAGCAGGGCGGATTCCTCGGACAGTTAGAGATGCCATGGAATTCACGCGACGAATCGGGATGCGATATCTGTGGGTTGATACCCTATGCATCATCCAGGACGACCGTAAGGATAGGGATCGACTTATCGCAAGAATGGGCGATATATATAACTCTGCGGCTATGACTATTATCGCCGCAGCGGGCAAAAACTCAGACGCTGGATTAAGCGGCATTAGCCCTCGGGCGGGACGTCCTATTAAACCGGTCACTGTAATAAATTCGGAGGGGACGGTTCTTAACCTGTCAGTTTGCTTGTCATCACTTTGTGAGGAGGTTCGAAGAGAAACTTGGAACACACGCGGTTGGACGTTTCAGGAACAGTCTCTATCGCAACGTTGCCTGTACTTTACCGCAGACGAGCTCTTTTTTAACTGTAGCGAATGCCAACGCAGAGAGGGTTATGATTATGCAGTAAAAGGAACAGTTAATAAAGAGGTGAAAATTGAGGTTAGGACAGGGCCGCCATGGTGGAACAGAAATCTGAGACGCGATCTCGACCCAACACCGTATCATTATTTAGGGGGTACGTGTGGTAGGGAATTGGATGCGCAAACCTATCAAATTGCGGTGCAGGAATACACCCGAAAACATCTCACCTACCCTTATGATATCTTTAACGCGTTTGAGGGTATCTTCAACAGGTCCGAGATCACCAGAAGCGCCCCTTTGGAAAATTTAACCATTCGTCAGGCGCAGGCCATCCCTTCTCACCTGCTTTACCGAGCACTACTCTGGTTTCCCGTACACGGGGCAGAGAGGCGGCCGTGCAGAACTAGCGGACTAACAGGGAAGTCGACTGAAAAATTCTCGTCGTGGTCATGGTATGTGTGTGTTCATTTGTTATCTGCTATGCTAATCAAGTGAGCGAACGTCAATTTAGCTAATGTAGGAGATAATAGGGTTTCTTGGGTCGGCCCAGTCGAATTTGTCTTCGCAGATAATCACTGGTTGCCTAGGAAAATATCACAAGCTCCTGTTAAGCGCGTACGCTTGCATGTCCCTATCGTACGTTGGTATTACGGGGGCTCAAAACTGAAGCATTGGACTACGGGTGTTTGGAAAACCACATGCGAAGGCCAAGACTGCGATACAACCAGCGAACATGGTGAGAAGGAAGTTGCCCGCACTAAAGATTATCTTCAGTCTCGTATTGGAATAGATGTCAAGGCGTTACTAGACGGCTCATCGGGAAAAAGTATAAAAGTGTTTCATAGGCTGAGTTGCGGCGAGCTTGGGTTCTTCGCGCCATATGTAGCAGCCCGACAATTTCATGTGACGATTGCACCAGGTAGTCTCGTTGGAGAATTAGACGTATCCGGCCATTCGGGGGAGTTCAGATTCGACGATGGAGACGAACTAATAGACGAGCTCGTTCCTATCGTCGCTGCTGATGTTACTAGAAGCACAGATGCGCAATCGATCTTTTTGGGTCTGACTACGCATAGGGGCGTTTCGAGGAGAGTAGGAATTGGATATGTATATTATACAAAAGAAGACTTACCTAAACCGCAGTGGAGATATAAATTCTTCAAAATGAAATAAATGATCAACAGCATGCCAGGTAGCTTCATTATTATCTTCTAGATCCTATCGTCTTGCCACCATCATAGCATCATATCTCATATAAGTGTTCAGTTCGTATAATACTGGCCATTCACATCATCCGCCTAACTCCAGACATCATACCTAAATCATCCATAAGAGACTTGTAAGTCGATGCCAAAGGCTTCGTAATCGCCATAACCAGAGCTAGCAAAGGTATAAAGTATATGTGATCACAAATAAGGAGAGGATATTCATTCCATTAGCCCATCTTCATCCGTATATGGGCAATCGAACCTAAAACACTCCTGTTAGCCCCCTAAAGACATATACTTGCGGGGTAGTCAGCAGCCAAAGAAAACAGAACCAACTCACCCCTGTTCGCCAACAATGGCCTTTGTATACTTCTCAAGTTCCTCTAGCTGCTCGACACAGCCCGTCAAACTTTCATTATACGAATAGCTGTATATCTGAGCCCATTTTCTCCCTTCTAATTTTTCATCCACACTAAGTCTTCCGCTTGCCGCAAGCTCGGCCTCTAGAACCCCCATTCGGTCTAACAGCTGCTTTCGTGTGGCTGCAGCACTCGGCAAGTATTTCTGTCACGATCAGTTTATAAGCTTCGCTAAACAGATTTATCGTGCTTTTCTTTGGACTTACGGGTACTTTTCTATCTGCCCGAAGGGCACCTGAGAGAACATAAAGATTGGTCAAGATGGTTGCGATTGCGTCTCTCCTATGACCTAGCAAGTCTGCAGCGAACTCGGTATTATCTCTGATGAAATGCGGGTGGTAAAATAAGGATGCCTGACGGGCCGTGACTATATACTCGAAGAAGTGCTCACAGGCATCAATGAGTGCGGAGTACGGTAAAGGATCGAAAGGAGCTCGCAAGCGTATCTCATGACGCGTGAGGCCCTGGTTGCCATTAATCGGTTGGTTTTGCATGACTATATGGAAGGTGATAAGCTTACTAGTAGTTGTCTTAATCTCACGAACCCTTCACGTAAGCGTCCCTCGAGTATCTCAGAAGCTCGTATATCTTCTTTAGTAGGTTCATTTCCCTCTTCATAATACACATATCTTGATACGATGCCTGTATATATATATTAGAGGTTAAATTGGATCTTTCGCACGTACCCAGTATAACTTACTTCTATACAGGATACTACAATAAAACATCATAGTAGCTGTGGCCTTTCGAAGATCGTGACGAGCAACAAACGGCCATAGAACCCAATTAACAGTAATGGAGGCCACAACACCAACTATCATAGCGACTCCGTGTGTTGCAGCAATTGTAGCTGGAGAGGGCTTGCCTTGGGCGGCGACTTCTGCTAGAGACACGACCGTAAACGATATGCATCCTACAAGTCCAGATCTCTACAGCGCATTAGGCAAATGTCGAATTTCACAGAAATCGTGTAAATACTTACTGGATGCGTGCTCTGTGTATACCTGTAAATCATGGGAAGCATGAATATAACAGCAAACACTGCCATGACGTACGGATTGCCATCGCCAGCCGCGTACGATAGGCCCGCCCAAAGAGAACCAAGGACAGCACATAACACTCGCGTTATCAAGTCCTGAATATTACCGCCAGTACTGTAGGAGTCAGAATTCGTCTATGGGCTTAAGTTGATGAAGAGAGATATTTCTACTCACCGAGGTCCCATAATAAGCCAAGCCATTACAACTCCCCACCAGACTTCATCGCCATCCCACCACCCGTTAGCTCGATAGATCCAAGCAGGTATGGACAATAACGAAGTTATCGCTGCGGTTTTAAGCCCAAACCGCGTCTCAAAGCCCTGTAGTCGATGTAGAACCCTCCAGATTTGCTGTCGCATGCGATTTCTTTTCGTACTCCATTCGTCCTCAGGCTCACTGGCCGTCATTGTAGCATACAAAGTATCGTGGTCTTTACTAGCGTCATCATCGTCCTCTCTCGGTAAAGGCTGGAAGTCTCTGGATTTGATCTTTTGGATGATCGCTGCTATGTCGCTGAAGCTTTTAAAGTACGAACCTGCTGTTAAGCCACCTCGATCATGTCGAACTTGGGCATTTGTGCGGTGCATTGCCTTCCAGAAAGGATAAGACGGGCCATGAAACTTTGGATATTTCGATCTCCTCTGTTGCATCTCGTTGACTTTTACTAGCAATGCCTCAATTGCTGTTGCCGCTTGGTGAACAGGCCGACAGTATGTGAAGAGTCTAACGACCTCTGGGGACTTCGCATATGTAGGGGGCAACCTACCGCTAGCCAATACACTGTCTTGACACTCGCTGAAAGCTATGATACGCCTACGCAGCTTTACCAGGGAGCCCGGAATATCGCTCGACACACTCTTCGGAGGACCGAGATATTGTCGATGACCGCACATCTCCATCAAAATGGCGTCGCAGCTTTGCAAAGCGGTCTCCATAGACAAAAGGAGTCTCTCTGTCGGCTCGGCTAAGTTGCTAGCAACAAATTTAGCGAGCTTATTTTGCTCCTCACTTTCCGTGTCGTGGCATTTTTCTCCCATATTTAAAACGAATTCATCTAGTATAGGCCGTTCCCGACTTAGCCTATCCGAAGAGGAGTCATCTAACTCATCAAGGATTCTTGTTTCGCCATTCAAGCTAAGTAGCGCACGAATAACGCCTTGGATGAGATTACGAAGCGCCAACACGTCTTTTGGGTCAAAAAGCGTGATAGAAAAGTCGATCACGAGATCCCTATACGCTTGTGAAATACTTACAAATGTTTGTGTTAATCTTCGCCGCGTCCTAATGCTTTCTAGTCGGGTTAACCCAAGACCATCCTTGAAAATGATTAGCTATTGAAATTTTGGATGGGAAGGGAAGGATTACTAGCATGACAGCAAACGCTTGATGGAGAGCTACAGCCAACGGACGGGCACCAGCATCCGGGGCCACTACGCAACATATAACAAGAGAGATGGCCTGCCCTAGAACCCAAGGAATGCCGTAAGCGAGAAGCTTAGACCAGGAGACCTCGCTGCCCGATACCTCTGCTAGACATGTGTAACAGATCGATATCCCAGCACATATGATGGCTTGGTATGTGCGAATATAGTACGAACGAAGGCAAGCGATAGCAAAGATATATATGAAAAGGAAGACAGCGAGGACACCGCCATATCCAACACGCGCCGTTGCTGTGGCGGTAGATACCCATAACCCAAACGCTCCCCATCCTAACCCAGTTGCCGTACCTATTATCGTTAGAATAGTCCCGTCGACTTGAGCTCCTAAGGTCCTCCCGGGATGGTTGAGTATGGTCGATATGACTATGATATAACTGTAACGGCCTAATCTAGCTTGAACACGAGGGATGAGGCATAGTATATATGCTATGAAGAAAGCAAGAAATGACTTGAGCAGTCTAATACCAGCTCTCGTGGTAATGACACGACGAATAACCCCTTTTACTTCGTGCCATTGCTTGGGTAGAAAATTGCGCACAGATAGGGGGTCTCTTTTCCGCAAGGCATATGGAAGGGTCAACTCAGCCTGCTTTATGAGGTCTTGAGAGTCAACTTCCTCGGGGGGGAGGAAGATGGCATCGAAGAAACCATCACGCAGTTCAGTGACTCCGTAAGAATCATTTGCATAATGTTTATCCTCCAAGGTCATAGACCTCTGAAGGGCTGGATGGTGAGAGATCTGAGGGGTTTCAGTACGAGTGTCAAATATCCTATCTAGAGAATTCGTCGAAGAATCGCGAACATGGCGCCCTGGGGTAGGGCTATGACGATGCAAAAGACGAGAGAAGCCGCCATCAGCATGTGGATTCTTGGAGGAATTCTCTTCGGATGAAACGGCATTCTTGTGTTTCTCTTTGTTCGACGCCATTATTAATTGATATATGATATGTTATAAACTTTTATAGGTAACTAGAGATTGCTACTCGGGCCATATAATAAATAGATGGTAACTATTAAAATTCATGCTTTCAGAGAAGTGACCACAAAGGTGACCGGTGTAGTGCAATATGTGCAGATGATATGTACAGATGAGTAGATGAGTAGATGATGGGCTATTCTACAAGTGCAAGTTTAAGGATATTGTGACTCGAAAAGTTTATACACATTGGTAAATTCACTAAATAACTAGACCCAAGTCCATTCAATTCTTTCTACCCTGTTGTTTAGGTAGGTACTTCCAATTTGGGGGCAACAAGGTAGCATTTCGACGTCACAGTCATAAGAGACCCACATACACGCACCTGCATGTGTATAAGGTACATACAGAAAATTTGATATTTAATGCGTTACATAATCAACCGATCAACCGATAACGATAATTGCCTAACGCTTCACGAAAAAAAGATCGTACTTGGGTACCTACTTTAGGTACCTAAAAAAATAATAAAATTTACCCCGCCAGCACCAGCACCAGCACCAGCGTAAGCCAGCCAACATAAGCCACCGTGAATATCCAAACAACTTTAGCTCGCATAAAGTAAGTGGAGACGTCTTCTAAAAATGCCCCTCCAGACCTGAATGGCCTCACTTCTTTTCTCTATCTCGTAACCATCGTTTTAACAACAACAATAAATTTCTTTCCCTTACTCCCCAAGAACTTCGTCATTCTTGGTTCGAAATATTCTCAAGCTAATCGCCATATTTCGTAAGGAATACTCGATAAACCTCTGATCACTCTTTTATTACGTCGACCAGCTATTACCCCTTCCAATTTCCAAGATGGCTCAAAGTAAGTGGTACCCTTCGTGAAACGCCTCATGTTACTGCCCAACAAGCCCAGCCTATTTGGTAGAACACGAGGGCTTCAGAGTCCATTCACTAACATGTTGAATAGATCCGGAAGAAGTCGCGAGTATGTGTCTCTTCGAACGCCTCTTGCGACTCACAAGCATTTCTGCCTACTGAACTAACACCTACTTTCTATTTAGCTATGTTCGTCCAGTACTACTATAACCAGTTCGACCAAAACCGAGCCGGTCTAGCAAGCCTTTATGTATGCGCATTCTCGAGTATCTCTCCATATCAATAAGACGTAAACTAATAATTCTACAGCGTGAGGCTTCCATGCTGACTTTCGAGTCCGCCTCTTTCAAGGGCACTCCCTCCATCATCGAGAAGCTACAGGTAACTCAATCAATAGTATGATATTTTCAAGAAGATAGCTTACCGTCTATTCTAGGGCCTACCGTTCCAGCAGATCAAGCACCAGGTTTCCACCATTGATCTCCAGCCCGGTGTCGCTCCCGGCCACATTCTGGTCCTCGTGACCGGTCAGCTTCTGGTTCGTCTATATACATATTCTATCTAACCTTTTGCTCAAAGCCTAACCTATATAATTAGGTGGACGAGGAACAACGACCCATGAGCTATACCCAATCGTTCTACCTGGTCCCCGACAACGCTCAGTACTACGTCCACAACGACATCTTCAAGCTTGTCTATGGTTAGACAGATAATAGAACTATGCAGGTCCAAAGGGCTTCCGGGGCTGGAATATACTGGATGTGTGATTGACGAATCACACATACCCATGGGGAATAGTTGTTTGTCATAGACTACCTATCTACTTGCAGAGTTGTGTTAGGGAGGTCATTTCCTATCAACCGTGACTCGTTATTTTCAGATAGGTCGTACAGAGGTTAATATATTTCACGATGACTTCACATCCATCCAGATCCAGTTATTACTCGTAACACCACCAAGCCGTATTTATTGTCGGGTACGGTCTTTCACTTTTGAGCCTGGCTATTCTACGTAATTTCCTAGGTGTCTTCAAGTGCTAGTGCGCTACACAGTTGACTTAATACAGTGACATACCCGAGGATATATATGGCCCAGACTTGGTAATCTTATATTCTGCAGCCGCCCGGAGAAACAGCAAGCATTCGCGTACAGTTTGAATAGCCTGCGCGATCCTCTCTTCGTAGTATGTATGCGTTATCCTGAATCCACATCTACCTGGAATCGCAACCCCTACGGTTAATCCTTGATAATAAAATCAAGAAAATGAGAAAATGAAAAACCGATTAGTGATACTGAGATATCGCTAGCCCAAGTTTAGGGGATATTGAACAACCGTGTCAGAAATATCTCATAGTACAAGTCTCTTAAACCTTGCCCTTCTTTAAGACAAATATGATGCTGGCATGCCGAATTGTGGATAGACGATGTGCCACCGCCACCGTGGTCATCGAGATGGCTGAATAATTTTGCTAACTTGTGTACTAAATACAAGGTTCCCGAAAAGGCAGACATTTGCAAAGCCTTGCTTGCTTCGGCCGACAACGTAGCGAAATAAGGGCTACCTTGGAATAAGCCATTTATAGAAGCCAACGAAGAGACTTGAAGCTTGTCTTCATTAGAAATACGACTAGCAGCTAGAAGTGACTCTGACGGCGTTGTTTTAGTTACCGGATCTCTACATTGACACTCGATTTTTATAAGACGATATTCTAATTGTTGAATATGGACCTCCTTAAGGACGTAGATAGATTGTTTGAACATTGCAAGGTAATAAGGATAAATATGAGCGAGCCTGCCTTACGCAGTTTATAAGCTTCGCACTATGGAATGCGTTAGCCCACCTTCTGCCGTCTTTCTTGGAACTCAGGATCATGGAGTCATACTGTTCGGAGTATTAAAGTGAGTTTACAATGCATCACCTTGATCCCACGGACCCGAAAGTTAAGTAGAGCTCATTTACGCGATTGAGCAGGATATACTAGCACAAGTCAACACTATACTGATATTCACGAGGAGATTAAAGTCAACTTCGAGGTAGCACGAGTATTTCCACACCTAGTAAGTAGCGAATAAAAGTTCAACGCTCAGAACCACAGGAACCATAGGGATAACAGACTTGTAGCACTCAACTATCGACACATATGTGGCTCTCGCAAAACACCTACAGTAAATATGTAGATACCTTGCCATTCGTAACAATTGGATCGCATACCAGCTTAAAGTTCGTCCAACCCGGATCATTATAAATAAGAAGATTTTGCTAAACGTCAGATAGTTTGACTCTGCTAGACTTGCTGATGTCTAGGACATACATTAAAGTACTAGGTTACTTGCTTTTTTGGACGATGGAATCGAGTGCTTTCTTTAACCCAGCAAAATCACAACACGGAACCAATAGCCTTTTGGCGATAGTTCTATAGTTATTAATATGCGTGTCTTCCAAGACAATAACTCCAGGAGAGCCACCGAGCCTTGAGATCCGATGGCACCCGGATAACCCTACGATCATACGGGCTAACAAAGGTGAAGAGACGACAGATATATAGCCTGCTCAGTTCAATCAATTTTTTTTCTTGGGAACGATTATATCCTACTTCGTCGGTAGGTTATTAGCGCCCATCCCTCTAGTAAAGTGTTGGTCCATCCATTAATAATAATAATATCAATCTAGGTATTATAAAAACCTACAAGCACACGATAACCCCGGCTGTAAAGAACAAACCATCCTCCTCAAAACCGTCCATGTTAACATCTAGCCATACGCGTTACCATCCTCCCTAGCCGCGGAATTGCAGCTTACTTGGGTATCGTGGAATACTAGCTCGCTCGCGGTATACCCAGAACAGACACTTGCCGGAAGATCGTGACCATGGTATTGACCAGCACCCCCTTACCCCAGCTTTTACCCCACAGTCCCTCCACATTCCTCCAAGTTCCCGACTAACAAAGACCCGAGGAGCAACAATAAAAGACAGGGTATAACCAGGACATTATTTCTTGGAAGCTTCCTTCCCGGTAACCACTATAATTCTTCCATGATGGAAGAAAAGGAAGCCTCGGTCTCGCTGCACGAGAAGTGCGATAATGAGCACTCTGTCTCGCCGTCCTCCCCGGATGGAGTTACCCACGACTCGAAATTCGAGAAGAGGGTCCTCCGCAAGATCGACATCCGGCTGCTACCTATCCTCGGCGCGCTGTACACCATCGCCATGGTCGACAGGAGCAACATCTCCGTAGCGCGCATCTCGGGTCTCGACGAAGACGTCGGTCTCAACGTCGGGAACCGCGCCTCCGTCGCGCTCCTCGTCTTCTTCATCGGCTACATGATCTTCGAGCTGCCGAGCAACATGATCATCCACCGCGTGGGCGCCGCCAACTGGCTTTCGCTGATCGTCTTCGCCTGGGGCCTGGTGTCGATGGGCATCGGGTTTCTCGACAACTGGGTCGCGTTGGCCGTGCTGAGATCCTTCCTCGGCGTATTCGAAGCCGGCTTCTATCCCGGATGCGTCTACCTGATTTCCTCCTGGTACAGGCGATACGAGGTCCAGAAGCGGCTGGCGACGTTCTTCATGACGGGGTCCGCGCTGTCTGCGTTTGCGAATATTTTTGCCCTCGGCCTCATACAAATCTCGAAAACAAATACTACTTACAAGGGCTGGAGGTGGATCTATATTATCGAGGGTGTTATTACTTGTGTTGCGGCTATTATTGCTTGGTTCATCATCGTCGATTTCCCGGATTCGCACCGCAATAAGTTTCTCACTGTAGAAGAAGCCGCTTTCGTAAAGGCCCGTCTTGCAGAAGATCGCGGGTCTGAGGAACGCCAGAAGGTCACCTGGGCTATTTTCGTCGAGACGATAACCGACTGGAAAGTTTGGTCGTTCTCGTTGATGTACTCGGCTGGTGCCGTGGGTGTCTACGCCTTCCTATTTTTCCTACCTCTTATCCTACGTAATGGGATGGGATATTCCCAAGAGCTCGCATTCGTCTTGTCGGCCCCGCCAGCTCTATTTTCCGTCGTGGAAGGCATGTTTGTATCATGGCTGGCTGATAAGATGCGTCTACGAGGACCATTTGTCATCGCTCAGGGTCTCGTCGCAATCATCGGCTTATGTATGACGGGTTTCCTCAAGCAACCCGTCCCAAGGTATATCGGGACTTTCCTAGGCGAAGCCGGGGTAAATGGGCTTGTGGTCACTACCCTCGCCTGGCAGGCAAATAATTTACGTGGTGATGCTAAGCGCGCCTGTGCCACGGCTGTCTTGATCACTCTTAGTGGCCTTGGCGGTATCTATTCGTCCCTGGTTTTCCGCCAACAAGTTCGTGGAACCCCCCTAAATTTATAGGCATATGCTGACCTAAAGACAGGACGCCCCTGATTATATACCTGGTATAATAGCTGTGATGGCAATTTGCGTCGCTGCTGTTGTTGCCGCCTGCATCTCCATAGTTCTCTTGAAATGGGAAAATAAGCGTGCAGACGAAGGTAAAAAGATTATAGATGGTCATAATGATTTCCGATATACCATTTAAAGAAAATTAAAATAAGAAATTATTACAAGCTATAAGAATTATAGGTGGAAGTAAATGGGCCTTCGATGGTGTACGAGAGCATGTCCAATTCATTAGATCACTACGGCCTACGTCGCGTTCCTAACGCCTAAAAAATGTTGCGATAATAAACCCGTAAATATTTTATGCCACTGAAATGCTCAATTGATCTCGAGCTATCACATGGCATTCATTGTCGTATCCTGTATGATATAATATGATGTGTCCAGAGAAAAGGGGCGAATAACTTATAAGCACACCACAGTATTATATAAAAAATCTAGTTCAAAATAGAAGTCATAGAATTGAACTAATTATTAATATAATATCCACTTTGCTTCGGTATATCTGTTATACACTATTCTGGTGGGTTATCATAGTCTGGTAATCCGAAGCTAGCATAAGCCAACTCCACTCAGGCCACGATGCCCTCAATATGAGATAGGACGCAAAAAAAGTTTTTCATCTAAGCGGGTCAAAGAGAAAAAAAATGAACTTGAGTCATTTTGAAGCTCCTAACTGGAATTGAACCAATGTTTTCGGAATCAGAATCCGACGTCCTAACCACTAGACTATAGGAGCTGCTTTACTTGATAGGTGACGGATTGTGTTATTCCCTCTATTATTTCAGTCAGAAGCATAATCACTGTTACTAAAATCTCGAATCTGAAAATACGCATAACACATCATTCTCTCTGCTGCAAGCTGCGGCTAGACATGTTAACATCCTCATTCTTTCCATATGTATTTGAACATCCTCGCCAACCTCCGCTAGGGGCCGGTTATATTATCATATTCTCATATATACTTGGTAGCGTCACTCATAATAACCAGGTACATCTCGTAAATCACCACGGGGAGTATATGGGGTTACGATTGGGATGACTGCAAGACTTAAAGTTAGCAAATTGTTTATTTGGTTATCCGCGAAAATACAAAGACAACTGCTACTATTTTTCATCCGTCCAAGTATTTAAAAGGCTGGAAATAAAGGCTGATATAAAAATCATACTTACAATCTCGACTCCAGGCCCACCGTTTAGTATGCTCCTCAGATAGCTCTCCATGAAGCATCTGAACTACGTACTTTCCAATAATAGGCAGAAATTTGTACCCATGAAAAGAACCACCGGCTGCAATATACAGGTTCTTTGACGCCGGATGTGGCGAGATAATCCAATCTTCGTCTGGCGTAGCGATGTCCCTATATCGGCATACCTATCAGTCCAACTAAATCTTTCCTTTCCAAATTTCCCCGAAGCTTCGGGGGTTGGGAATTATTAGGGAGGAAAGCTAAAACCTACCAGCAAAGTCGATACGACTCAGGAGTCATACCCTGCACCGAGTTCCCGAAGAACATATCTCGAACTTTTGCCGAATTTGCCTTCAAAGCGTCCGGGAGGTCTCGTGTCCACGTCATACGGTCGCTTTTTGAGAGCGGTGGAACCGAGATCTCCTGCTTCGCCGCCTCGCTGTAGGCATTGCGAGTGTACGGGAATTCGTGCGTACACTTCGCCAAATCGGGGCCACCGAGACTTCCAGGTGGTATACACTCGGCTACGTAACCCACTATAGTTAGCACAATAACATGTAGTCTCATAAATCTAGACATAGACACTGTAGGATCCTTGTTATTAAGAGCGACACACCAGGAAAGTCTCCGTAGGGGTGAACGATAACTGGTGCGTCTTTAAACATGTCTAGCCCGGCGTCGCCGCGCGGGACCTTGAATAAGCACATCAATACGGCTGCTGCTTTCATCCGGTTTCCGGCGTGGAGGTCTGGATTTTCAGGGGCACTCTCTGCGAGAAGCCACGGCGTGTAAGCGCCTGAGGACACGACGATACGTCGGGCGGAGAACGACCTGCCATCTGTCGTCGAGACACCAGTGCATGTACCGTCCGAATCGAACTCTAGCTTCTCTGCCGTGCCGACTTCGTATCGGACACCGCTATCAACAGCAGCTTTAATAACAGCTTGTAGTGCCCCAGCTGCGTCAGCCCACCCGGCTTCTGGACTTAGTATACACTGCTCAGCCCCGCCCTCGAAGCGGCAGCTCCCAAGAAGTGGGAAGCGGGTACGCGTCTCATCCAAGCTAAGGATTTCAAGAGGTGCCTTTCCGGGGCCTAGTAGAGTCTCGTAGTTATCCACGAGCGTCTGTGTCCTAGCAGCTGTGATAGACCAAAGTGCTCCTGTCTGATGGAAGAAGGGTGTGACAACGGGATCTGTCTCGGACCACGCATCCTTGGCCTCGAGCGCTAGCTTCATGTACATCGGGTCATCATATTCTGCCCTTATGATCTTGTTAAAATCGTGCGCAGCCGCAGCCGGGTCCGGGAACGGCGCTTGGTCGAGTAAGATCACGTCGGCGTTAGGGTCCGCCTCTTTTAGGAATTTTGCCGTCGATGCCCCGAAACATCCAGCGCCGATGATTAGAGTTGCCATAATAAATCGCGACTAACCTTGGTTGGATTGATTTGAAAGGAAGGTATAGTTACTTATTCTACTCAATATTACTATAGAGCCTAGGTTATGAAGAATGAGATTGGCGAGGGTTAAAAATAGTAAGGTAAATATTTTACAAGACTCGCATTAGATCGGGGACATACATATATTTAATTAAACCGCGATCCCGGATATGTTTTCCCTCAATTATATCTGTAGTCGAACTTGAAAGTATGAGAAATAACTAAAGACAAGCTTCCTCCGTGCCAACTAAAGGGGACATCAAGAAGCGGGGTCTACACCATATTCAATGCTCCTCTATTTGCATGCATTTGGAGATAACTCTTATTCGACAGCTCATACCCTTTCTATGCGATCAATTCGCCGTCTTGTGTGCCGCGGCGACACACTATCATTTTACGTAGGTGCATTTTTGATATAGTAAAGGGTGGTAGACTTATCATACTGGTAATATGAAGACTCGAATTTGATAGGTTTATATAGAAATCTTCGAATGATATTCCCTGGAAAGCTTCACATCACACGAGAATGTATTTAATATCCCCAAAGAGGTATTATTACTCGAAAGCTGGCTTAGACATGTATAGTTAGGTTTTTATTTATTTTGTATCTAGCTATTCCGTTCATTGAGCTAACATTTCTGCAAAGAGTACGATGCCAAACACTCCATCTTCCTCAAGCGCCATGATCCTATTGACTACACCAGTCACCAGTCCTAACATTCGATTAGCTTAAATCAAAACCAGCTCCAGACTGGATGGCGTAGAGCAGCTTTTTTCTTAGAATCTCCTTTGAACTATACCGCGGCAACTTTAGGAGATTGACGCAGGTACTCGTGCTAGGTAATCTCTCTTCATCAGTGCCACCATCTCTGATGCTAAAATGAGGACTTAATTGAGCGAAGCCTAGTAATGGTGCTCTTGGCGTTGACGTGACGTACTTGAGCACCTCGCGTCGCTGGGAATCCTGAAACTCGCGCATTACCTGCCAGAACATCTGTACGGTTGGGTGTTCCATCCCATCATCACCTACTGCGTAGAGACCTGAGTACTGAGTATTACGTCGGAGATCTTCGACGTCAATCTCTGAGCTGTCTCCGCCAACAAGTCTCTGAAGTTCTGATTGATTAAACATGGACAACCACGAGGGGTTAATGATAGATCCTAGGCCCTTAAGAAAAGCTCTAGTTTGTCGATAGGGTTGCGCTACGAGCCGGTGGTTTACAACATAAGATATGTAGAGAGGGCGGTTCGTGTTGGTGACAGGAATATTCTCGCCATTTTTGCAGAGAGGACGCGTAATGGTAAGCGTGTTACCATCGATTGTTGTGACTTGATCCGTAATGGTAAAATCTAGTGCAAGGTCGACCACCTGGCCGGAAAAGTTTTTGAGACTGATAAGCCCTTGATACAGCTCTGGATCTAGATCTCGTAGATCGTTTAGGTTGGCACGGTAGTCATTGAGCGAACCCTGCCCTGATGCTGACCACTTAAGAAGAAAGAAGCCAGCAAAAGCTTTGTCGATAAGGATGCCTTCGTACATGCATTTTCCAACCACCCGACCGAGGAACTCGTAACGTCTAGCGAGATTGACCATAGCCTCCTTCCACCTCATATCACTTTCTGTATACCCATGACTACGAAGGAGCTGTGCATGATTATCAAATGTACTCGGATTCGGATACAACAGATTTTGACTGTTAGTAGCGAAGAGGCCACGGCCAGAACCGGGGTTGAAGGCCTCGTCGGTGACGCTAATCAAGAACTCCTTTGTAACACCACCGCCATCAATACCAGCTTCAGCCTGATCAAACTGGTCAACAAATGTTATTTGGATAGGTTCCTTTAATCCGTCACCGAGAGCGTAGAATTGCTCGTATGCGTCATCAAACACCTGCCCACGCTTGACCCTGGCCGAGTGGCGGCCGAGAATGTCCCTGCCTCTAACAGAAGGAGGACCATTGAACCCACCTTCTCCTGAGATTACTGACAAACGCCACCGATCGGGATCAACATGGCCACCCCTGCGCTTTGACTTATCAAGATATACGAATTGGCGAAATATTTGGACCCTAACTTCAAACGGGATAATAAACGGCATATTACGAAGAATTTCGAGCTTAGGTCCAACCTGGGCTAGCAGTTGCTCTCGTTGGACCCTTCGTAATCGACGGCGCCTCTCGAGTTGTGCTGCCCGCGAAAGGCGTTGTCCTGTAAATGTGTGAAAGGTATCAAGCGCATCTTCGTCCGAGTCGTCCGAGTCATCTTCATCTTCGGCCATCTGTTCTTTTTGCTGTTCTTCTAAAACGACGGCCGATATAAATCCGTCCATGTCAAATTTTGAGGTCATCAACCAAAAGTCCGAAGGAAGAAAACGCCGGCGAGAATCTCTTTCGTATAATGAACGCATGGTTGTCGTAGATGCAGCCCTCAGACTCAAAACGTCCATCCCAATAATTCCAGCAAATGAGGATTGAGTATCCTTGGGCTCTTCCTCTTGCGTGGTCGGCTTGGCAGAACCGATGCCCATAAGACTATTCAGTCGAGCCGGCCTTGCTGCAGACGGCATAATGTCTGCCAGGTTATAATAGAGTGGAAAGGAGAGGCTCTTGAGGAAATTGATAAGTTGCTTTAGCTCATTCAAACTGAGACCGCTTGAACGTATTCTCGACGTTGCGGGACTTTGGTGCGATATTATCTGGTTTTCCGGCGGTAGAAAGTCTTCGTCATCAGTGACCCGGAGGAGGAAGTTATATAATTCTAGAAATAGCAATATAGTCCTCCATTCTCTATCACGTACATGGTCTGGTTGGAGAAGTGTAACGATTGCCGCAGGCTGCTGCTGAGTCCTAGGTTGCGTGATAATCCTAATTATGCTTGTATTCGAAGCTGCCTGCCAGAAATACTTAACTGAAGGCGTTGATATGGGAGTAGCTGAGCTGACTATAGAGATGTCGCCCTGGAAGAGTCGCATTTTGATGTCATCACTGTGGCTCGGAAAACATCTAAGCAAGACTAATGTATAGCCAGCAAGAAGACTCGCATCTTCGGAAAGGCGGTCAGGAGATAATGCGGTCCTAAGTTTCGTTAGCATATGACTCACGCATACTTCAAATCTTGGCTACGAACGAAGTAAATCTACTTAGCAGATCTGAGATACCGTCTTCATCTACGAGGAAGTCTAGTTGACTTAGCACCCAAGTAGATAATGGAGCAGAGTCTCCGGTATCATCGTCATGATCGGAGGTATCGCCATTACCGCCTTCGGCCTCATTGCGGGTATCGTGTCGGTCATATCGTATCCGGATATCGTCAACAAGGATGGATAGCTGGAGATAGAGGGCCTCAAGGTAGTTAACCCCATAGGAGGAGGAAGCTGCCCTATTTAAAGCGATGAAGTGGGCTAGGAGACAGAGAGCACCATCCTTTGATAGGGAACTAACATTCTCATGCCCTGATATAGTATCTATGATACTCTGTGATAAAAGTTGAAGATCTACATAGCTTGCTATCCGTGTAGGGTCCCGCTGGAAGGATAGAAGATTTGGTGAAGTGAGGAAGGAGAACGCAAAAGCCTGGTAGGCTGGTAATACGGATACACCTAATAGCAGTCAGATTACACCAATAATTGAATATACCTAAACAATCAAGATCAAGATATAGCTTTGCTGGACCGTTTACCTAGGTACGTACCTTGTGTAGATGATATAAGAGGGGCCGTCACTGCTTTAGCAACGATATCCAGTTCTCCTGTCGAGTTGGGGCCCTCCTGGCCGCTACGCTGAGAGTACGTGGAGATGAGCTTATAATATCGGTGCAGGATGGGAGTAATAGAATGTGGTCTTTTTCTGACAATAAGAACCAGAATATGGAGAAGATCTAACGATGAACTGGCTGGTCGGCTATATCGCGAAGTGTAAGCGAGTAACTAGTATATAGCCATGATTTGAGCATGCACATACCCTTCTAGAGCTCTTACGATGAGAACTGCTAATCTATCCCAAGAATTAGGACTGAATAGATCCAAATTTGAAGCGGAGTTTAGACTGGTCAAATCTTTAACTAGTAGATCTAAACGTTTCTGATCGTCTGCTCGTAATGGATCGAATAGTATATGAATAAGGGGTAAGGCACTGATCACTCTGGTTGGAATGGCATCATTCTGAGGCTGGTTGTATAGAGCATCAAACTCTTCTCGACATGTTTGTTTAAAGCTTTGTCGGCCTTTGTAGCCTCTCCATACTCTTTGCAGTCTCTTAGTAGCATTCAACTCGTCACGATCTCTCTGTCTCCTTTCACGTTCAACCTGTGCTTGTGCTACTGTTTTTGAGGCGCCAGAGCCAGAAGGTGACCAGCTAGGTGCAGCCCAAGGGTTTGTATTCCGCTGACCGCTCAAGTTGACGTTTCGCGGGCGCCTGGAAGAGCCGGTAAAGGTTGGGAACATGATGAATGTGCAGGAGCTACCTAGACGTCTGAGTGAAGCTCGGGTTTCGTATTTTTGTCGTAAAGCAGGTCAAGAGATATATAGAAAAATAGGGTAGGTGGTGCTCTATCTACTAAGTTGCGTGAATCGACATGGTTTGGCTATCGTGCGTGACTATGGTGGTTATCGTGGGAGTTTAAGGGTTGGTTTGTCGTATTTGACGTAATAGCTGAGTTGATACAAATGTAGTTAACTGCTTAGATTCTTAGATAACTCGAGCAAGAAGTTAACGGAAATAATGTAAGCGGGATGGCATAGGTAAGCTATGCCAGCGTCCGAATATGCGCAAAATCAGTATGCGCATTTGCGTAGATCGTGGGATGAAAAAGATGCAAGATGGATATGCACTTTAACGGCTGAGTAAGGTAAGGTACCTACCTCTTCTAAGGTACATATGAGGTTAGGCAAGATGTATGTATCGGTATGCCGAACCGGTAATGTTGTACCGGATGTTGATCGGTTGGACGTTTGGTGATGCATAGAATTGAGTTTCCATTCTGTTGTCTTCCAAACGCTGATGAGCTTTAGTTTTAGGTGCTTCCCAGCGCCAGCAGCCAGCAACCAGCAACGCACGTCACAGGCCGGTACCTATTGTTACCCTCGCCGGGCAGCATCCACTTTTAGTACATTTGCGTCCACCTATGGGTCGATTTAAGCAGGCGGGGTGATCCCTGGTAAGGTACCTAGTTGGTGTCCCTCCACAAACTGATAAGATAGGTAGGCCAGGTAACATATCCACCTACATGTGGGGGTACTTGTAAACTCTTTCATTCTTTTATTTCGTGAACTTCTGTAGATAACTTATTTTAATCTAGAGTTTAGAAAGATTGAAATATGCTAATGTTTGATATTTAATGCTTAACATGGATTTTACTGACTCTATTATACATTATGTATCTACATTATAATCAAAGCAGGTGGTAGTAAGTATATGATCTTGAGAAGATATTACACCAATACTTAGCACATGTAAGTCCATTACATTGAGCCTCTATATGTAAGAAGACACCTACAGACTTGTTGTCATCACTTTAGCATTACATGCATCTGGGTATCTATTTTTAAGTAGCGAGATCAGCTACGGCATAACGCCTCGATGATGGACACCGTTATAAACATATAGTTAATGTTGAGGCAGTACATGTATAGGTACCTAATGTATTCCTGACTTGTTTAATCTTGGGCTCAGTCTATCTGCAGTTCCACAACATCAATTTCTCCTCGAGCTTTTGTGGTACTAAGTGACTATACCCTTTCGAGAATTATTGTAGCCAGTGGTTTGCAAGCCCCAATAGAGTCTAATAACTTGCAATAAAGACTATGGGATCTTCCAAGCTGATTACCTACATGCCCGTATGTTACGGTGTTTCAAATAATGAAAACTATAAGTTTATAGGTTAACTTTTCTTGTAATATCAACAAAACGCCAATAACCAGGTAAGTATATAGGTAGGTATTTACAGAAGAGATAAAGAGGTAGCTTATTTATTAAATGTACTTTGCTATAAAGATGTTTAAATAACCCACAACTGTTGTTTAAATCTGATTGGCTTAACATATTCCGTCTGTACCGTAGCGGCAGTGTATGGGTTTCAGGAAGGATTCCATGCGTAGATTATCATATTACCCATAATAATGGTTAAAATGGGTAATACCATATTTTATAAAATTATAATTCTTTTGTAAAAAATCATTCCTAGGAAAGGAATGATTCCTTAGAACTGAAGGCTCTGATTGGCTGGAATAAGTGGAATTAGGGTCATGTGACCCCCAAAAACCTTAAAAATCAAAAAAGCTAGGATGCCTGGGACTCGAACCCCAGGCTCCTAGCCCCACCACAGCACGTCCCACTAATCAATGCGGGAGTGTTGTGATTGAGCTAGCAGCTCTAGTAGGTGGCCAGTCCTCTAGTGCTGTTGAAAGTTTACCCGTTTTTAAACCTTATTACCCACACTTTCATTTTTTTAATATTGTAATAATATTTTATCCAATCAAGATTCTAATTCCCGTACAAAAAAGGATATCCCATACAAAAATCATTCCACCCCCCAAATATCATATCTCAAAACCACATTTTGCCGGTATGGTACTTTAGGTAAGTACTTATCTAAGTTACGTTGTCATAAAGTCAAAATTTGCCGAGGGGCTAAAGTACTACGACTAGGAAAGTACGGTTGAAAAATACAGCTGGTAGGTGCGATATTGAACCTTAAGTGCTGAAAATAGCTTGGTGGAAGACCCACTATTTATGGTCGAAATTTTTTGTGTGGTTGATCGCAACCAGAGAGGCACAAAAAATCTTCAAGATCTCAAAAGACGAACGGACCCTCCCCTTCTTTCTTTCTTCCTTTTCCCCCCAACGACTTGACAACTTTATCGCCAGCTCGTCACCCCAAACTTTGAAAAAATTAAAAAAGAGATTCAGTTATAAAGTACGTGCTTCTTAGTTCGTACTTGGTTTCTGTTCTCGCCAAATTCATTCAGGTTAAAAACACCAAAAAAATTCGGAAAACTAGAAAATCTACCATCTGCTAAGCACCTCAATTTACACGATCCTATCCATCGACGCGCATTCGTCCTTCCTTCGAATAGGTACCATTGTCAATACTCACGACCTATTCATTCATTCTCCACCACAGACTAAAAAAGTCAGTGACTGCTAGAAGCTCGAGTACGTTTAGGCTTTTAGATTATCATCACTTTCCTTTGAAGTCTTGACGACAACCTTTGTCCGACTTGGTCTTCATTCTCTCGCAATCATTATTCCTTGATTACGAGAACGTAATATTCTTGCAGCTCTCTTTAATTGCTTGGTACGCTTTTCCTCCCCCTTCCCCTCGTCTTCACTCAAACACATCATAATCAAACCCGACCTTTGACGCGACTTTTATCTGCGCTTTGAGAAATATTCGCACTACATTTCTATTCATTTTATTATTACCACGCTAATATTCTTTGTGCGACTTTCTAGTCAATTAATTTTCGTCACGATGTCTGCTGCTGCTCCTACCTCCGGCGCTGTTGACCAGCTTGCCGCCGATCTTGGCAACACCTCTCTCAACGGCGGTGATGCTAAGCCCGCCTCTATCAACACTAATGTTGCTCCCGACGCTCACGGCGATGAGGGTGATGCCGCTGCTGCCACCCCCAGCTCCGCTCAGACTCCTCACCCCGCCGCATCTGCCTCCCTCTACGTTGGCGAGCTTGACCCTTCGGTCACTGAAGCAATGCTTTTCGAGCTCTTCTCTCAGATAGGTTCTGTTGCCTCCATTCGCGTTTGCCGTGACGCTGTCACTCGCCGTTCTCTCGGATATGCCTACGTCAACTACAACACGACTGCCGATGGCGAACGAGCTCTTGAAGAGCTCAACTACACCCAGATCAAGGGCCGCCCGTGCCGCATTATGTGGTCTCAACGTGACCCCAACTTGCGCAAGAGTGGACAGGGTAACATCTTTATCAAGAACCTCGACGCTGCTATCGATAACAAGGCCCTTCACGACACTTTTGCTGCTTTTGGTAACATTCTAAGCTGCAAAGTCGCCCAGGACGAGAATGGCAACTCGAAGGGATACGGATTTGTCCATTACGAGACAGACGAAGCTGCGGCTCAGGCTATTAAGCACGTGAATGGAATGCTGCTTAACGAGAAGAAGGTATACGTCGGCCATCACATCCCCAAGAAGGATCGTCAGAGCAAGTTCGAGGAGATGAAGGCGAACTTTACCAATGTCTACGTCAAGAACATTCAAGCTGACGTTACCGATGATGAATTCCGAGAGCTCTTTGAGAAGTTCGGGGACGTTACTTCGTCCTCGTTGGCCCGTGACAATGAAGGAAAGTCTCGTGGCTTTGGGTTTGTTAATTTCACTACTCATGAAAGCGCAGCCAAGGCAGTCGATGACCTAAACGGCAACGATTTCCACGGTCAGGATTTGTACGTCGGTCGTGCTCAGAAGAAGCACGAGCGCGAGGAGGAGCTGCGTAAATCCTATGAGGCTGCTCGTCAGGAGAAGGCCAGCAAATACCAAGGCGTGAACCTCTACATCAAGAATCTTGATGATGATGTCGATGACGACAAGTTGCGCCAGATGTTCTCGGAGTTTGGCCCTATTACATCCGCAAAGGTCATGCGTGATAGCGCCACCGACTCTGATGATGACAAGGAAGGCAAGGATAAGGAGAACCAAAAGGAGGAAGTCGATGAGCTCAAGGAGGAAGGTGAAAAGAAAGAGAAGAAATCAGACAAAAGACTTGGCAAGAGCAAGGGTTTTGGATTTGTGTGCTTCGCTAACCCTGACGACGCCACGAAGGCTGTGGGCGATATGAACCAGCGCATGATCAACAATAAGCCTCTATACGTAGCACTAGCTCAGCGAAAGGACGTTCGGAAGAGCCAGCTTGAGGCTAGTATCCAAGCTCGCAACCAGCTCCGAATGCAGCAGGCTGCGGCGGCGGCTGGCATGCCTCAACAATACATGCAACCCCCGGTCTACTATCCCCCAGGTCAGCAGCCAGGTTTCCCTCCCCAGGGCGGTCGTGGCCTGCCTTTCCCCGGAATGGGTATGCCCGGCGCTCAGGGAGGTCGTCCCGGCCAGTTCAATCCCAATGCCTATGGAGGTCCCCAAGGCGGACGTGGCGGACCTATCCCACAGCTACCTCCAAACATGTATATTCCCGGTCAATTCCCGCCTGGCGCTCCGTACGCTCAACCCGGCACTCCTCAGTTCATAGCCGCAATGGCACAAGTGCAGCAGGCCACAATCGGAGGTGGTCGAGGCGTACCAGCCGGTCGTGGACCGATGCAAGGTATGCCGGGCAACATGGGAATTCCGGGTGGACCAGGTGGTATTCCTGGCTACCCCCCCAACGCTCGACAGGGTGGCCCCGCTGGTCGTGGTGGACAGAACCAGCGAAATGGTCAGGGTGGTCAGTTCCCTCCTCAGGGCGGACGTGGTGCC